TGAAAAAATGGAATATTGAGGTATTTGAAAATGTTGATAAAGTGATATCTGATTTGACAATTGAGTTGAGTTTGATTGATGATAAAAATTCTGTGATAGAACTTTTCAATATAGAGAAGGAGCGTCAACAAATATTAGTAAGGGGATATTTGGAAGGCTAGGAAGAATAGGGAGAGTCTCATAGCCCAAAAAGCTCGGGTGAGATGGGAGAAGGAGGGTGATTTAAATACAAAGTTCTTTCATTTGTGTGTTAATGGGAGGAGGCGAAGAAATAATATACATGCGCTTCAAATTGGGGAGAGATGTGTCGAAGAAGTTGATGAGATTAAAGCATGTGTGGTGTCTTATTTTGCGGCTCATTTTAGTAGTAGAGGTTGGCTTCGACCTACTATTGATGTTAATAATTTATCGAGAATTTATGTTATACAGAATGAGGGGCTTGTTAATGCCTTTTTGGAGGAGAAAGTGGGAAGAATAATTTTGGAGTGTGAGGGAGATAAAAGTCTGAGGCCTGATGATTTTAATTTTGTGTTCCTTAAGAGGTTTTGGGGAGTGATCAAGGAAGAAGTGATGTATATGCTTACTGAATTTTTTAGAAATGGGAAACTACCTAGGTCTTTGTTATCCTACTTTGTAGCACTTGTGCCAAAAGTGTCTTGCCCTCAACATATATCTGATTTTTGACCTACTTCATTGTTAAGTTGTCTTTATAAGATTGTTTCCAAGCTTTTGACAAATAGGTTGAAAGGGGTTTTAGATTCAATAATTTTAGAAGAACAATCATCCTTTATCCAGGGAAGGAACATGTTAGATAGTATGCTTGTGACTAATGAAGCAGTTGATTATGTACGGAGGTATAACAAGAGATGTTTTGTGTTAAAGCTTGATTATGAGAAGGCTTATGATTCGGTGGAGTGAGGATATCTTTTGTTTATGTTACGTAGCTTTGGATTTTCAAAAATATGGGTCAGTTGGATGGAAGCTTGTGTGTGTGGAGGGAGCCTATCAGCTTTGATTAATGGTTGTCCTACATTGGAGGTTCATATTGAGCGTGGCCTAAAACAGGGGGATCCTCTTGCCCCTTTTCTTTTCTTGTGGTAGTGGAAGGGTTAGAAGTTCTTATGCGGAAGGTAGTGGCTTGTGGGTTGTTCTCTGGTGTGAAGATTGGGATAGAGGGACTGAATATTTCTTTGCTGTAGTTTGTGGATGACACATTGATTATGGGAGAGACTTCGGTTTAGAACTTGTGAACTTTGAAAGCAGTATTGCGTAGAATTAATGTCAGGTATGAAAATTAACTTTAATAAAAGTTGTGTATTGGGGATTAATACTGGTGATGACTTTGAAAACTTGGCTGCGGAGTTCCTCCATTATAAGATTGGTAGTTTCTCATTAAAGTATCTCGGGTTACAGTTAAGTGTTAACCTGAGAAAGCCTAGTGCATGAAAGGGTGTGTTAGATGCCTTTGAAAAGAGGTTAGCGTCATGGAAGCATAGGTATTTATCGATTAGAGGCATCGTGACTTTGATTAATGCAGTTCTTAATTCTATGTCATTGCACTCGTTATCCTTTTTTAAGGTGCTGAAGTCGGTGATAAAGGAGATTGTCACTATTCAACGAAATTTTTTATGGAAGGGTGTTAAGGATGGATCTAAAATCCCCTGGGTGAAATGGGAAACGGTATGTAGACCGCGGAAGAATGGTGGCTTGGGCATTAGGAATGTGCAGTGGTTTAACTGGACGCTTCTTGGTAAATGGTTTTAGCAAGGTGTTAATTGTTCTAGTTCATTGTGGGTGCGGGTGTTGGAATCTAGGTATGGAAGATTAGTTTCTTCTATTCAACATCTATCAGTCCACAACAGATGTTCTTTGTGGTGGCGTGATTTGATAGAGGTTATTCATCAAGAAAATTCTTGACTGGATGAGAAGTTTGATAGAAGTGTGGGTGCAGGTTTACACTCTTTTTTGGAGAGATAAGTGGGTAGGCGAAGTGCGATTGTGTGAAGCATTTTCGTGATTGTTTGCGGTGGCGAGGAATGCTGAATCATGTGTATTGAAGAATGGTTTTCGTGTGGGTTTGAGATGTTAGTTGGCGAAGTGGACTCTTTCAATATGAGATCTCAAACTTTAATCTTTTGTTGGAGTTTATGGATGGAGTTTCTATTAAGTTACTACAAGAAGATAAATGGGTATGGAGGGAAGATTCTTCAGGTTATTATTCAGTACAATCTGTGTATTCATGACTATTTAAACTTTTTGGTGGTCCTAATAGTGTAGATCAATGTACGATAGATGTCTTGCAAATGCTATGGAGAGGAAAGGTCCCTCTTAAGTGTTTGGTATTTTCTTGGCAATTGTTGTTGAATGCACTTTCTTGTAAGGGTTTGCTAATTGATCGAGGTGTTCAAATTGATGATATAACTTGTTGCTTCTGTCATAATTTGGAAGAACTTCTAACTCATTTATTTTTAACGTGTTCAGTTTCATCTCAAATCTGGTACTTTACTGCGCGTTGGCTTGGATTCTCACTGATTTTATCTTCAGATATATCGACTCACTTGCTTTATTAGGTTGGTGTTGGCTGTAGTAAACGAGAAGAGATATGCTTATTAATTGTTTGGGTAAGTACAACGTGGTCTTTGTGGTTACATAGAAATAAAATTGTATTTTTCAATGGTGTTTTGGATAAAAGAGAAGTTCTAGATTCTATTATTCTGAGGTCCTGGAAATGACTATCACTTGTTAGTAAGGGAGAAGCTATTTTTTTAGCTAATTGGTATTTGAACTCACGAAATTGCATTCGTCTTAACTTTGTATAAGTATATTTTTACTTTTTATTACTCTGAGTTAGTAATTTTTTTTTGTGTATATGAGTTTTGAGTTCTCCTTAAACTCTTTCTAATAATATATATTTTGTCTATTAAAAAAAATAAGAAACAAATAATTTTTATTAAGGATAATTTTATTCAAGTAAAAAATATCTATAATGTAATAAAACTAACTCTGCAAATTTTTTTTCATAAACAACAAATAGTAGTATTCGATTTCTTTAAGACAAATCATATTTTGTGTACAAAATTATTTTATCAAAAGAGTAAAACCTACTTATATACCAGATGTTTTAAATTTGAGTAAGACTAATTACTGTACATAAAAAAAGTCTATAATATAAATTAACAGTCAAACGGGCAAGTTGATTGGGTCTTTTGTATATTATCTATTTGATGACTGAAATACGTTGAAGCCGATTCCGTATTGGCGGCGCAAACTTTGATAATAAATAACAGTGATTGGTATAATTGTATGTCTCCAATTTGTTTTCAACTTTGTGCAATATCAATGTCTCCCCTTTCAACTTTGAAAGGAGATACCGATGTACACCGTCAACGCTCCCTGTCCAAGAAGTGAAGAACCTCCTTATTTTCGTCTACTTCTAAGAGCCTTACAAATACTGGAGAGTGAGATTTTAGAGGATTAAAAATTTGCCAATTTTCATTTTTAATCATTATTTTTAATTTAATATTTTTTATAATAAAAGTAAATGATACACAAATTTTTTATTTTATTTTTAATAATAAAATACTCTTTAAATTAAAAAAAATATTTTATATTAAAACAGTTACTATCGTTAATTTTATATTAATAGATTACTAAGTTAGTGATTTAATTAAAACTATAATAAAAATATGATAAAAACTTTTTTAAATAAAAATTTGTTATTATTAATTGCTTAAATTAAACTTTAAGAATTTATATTATTATTATTATTATTATTATGATTATTATTGTTTTATATATATATATATATTACTTAAATAACTTGTTTTTCTTTCACTTTATATTTGGGTGGTCTTGATAGCATTTAAGGTGTCCACAATGAAACGTGCATGCATTCACTTAAACGTCAACAGTGAAGAAGCATAATGCAACAAAGAAATTAGATGCATTAACGACAACTGTATGAAATTGAATGAACTTATTACGATGTGCTCCTTTTACACTCGTTGTTGAATAACTATTGCATCAGTTCTCTCATATCAGCCGAAAACACCATTTATCTATATTATTCAATTAATTTGACTATGTATCATCAATTGACACCAATTTGAACGCTAGTTTGGATTTGATCTTATTATTAATGGCCGGCTGTGGCCCCCACCCTCCATTTTATTATCTCTTCTATGTATGGAACCGTCAAAATCCTGCAAAGTACTGATTTGATCTGTGAGTATAAAATGTAGAAAGAAGATTATAATACTGTAACCTCAATTTGACCAAGACTAAGTGCTATTAGGGAATAAAAAAATATAAAAATGAATATAATAGTTTATGGTAATATGAACTGAGTCAAGATATTGTCAAGGTAATATAATTTGTTACCATTATGTTCCACTGGTTGCAGTATTTAATAAAGAGTGGAGTCTATATCCCTTGAATCCATCCTTCCACTATGTCATTATCCTCTACAAATATTTAAGTAGAGGAAAGATTATGAAATTGGTTGAGTATGCAATTAGAAGTGGAACAGAGACCGTAAAAAATAATGTTTTCACACCCTAATAAGGTGTATATAACTTTGGTAAAGATGAATAAAAATGACAAATATAAAAGTGATATGATATAAATGAAAGAGAAAAAAAAATAAAAGGGTAAGGTAGGTGTAAAAAATGAAGTTAAAAAACCATTATAGGTTAAAATATCATTGATGTGTCAGTAATTCTAGCCTTCTCCCCTGCTTGTTTTCGTTTAGTAGGATACATGGTAATCATCTATAGATTCCATTTGTTATTTGATATGATATCTGTATACATTTCTTGAATCACTGGATTTACTGAGGGAGAAATCCGTAAACTAACCGAGCCTTAAAGATTCAATGTCAACATAACGGTGCATTTTAGATTTTAGCCTTTTTAGTACAGTGCATCAGGCAAATCACCTAGGTGGGTTCATTTTCAATATTACATGCAGCCATAAAGACTATCATAATTAAGAATGTACGGTTTGCTTGGTCAAGGTGTGTTAGGCGGTAGGAGCTAATGGCATTATTGGCATTACATAAAATCTAGTCAACTAAACCTACCTACCCATTTACAAGAGCTTAAAAGTCCATGTTACATCACCGAGAGTTATAGTATAGCCTAAAGAGTGGATGAGTGTATTTTCCTTTGCCTTTTATGAGAAATATTCCAAAAAGAATCTCCAAGAATTGCACTTTGTGGCTCCATCTAATGAACTCTGTATGCCACATGGCAGTGGCAAGAACTAAATTGAATATCAACATGGTTTTTAAGGACAAAAACTTTCAACACTTAAAAGCTACTTTTTGGAGTGTTTGTTTGATCCTTTTTGCAGTTGCTATAGTTGGTCCTGTGAACTGCAAATAAAAGGATACCCAATTTTAGATAAAGGGAAATATCGAAAAGTATTTAGGATATCCAAATATGCACACCCTTAGTGAAGGTAAAATGCAAAACACCAGTTAATCATGTTCTGCTTAATGCATTAACTGAATTTAGTATAAAACCAAAAAGGCATATCCAAATCTCACCACAGATTTAATGGTTAGATAAAGATTCCCATCAGCTTCTGTTGACTGAACTGAATTAAAATCTATATTGAGACTGTTGACAGCTTCCATAATTTCCATCAACCTTCCTGCTCTTGAAGGGCACTTCATTTCGATTACAATTTCATTATTACTAGTAAAGACAGCAACATCATTAGTAGAACTACCTCTTAAAGTATCTGAATTAATCTCTCTTACTGTTTCTTCTATGCCACAAGCCTTCCTTTTTTTTACCACTGCTTTCTTGCCATTATTAGTTTTGTTATAATAATGATCAGAAGTCCTCTCCATCATATCTTGAGGTGATCTTTTAGTTCCACTCTCTATATCTTTTACCCCCCTCTGAGCTTCCAACTCTTCTATCCTTTTCTCGAGCTTTTTAAGGTATTCAATTGCATCATCTAGTATTGAAACTTTGTCATCCTGCAGGAATGTTGCATTTGATTAATTTGAGCTACAAACAAGCACACAAATGTCAAGACTAAAATATCCATTACCTTACTAATTGAAGGAACCATTGACCTCAGGGTTAAAAACCTTTCATTTAGTTTTGCTCTTCTCCTTCTCTCTGACAAAACATGGTTCATGCCAATTTCATCAGCCTCTAGTCTCATTCCCTCTTTATAGTCATTCTCTTCTTGAGACTCAAGTAACCCATCCAAGTGCATCCGAGGAACTTCAAACAATACTTTCTTCAACAAGTTCTGTGAGGTTCCTGCTCTTGGCCATTGGCAATTCATTGCCCCTTCTTTTCTCCAACTGACAAAGCTTGATTCCTGATGAATGTTTTGAAAATGTGTCCCCATGAGTAATTGGTCAGAGCCTTTCAAAAGGGAAGAAAGAACTCTCTGATAATGCCAATCATCACTTAGAGGATCCACTACGGTCATTTTTGTGTTGCTGCACTTCTGAAGATCCCGGGCACAAGGGGCAGAAGGGTTATCACCCTTGAGGGCAGAAGCAATCTTCTTAGGGCTGGCTAAAGTTTGTGATATACAGTCACTGGAATTCATGGAATTGTGGACACAGTTGCTCAATTCATCATCCATAACTTGCCAGCTTTGGACTTGAGAGGTGCCACTGGTTATCTTTTCAACCGTGAATGTTTCATCTGGTGGTTGATTAGCCTGTAATGCATTTGAACTACCATTAGGAGAGGTTGTGTTGATTATGCCATACCCAACTTCTGGAATTGATTCAACATTGTAAGCATTATGATCAAATGCTACACAAGCAACATCTTCCTCGTTTCTTGATTTCAATGTAGCTCCAGACTTATTGGGAACATTGACACAAAGAGTATTCAAGAAAGAAGTTCTGATCCGTTGAATGAGACTAAGATCTTCTGAGACCTTCATATAAAGAAAGTTATGAGGGGGGCCATAACAGAACAGTAATATTAGCATTAAAACCAAGGGGAAAAATTACCTGATCAGATGTACCTAGCTCAATAACCCCTTCCAAAAATGGAAAGCACACCACTGTCTGAAAATTGAGATCAAGGAAATAAATTACACAGCGCATTGATTAGATTTTTCCAATTAAATTGACACAAATTTGATTTTCTGATCACCCTAGTCTTCTATTTGGAATCTCCCTTCTTTGTGTGGAAGAAAAATTACATGCGTGGAATAGATCCACTAGATTTTGAAGAGCCTTGCCTTAATTAGGGTAATAAGCTACCATTTCAAAAACCCAAGATCTTAACTCATGACCATAGTGAAAGAATCCTAATTTCTAATTAGGAATTAAGATGAAAATTGTTGCAGCAGATCCTTGACTAAACACTATAGAGTTATTCCAAAAGGAAGACCTGCTCTAACACATCTAAATATCTTTGGATCATATTTTGATAGCACTAAGCTAACTGTTAATTATAATTATTGGAAAGGTTTATAAATCAAAGACGATTAAGTAAAGAAAAATCAGGATGGTACCTGGATAGATGCACTCTGAGCATGAGAGAAGACAATTGTTACAACACAAGTGTGTTTATGGAACAAAGACCAAACAAAGAAGACTTATTTCAGACTTTTTGTCGTTTTAAGCAAAAGAAGAAGAAAGAACAAGGAAAGTCAAGAAACAGAACAGAATCCTACCTTTGCCAGCAGAGAACGACTAAAAACTCTACAATCAGATGAATCGGCATTGTTCAGCCAAATTGGTTGGCCCTTTGCTAGAGTTCTTCCTGGTAACCTATGAGTATACATAGATTTGAGAATAGACTAAGTGCCTGTTTGGTTCAGTTTATTTTGAAGAAATAATTGCTTTCCGAGAGAGCTTTTGAAAACTAAGTGATTATTTTTCTAAATTTACACTTTAGATCACACAACCCCCCATTTGGGAAGATAATTTGATGATCCTCCAAAAATCAAAAAATGAAAAAAATAAATAAAATTTATTTACCCTTGGCCAATGTTGAATACAAAGGACATGCAAACCAAGTAATACCACTCTGCATCAGTGAGATCTTCAGGAGACAGTGCTGCTGAAGGCCTCTTCGTTTGTGGGTTGGTTTCTGCAGTTTTGAGAGACTTGAAAAGCTCTCGCAACTGTTCACTTCTCTGCAACCCCATTTGGTCAGAATTAAGTTCCACACCTTGACTTGTTTTCCTAGTCTTAATGTCTCCATTGTAATATCCTTCCCCCCAACTCAACACCCTTAAAAAAAATATTAATATGAATGAACATAATGGCTTCTTATCACCAAAATCATAAGCAACAATACCAGAAAATCAAACAGTAGATTCAGAATTTCAATTAATTATTTTCCATAGATGAGAAAAGCATGGGTAGGTAAGAACTTAGAATTGTTGATTTATTATTCTCTGGTAGACCAAAGATGCATCCTGAAAAGACATTGGTGAATCAAACTTGGCACATACATATGACAAGTTAAATCGTCTCATCTAATATGAAGTCTTCTCGGGTATTGATTGAAAAAAAAACACAACATATTCAAGAAGGGGAAAATGCAAAGTCAAACAATTCAGAAGTAGCTAATATGAATGGAACAGTTGGTAGGTACCCGGGTTGGGTAGTTGAATCAGTCCAGAAGATTGCATAGCTCCACTGAATGCTTCTCACAGCCAAAGCAAGTTGCTTCTTCATGTTGTCTGGCACCATTTTTTCTGGTTTTGCTAATAAGGGTAGCCACAACTCATCACAAAGATCAAATTTTCAATATAAACACAACCACCCTACACTGTGCTGTGTTCTATGATCAGATGGTAAAAAAAAATAAGGCTTGTTGGACTTCTCTCTTTCTCTATATCTGTCTGTATATTTTGATTTATTCGCCTTTTTGCCAAGGCCTTGTTTCCTTGATCATAGAAAGAGAGTTGTGATAATAATTAACTACAAATTAAAAAAAAGAACTGGGGTGTGCTCCAAAACTGTTGTAGGCCAAAAGCAGGTATTGTTCAAATACTAGATTCGGAATCCAAACCAAAACTACTATTAGCATAAAAAGCGCAGTGTAGCAGTAGATGTTGACTCGAGAGGGACGATGGCAATGATGCTTGTCTTGTTCCAATGGATACTATTATGCAGAGAAACAAACAAGGAACCCATAGTTGTCACTGATTTAGAAAACCAACCCCGTTTGTGATTATTTTATTCTCATTCCTATCTATTTTTTTACAAAAATAAGTTAACACATTAACACGTACTTCGAGATCACACAAAGAAAATAAAGCTTAAAATAGGTTTGTAATTTCTACAATTTTACCTTATTATTATTATTATTATTATTATTATTATTATTATTTTAGTTTTGTTAATCCATGATTTATCTAAATTTATTACTATTGATTCTTATTGATAATACGACTTCACAATAAGTTAACAAATATCAATCTTTTAATTAATCATCTCATTGTTAGAGATTAAAAATACTAAATTTTAAAAAATTAGATACTATAATTTCTTTTTAAAAATAGAGAAATTTAAATTAAAATATTATAAAAATGTATTTCAGATTTTTAAAAAAGACAAATTTTAGGTACAATTTTTTGTATACTTTTAGTACTATTATTTATTAAAATTAAAATTTTATTTTAATAATATGTCACTACTAAAAATGTTGACCTTTTAGCAAGACAAAAAAATTATTTTGTTTAAAAAAGTAAGAGTAAACATACTGAAATAATTGTACTTGAGTTTCATTTAAAAAATTATAATTTTTAGATTAAATTAATTTGTAGATCCTAAATCTTTTAGAAATTTTTAAATAAATTCGTATACTTAAAAATTTATAACTATGTGATTAACCTAGTTATAGATTTTCAAATAGCTCGAAAACTTACACAATAATTCAAGTAATGACTAAAATCCCTAAATTATTTTGAAAATTTTAATATTATTTATCTACTCAACAAAACTTGAACTCAATTAAAAATAATTTAAAAAATTTAAAAAATTAAGACATACAAATTTTTAAAATATGAAGATTTTTTTATTTTTTAAAAATTAATAAGAAGTGGTCTGTCCTACTTTCGTTCCTTTTTACTGAGAACAAATTTGTGGCAATTTTATGCTGTGGGTAAGCGATTAAAAAGCGCCAGTACTCTCAAATCAACTGCAAACTATTTACACAAAAATAAATAAATAAATAAAACATGACATGAAATCTAACTTAATATTTTTTTTTATGAAAGTTGCACTAAATTAGTAAAAATAAAGGAGAATTATCCCCATTTTTATTTTAAGAAGTCGGGAATAAAAAGAGTACTCTAATTTTATGTAAAGACAAATGCTAACTAATATTTCAAAGATATTGTTTAAAGAATTAAAAAATATTATTAATATATTTTTCTTGTATTCTACAATTTTATGCATGCATTTTTTTTAACTAATATCTTGAAAAATATATAATATATTAAAAATTAAAAAATGTAATTAAAATTTGTTAATAAAAAATTTATTTTCAATTGCTTACAATTAAATGTAGATGTCTTGAGTCCGTTTGGGTTGAAAATTCAAAGACAACATTTTTTTATTGCAAATAGCTCAACACAAGATAGCAAATCTTAGACTTACTTAATTATTAATGTTTGCACACCCAACACTTCATACACTGAATTATGACTAAGGACTCACTTTTTATCTGTCTAAATCGTTTTATGGTTAAGCCACATGAGTCGTAGCATATCATTTTTCTTCTAGTCTTTTATACAATACTTTTATATTCATATTTTGCTGGTTTTTTAAGTTGAAAGAATGAATATCTAATCAGATCAAGCAACAACCACAAATTCCACAATGATATATAGATGCTTCGTAATTAATGGTGAAAGAAGTTGTAATGATGCATTTTATTTAACTCATAAAGCAAGCCCACGTAGAGGGCAAAGTCTCCATATCCTCGAATGTTGTAGGTAAAGTGGTTTTTTCACCTTTTTTTAGAGTTAAAAAGGATAATGTCACTTTCACTTGCTATTTTAACGTCATTCTATTTTCAACGCTTACAATAAAAGTGTTTGACAAATCATCCAGAGACTTGAATGGTTGAGCCAGTTTGAGACACGTGGTTTTGCATAATTTTGAGGATAAAAACATGCATTCAATGAACCAAGGTCGAAGATAGATAAGAATTTGTAATAAAATTAATTTGACCACACCTGTGGTCAAATTTTTTTTCATTATTAAGTTTAATTTTTATAAATGAATTTAAGAATTTGAAAGAGATAATTTTTTATTGGGAAAAAGATATTTATTGTATTAAAATATTTATTACATTTTTATAGTTTTAATATAACAAGGATAAAGTATTAAATAATTAATTAATTTTGTATGTATTCATAAGTTAATTATAGAACTTGCTCGGGTAAACGTTAACCGTGTCATGATTTAAAGAAGAAAAGAAGACAAAAAATGAGCTTGTGCAAATTACGATGCACATTGAAGGATTATTATTTTCTCTTGTAGTGAAAATCAATTTTGAAAGGTTTGAACATGTTTTTGCTAGGGAATTACGGGTCTTCTTATCTCTTCTAGTTTGAGATGATGTCTTTCCTTCTACTGCTGACTCTATCTGACGTAGGGGGTGTACTTGCAAAAGGCATTTCGATGATGAAATCAGGTACCGGTTTAGGCAATAAATATTATTTAATATTTAGAAGTCAACTATTTACCTATGTCTCCTACCTTCATTTCATAAGCATTATTATGAGCTAATGGGCTTTGTGAGTTAGCCTTGTTTTCAGCCTTCTAATTAAGCTGATAATATTTTTTATTATTTATCTAAATAAGCTCAATTATTATTTAATTCATAATTGATTTGTTTTGAAGGGTACTCGTTCTTCTCAGGCGAAGGGGTACTCGATTTCCTTTTTCTGTCAATAAGACCGAGTAGTGTCTTATCTGGTACACTAGTTCCCTAAGCTCGAGGAAGTAGAACGAAAGGGCTTAATATCATTTTAACCGAACGGGTACTTAGTTTTGAAATTATATGAATGTCACAATGGGTAGTTGGATTACTCTATCGATATCTTCAGATCGAATAGGTATGCGGCTCAGAAGAGTATACTAAAAGTGATGGTGTCGACAATTTAGGGTTTCAAATTTTTAGGGTTTCCTTGTGGTTTGTGCCTTTGAAACGAAAGGTTGTTTGATCTAATCCGTAGATTTGGAGAAAGATCTGACGGTTAAGGAGGGGCGTGACGCTTCAGATGCTCTACATCTTGAGTTCTATAAATACGTGGTGGACTAGGCCTCTTCTCGTTCCTTTTCGCTCTAGACCGAGGGGTATATGTTGGTGCTTTCTGTTTTAGAAGCTCTTTCTTTCTTTCTTTCGACTACTTTCAAGGCACGCTCTGTTTAATCTTCATCCTTTCTTTTTACATCATCTTTTTTCAATAGCCGACTCTATCGAATGGGAGAATTTGCTATCAGACCATACAAGACCGACTACTATTGTCGAAGTTGGGGTCCTTGGTGAGACCGAAGGGTCTGAGGAAGTCTCAAGATCGACTAGTATTAGGGAGGGTCTTGAGAAATCAGTGAGGGAATGTGAAGAAGCAGCCGAGTCACCTGACGTAGGAATGGATGGGTCTGAATCAACTAGTTCGTTGCCGAACGCTAGCCCCCCAAGAGAAAGGCTCACCTTCCCCACTTGCACGATCCCTGGATATGAATGGGTAAACGGTGAAGTGGCTGCCTACTTCTTCCGTTTTCAAGAGAATAAACGACTTCAATCCTTTGTAGACCATTGTGATATATCACTGTGGGAGGCTTCGGATCCTTATCCAATATCTATTAATGTTTGCCAAGGAAATGGTTCCGGCAATCTCGAACTAGTATTTTTAGGGGACAATGTGGAAATGGTCAATACTTTCTTTGTATATGAATATATGTTTAGAGAATTAGGAATAAAACTTTCCTTTAACGACTTCCAAATGGGGGTGTTGAGGACTTTAAACATCGCACCAACCCAACTTCATTCAAATGGATGGGCGGCGATGCAAGCCTTTAGGATTTTGTGTAAATTTCATTATATAGAACCTAGTGTAGGTTTATTTCTCTATTTTTTCTGTACTGGTCCATCTGACAAGGCGAGATGGGTATCTTTAATAAGTTAAGCCGAATTGCTTTTGTTCAAACCTTATGCTTCATCTTTTAAGGGTTTCAAGACTGGTTACTTTAAGGTAACCGTGAACCCTGTAGGTAGAAAATATTCTTTTGATAATGAAGACAAATCTTTTTTTCCTTTCCACTAGACCCGAGTACCTCGTCGATACGACATTTTTCCTGAGGATATGTTATTGGCTGAAGAGTTGTCGGCTCTAGAGTATATAAAGACTCTTCCTAGGGAGCTACATGTTCGATCTTTTATTCTGTTGTTGAAGTCTCCCCAACCTCGGTTAGATATGGATGGTATATTTCATATTTTTATTTGTATTTTGAACATTGGTTTATATTGATTTGATTTCTTGTTTTCATTGTAGGCATAATAGCACAGAGAGGATCTGGTTTGGGCTACCGAAAAGGTCTTAAGTTGAGAGCTTCTAGGGGCACTTCTGCTGATGATCACTGATACCCTGTAATAGATCAAGTTCCTCGTATAACCAAAGCCCGCTCCGGGATCTCATCCTTGCCGAAGGCCGGCTCAAGAAAATGAAGGACAAGGGCAAGGAGAAAGAGTCCGAGAAGGAAAAGAAGCAAAGACGTGCTCGATATGTTAGGTCAAGTGGTCTAGGGGGATCCTCGGTTCATATTGTGGTACCTCATGCCGCTGTATCTGAATCCTTCTTTGCTGATAGATTTTTGGTCAACCAAGTGGTTTGTCCTGATTCGTTATCAGAGTTGGGGCAGGCACTTGTAAATAACGAATCACAAGACTCACTGGCAATGGTACTGCAAGTTTCAGGCTCGGGCCATGGTGATGGCATGCAACTTTGCTTTGGAACCTTTGCAAGAACTGGAAAGGGTTCAAGGTCGACTCTCCTCCTCCGAACAGGCCTCAGCAGAGAGTGAAGAGGTTTGGTCAAGCTTGTCCAAGACCAACAAGTTGTTGGAGGAAGAAGTTGCTCAAATGAAGGAGCACTTCCATATAATGGAGAATCGGATGCACGCAACCGAGGAGGCTTTAAAGGCAAAAAACTTGGAGCTGGAAGCCAAAAGTTGAAGCAAAAGTCTGAAACTGAGCTGAAAGCTTTAACCAAGGAGTGCAATGTAAAACTCGTATTGGAGCATGAGGCCGATTTCAGGCATGCTATCCGCCAAGCTTTTGAATTCTGCCAAGTCCCTTCCTACTTCAACTTTGACCCGTCCAAGGACTTCCTTGGTGAGAAATTTCTACCATATGAAGAGGTGGATGATGAAGTGGGGCCCGATTCTAAGGCACCGAGCCAAGCTCAAGGTGCCATTGAAGAGGATGCCTCTTCCTAGCAAGGTCCCAAAGGGGGAGATTAATTTTTTCTTTTTACTTTTTGTAACTCATAGGCCAATAGTGCCTAAATTTTGTATACCCTTCGGTATTAATATAAATTTGGTTTCTTCAATTCGCGTGTTTTTGTATATTTGCTTATATTTTTATGCCGCTATCTATAATATAATTGAAGCGATGTTAATCATTACTTTCAATCGAATAAGTGTAATCGAAGAGTGTAACTATTTCATTTTTTACCAAGCAAGGGTACTCGAGAGGGTATAATTAATTCATCCTTGACCGAGTAGGGGTACTCGGAGGGTATGATATAATTTGATTCATCATTGACCGAGTAGGGGTACTTGGGAGGGTGTTTAATAATTGATTCATCCTTAGCTGAGTGAGGGTACTCGGGAGGATATGATATAATTTGATCCATTCTTGACGAGTAGAGGTACTCGAGAGGTTGTTTAATAATTGATTCATCCTCAGCCAAGTGGGGGTACTCGAGAAAGTATTTAATAATTGATTCATCCTTGACCGAATAAGGGTACTCGGGAGGATATGATATAATTCGTTCATCATTTGCCAAGTAAGGGTACTTGGAAGGGTATTTAATTGATTCATTCTTAGCCGAGTGAAGGTACTCGAAAGGGGATTTAATAATTAATTCATCCTTAGCCGAGTGGGGGTACTCGGGAGGGTATTTAATAATTGATTCATCCTTGACCGAGTATGGGTATGCGAGAGGGTATGATATAATTCATTCATCCTTGGCCAAATAAGGGTACTTGGAGGGTATTTAATTGATTTATCCTTGGCCGAGTGGGAGTACTCAGGAGGGAATTTAATAATTGATTCATCCTTGACCGAATGGGGGTACTCGGGAGGGTAAAAGCGATAATCCAAAATAACTGAATAGTTGTAGAAGAGGTATGTTTATTGATGATGTGTGCCTCGCTAACTTGCTCAGCTACCACCTTTGAGTCACTCCAACAAGTGATACGTCTAACTCCAATTTTTTTTGCCAGTCTAAGGCTGGCCAGTAGCGCCTCATATTCAGCCTGATTGTTATATGTTTTAAACCCAAACCGAATAGATTGTTCAATCATTATCGAGTTCGGTCCTTCCAATATAATCTATGCCCCGCAACCTTGTTGGTTTGATAATTCATCCACATGTAAATTCCACATATCAGTAGTAGTCTTTTTCTGTGTAGTGAATTCATTGACAAAGTCTGCGAGCACTTGAGCTTTAAGAGGTCCCCAGTTTTCAAAATGGATATCAAACTGGAATAGTTCGATCACCCAAGTCATTAACCGACTTGCTAACTCTAGTTTTCTCAAAATTTTGGCAATTAGGCAGTCAGTACGTACGATGAACTGATGACTTTGGAAATAATGTCTTAACCGGCGAGTTGTGTAAACTAGTGCCAATATCGACTTCTCCATTAACTGGTATTGGGTTTCAGTACTTTGAAGCGTTTGGTTGATGAAATATACCGGTGTCGATTCAGGTGTTTCATGTAGTAGTACCTAGCTGATAGCAGTTTCTGATATAGCCAAGTAGACAATCATATCATGTCCTGGTTTTGGCTTTGCCAAAATAGGAGGAGCCGCCAACATATTTTTATATTGGAGAAAAATGGTCTCACATTTATCTATCTATCCACTTGAATTTTTGTAATTTTCTGAGTAGATTAACGAAAGACCAAGATCTCATACGCTTTGTTTAAATCTGTAAAGTTAGTGTACATTCTCCACTTTCCATTGACCTTTCTTACCGTGACCACATTAGCCAACTAGGTAAAGTATCAAACTTCTCGGATGAAATCGGCTTTCAAAAGCTTACTTATCTCCTATTTTACTGCTTGTGCTCTATCTCTCCCTATATTCCTCTTCTTCTGTGTCATCGGCTTAGCCCCTTGAAAATCGACAAATGATGACAGAGAAATTCAAGATTAATGCCGGCATGTCAGAGACAGACCAGGCAAACTGATCGGCATTTTGTTTTAACACATTTTGAAGGTCCTGTTGCTCCTCCCTGGACAAACTGGTTCCCAGGTAAATGACCTATTCGAGTTGTTTTCCTAGTTGAAAAAAATGCTTATTTTCACTGGGTTCAACCCGAAATCCCTCATCAACTCTTGGATCCATTTCGATATCCAAGTCCGCTCATGACTGGGGGGATACAATGTTAACATCTCGTCTGTATCTTTGGAATAGCTTTAGACGCAGACTTGCGAAGTAGCATTCTCTAGTTGTCTTATGATCGGTATGAACAGTAACGATTCGGCCTTTCTTAGATGGAAATTTCATGACCAAGTGAGGAGTAGACACTATGGCTTTCAACTTATTGAGGGATGGCTAGGCAAGTAGTATATTGTACGAAGTATTTGCATGGACTACCAGATAAGTGACCTTTATAAGTTTTCCTTTGTGTTCACGACCAAAGGATGTATATAGGTCGATATAGCCACGCGTCTCCACTCATTCTCTGAAAAAACCAACAAGTGGCTCATGGTACTCTTTTAATTCTTCCTTTGGTATTCCAAGTTGCTTGAAGGTATTCCAGTACAGGATGTCAGCCGAGCTCCCTTGGTCAATTAAAGTTTTTCAGACTGTGCAATTAAGGATATCTACACTTATGACCATAGGATCATCCTGAATCGGATTCACTCCTTGAAAGTCTTCGTCAGTGAATGTAATGAGGGGATTCTGATTCTACTACCCAATGATATATTGTTGACGGAGCGGACTTGTCTCAAGTGCCTCCTTCTGGCTGAGTTAGTAGGTCCTCCACTTGCAAACCCACTGACTATGGTGTTCATAACTCGCTTAGGATATTTTTCACGCTCATCATAACGTTTGACAGGGGGCTCTCTTGACCAACTACGCTGTCATTCAGACTTTTTGTCATGGTATCTTCTTAATGATTCAGGGTAACAGTCTCTACCCCTTTCAGCATGACTGAGGGGGTTTGTTTGTATAAACCCTTGCAGATGTCCTTCTTTAATCAAATTCTCCATACGATCTTTTAAGGTCATGCACTCCTCTATGGTATGTCCTTTATTATGGTGGTATTGGCAAGATTTGGACTTGTCTACCCGAGGAGGAGTATTGGCACACCTAGGCATAGTTAGTATCTCTCTTGCAAGAGCTTGGTCAAGCACCCTTGAGCGATTGGTGTTGAGGGTTGTGTAGGAAGGATATTTGGGTCCTCTAGGCAGCCTCTTAGCATCACTTCTTCGATCTTTGTTTTCTTTCCTAAACTTAAAAGATTCTCTTTTTTCAACATCTTTTGAGTTGGACCCCTGCTCCATCTGTACTTGACTACGGTACTCAGCCAACTCCTCCATTTGCATATACTTAGCAGCCCAGCTTCTCAATTCATCTAGGTCCGTGGGTGGCTTTTTACATATGTTATTGACAAAATGTCCTGGTCTAAGAGCTGTTGTGAGATGATGCATGACCATTGCTGGCTCCAAGTTGTGGATTGAGAGGGTCACTTTGCCAAAGCGCTCAATGAACGCTCTAAGTGTCTCTTTTTTTTCCTGACAGATGTTAACAAGTATTAAAGACGTCAGAGGATAGGGGTGGCTTACGGCAAATTGTAGGCTGAATCGTTTGGTTAGGGTTGCAAACGAATCAATGGACGAGGGGGGTAACTTGGTAAACCAGTTGAGTGTTGGTCCTCGAAGCAAAATGGAAAATATTCTGCATAATAAAGCGTCATTTTCTGTGTATAAATTGATTTGTGTTGTAAAAATGTCCAAGTGTTCTTTGGGATCGACTGTTCCATCATACTTTTCTAATGTTAATCCTCTCCAATTGTCAGGTGATTTAGCCTCTAAGATAAGCTGAACAAAGGGCTTCGACTTGCAGTATCGTCCCAATCCGTTTGGGTTCCAAGTTGCTAGACCACCCATGGTTTTTCTTGCAATGTCGAGGACTCTCCCTGCTCCTAGGCGAAAGGTGTAGTTTGAGAGGGTATATGTGTTCTGATTTCCTCCCTCAAGTTGGTGTTTTTCCTTCTCAAAGCCGACAGCTCGAGGGCATCCCTTTCTCTTCCCCTTTGCATTTCCATCATTTCAACCTTAAGCTGTCTCACTACTGCAAAAAGGCTTTCATCTCCACCCCCTCTCTACTAGAACTTTCAGGATTAGCTGGTTAGGTGTGGTATCCTCCTGCTGCCGAGAGGTTCCTCCTTGCTGAATATGTCCATCTTGTTGCCTTCTTGTTAGTACCATGATGACTCTAAAAAATGAGGCAATCTAGCCCCACGGTGGGCGCCAAAATATTCTTGCTAGGGAATCACTGGTCTTCTTATCTCATCTGGTTTGAGATGACGTTCTTCCTTCTACTGCTGACTCTATCTGACGTAGGAGGGTGTACCTGCAAAATGCACTCTGATGATGAAGTCAAGTACCAGTTTAGGCAATAAATGTTATTTAATATTTAGAAGTCAACCATTTACCTGTGTCCCCTACCTTCCTTTTATAGGCATTATTATAGACTAATGGGCTTTGTGAGTCAGTCCTATTTTCAGCTTTCTAATTAAGCTGATAATATTTTTTATTATTTATCTAAATAAACTTAATTATTCTTTAATTCATAATTGATCTGTCCTGAAGGGTACTCGTTTTTCTTAGGCTGAAGGGGTACTCAGTTTCTTTTTTCTATCAGTAAGACTGAGTAGTGTCTTATCTGGAACATTTACAGATAACAAACTCATAATAACTTGTTTTCAAAAGCAAGTTTATGAGAACAAATCACTTAAACTCAATCATCCAAACATACATAGACTCACATTTCACTCACCTGAAAAATGAGTAAAAGAATTTAAAAAGTAGTTCCAAACACATCCTAAATATCTCTCAGAAAGCTATATAAGCTATGGTTATTTGCCTTACCATACATACATAGATAGCAGCCACCTACGACAAAAACAAATAGACAGCCACCTTTGTCTCAGTCATACAATTATTACAAGACTAACTATCAATCTCTATTTTTCCGTTATAAATGATTACTTAATTTGAGTTTTTGGTTGTTGTTATTATAAATTTTCTTCCCTAGCACTGCTCTGTGGTCACAGATAAACTAGGAGAACGAAAACGATGAGATTCCATTCCTGTTGTTTGGTTCAACCCCTCAATCAAATTAAATAATGCACTAAGTTCCAAATCCAAACCAAAGTTAATAGAAGGTGGCTATTGCGTGAGCCGTCAGCTCAAGAAATTATGTCTTATGCAAACATATTTCCAAACTAGAATCCTTCAAAATAAATGTTTTTCATATAATTCAAACAATTAATGAGCTTGATTATTAGAAACATTGTTTACGTAAGATTTCTTTATACCTCGTATGGCTCGTTGGTATCTGACTATCATATATACAACGTGCTAGCTGCTTGCTTTGATCATACTTAATGGGGAGAGAAACACCAAGTTCATTAGTTGTCCTCTTAGAAAGTAATACAACACCATGTTCAGTTACAATCTTTGTTTTCTTCAAATGAATATACTAGTATAAAGCATGACATGATATTTTTATGGTGAGTGTATATTATTCCATCCAGCCCAAGTTCTCATTGTTCATCTGTGTATATATAATTAATCCATTAAACTGTTGACCAAAAACAATTAATCCATTCAACTTGACCAAAACAATTTTTCATCAAAGAAAACAAACCAAAAACCAAAACTTAGATTTCGTCTGTACATGTTTAATCCATGGAAATGAAAATCAAATTTTCTAACGTGCGCTTAAAAATCATGACATTATAAGGTTTAATACATTGTACGCATCTCATATTTGTGTGTGTAATAATATACACACAACAATATATTTCTCAAGAAATCCCCATATTTGCTGGCTTGTCTAAGTTTTAGAATTTAATTTTGATGTGCAAAAGATTTTATGTTATTAAAAAGTTAGTATATTATTAAAAGAATTAACAACAGGACAATAAATAACTATTCCCATTAACCATTTTCTTAATGGTACGCATGTCAGCATAGAGTGAAAATGACTGAAAAAATTGACATTGAAAACTAATAAACATTTAATTCATAATTTAGGTAATTTAGATTGCACTTACCAATGTTAAAAGAAAAGAAGATTATTCAACACCAGCCACAAAAATTGATTTCCTTTTATTCAAAAAATGATAAACTGAATTTCATTTACCTCCGAACTACCAACAACCAAAATTTGGTTTATCAAAGATTTTGAAATTTTTAAGCATTGCTTGTGTCAGCAACTTTGGACTTGGAGCAGTAAGTTAATTGTAGCAGAATTGACAATTGTATCATTGCTCTTAATAAGTTGTTTCAACTTGATGACAAAATTCTGGAAACAAACAACAATATGAGATACAAAGTGCATAGCATGTCATATACGTGATGAATTCCCATTGGCTTCAGAAAATATGAACGGTAATATGTTGTCATCTAAGTTCATAACACGTTTCTTAATTAAAAAAAAGCCGAATGATACGAAACAATTTTGATACCAGAGATTCTTTTTGTGAAACGTGTTATGAATAGTTTTAAATAAATGGGTAGAGAAATAGGTACACGAGTGGAACAGAACAAGTGACTTTGAGAGAAGGAAATCATATTTATGTTATTCCCCTTTTCAAGATAGAAAAATTGGTTTCACTTCAAGAAGATATAAAAGTGGCTTGTAGCATGTAACAAAACCTGCAGAAATATATTTTTCATTTTTATAATTTTCGTGCCATTCAATCTTTCTTTTTGTTTTTTCTAGTTTTCTATTCTGTTAACAAAATAAAGAGTTTTGTTATTTTTTTTATCTCATTGATATTTTTATTTTATAAAATAAATATAGATTTATTTTTTTTAAATATTACTAAAAAAAGAGTTAGAATGTACTTACAGTAGAAACTAGGTACCGCATAAAGGATAGAGTTGGCCTTTTTATTTTTCATGAATTAATGCTTTAATGGCATTTATTTTTCAAGGTCCATGTTTCTTTTTTTGGGTACAGTAATTCAAGGTTCATGCTTAACCCAGTTTAGAGGGGAATGGATCTCCTACACTTCAAAAATAAGCTGCGTGATATGCAGTTGCAATCAGGTGATGATTCATTTTTACCAATAATTATAAAAATATATATATAATTTGAAAGAAAAGAAGAATGGGATTGATATATTGATCCTGTTTAGAGTAGGGATATAATATATAGAAAAGAAAAAAAGAGAGAAACAAAATAAAAAGATATATTATTTAAGTAAAAAAGAAAAAATTATTAATAAAAAGATCTATTATTTAGATAGAAAATTTAAAAATGAAAGTATGTAAAAACTTTTTATAATAATAACAATAAATTAATTTAATTAAAAGGTCAAATATTTTATCATGATACTTTTATTAATAATTTTTTTCTTTTTTACTTTTATATCATATAAATATCAATTAATATAAAAAAAATTACAACAGTATAACCCACTTTTCTCTGCTCCTTTCCCATTTCTCCTTGCTTTTGTGAGAAAGATTCATAAAGTGAGTGACTTTTTTTTTTAATTACCATTCTCTTCTCTCTGATCTATTTATTAGTAAAAAAAAAAAGAGACAATTTTATATAGTCATCTGTCATGTTCAATTAATTTTATTTCTCACTCTCAATTTCACGTGAAACACGAGTATATTTTTCTCATCCTTCTTACTTTTTTTTCCCTTTTTTACTTGCAAATCACTCAACAGTGTAAGAATAGCATGCTTGTATATTTGTACATTTTTTTAATGTGTCTAAATGTACATAAAAATATTTATTTTTTAAATTTGTATAACATCACACATGAAAAAATTTCATAAATAATATTTTTGTTAAAAATTATAATATTTAATAGCATCAATACATTAAATTGTATTGAATTATATAATTTTTAATAAAAAAATCATTTTATATAAATTGTTATTATATACAATGTTATATAGGTTAAAAAATTGTGATAAAAACTACTCACAAATAATAAGATTTTACTAAAAACCATATCATTAAATGTTATTAATATATTAAATCATGTCATCTTAATATTTGCAATAAAATTTTGATATATGCAATTCTTAGGTACTCATTAAAAAATCAATATTAGTAAAATATGACTCAACTTTGAAGATATATTTAATGTTTGAGATTCTTATAACAATTTTAATGGTTGAGATTAAACGTTCACAAACTATGAGGTGCATTGGACGGCCGCGACTACTTTTTTGTTGCAGTGAGAATCAAATTTTTTTTATTGTCTGTGAGAATCGATATTAAGTGCATGCTTGAAAACATGTTAAAATCACATAAACGTTAAGCCAAACAGAAGCTATAATTAGTAAAGATGAAGTAAACGTTAATTCATAATCATTAATACGTCAATTCAAATGCGTACTAAACATATGAACAAAGCCTAATTATGCGATAAGCTTTTTAAATATTAAATTTTCATCAACATGTTTTCTTTTTTTTTTCATTTGGTGAGTGATCTCCAGTTGTTGAAACATTGTGTATTACTCGAAATATTTAATCATGAAATGATGAAATAAAATCTTGAATTTCCGGTGCTTATGTTGCAAAAGATAAACTGATAGCAGCGAATTGATTATAAGGTTCTTGCTTAGAAGTCAATAACTTATGTATCAGGAAATGTAGCGTCCACAAGACCACAACACTATCCTTCACTATTTCGACATTTTGACACTATTTATTTATTGGCTGTTTTAGTTCTTTTTCTTATTCAGTTCTGTTCATAAATATATTTCGGCCTCTTTCCTTGACCCTTTTTTTGGGCCTCTTTTCTTGACTATGCTTCGGGCATATAGTATTTAAGAGGGTTCGGTTAAGCTTCCAGGCTTTATACACTTAATGACGTAAAGGTTAACCCTACCAAGGCCATGTACCAAGCATGAAAACGTTTCCCAAGTCCCAACTTCAGTTCTTCAGGATTAACTTGACAGAACATGAAACACGTGCACTAATATTTATTGTTAAAAGGAAAAAAGAAAAAAAGCTTTTCTATGTGATTTTACATAAGAGAAGAATAATACTTATCAGATCTGTAACAAGATGACTCACCCAACTCCCCCCTACTGAAAAGCAAAACGATCCAAATTCTATTACATCTTACACGGTGTATTTCTCCTTTCAGAACCTTCGCATTTTATTATTTACACCCAAATTTATTATATACACTGTTTTCCAATAACCAAGCTTCATACTTGCCCACATAGCATCAAAGATGTAAGTTACACATTAATCGCAGCTTTGCTAACAATGGGTTGTCTGTCCTAATTAAGAATGATTCAAATGGCGTTGGGGCTTCCAACTTCCAAGCATTAGCACGTTATATGAAAAATTGCTCAAGTTGCCTTGCAGCCAGCAGGTGGAATCCACACACTTGCTCAAGTAAACTTGTAGACGAAATTCATGAGCCTGGGCCCGAAATATTTATTTTCATATGTTCGCTAGTTCAACACATAGAATTCAAGACTAGTCAGTCAAAAGGTCTTATTCTTACACATGCCAGACATTCCATCTTTCTTGTTTCTTTAATTTCACACTTTTTCCTTTCCGCGAGTGACAAAGTAAAGGCAGCTTATCTTACCTCATCTATCTGCAAGATGGGCAATGGCATATAGGCTGCTCAACAAGAAGCATATTATGTTTTATACCACCCGTTTCAGAACAAAATAACGCATCAAAATATGCCACTCTACTCTCTGAGTACTTCTATTCCTAGAGTTCTATATCCAAGCAAGTATTAACAACACGAGTGTTCCTAAAAAAGGCATAGGCATAAACCATCAACATCTAAAACTTCAACCATGCTGTCCACTAGAAAAATTGTGTCATGCACATTGTAACACAGGGATCAGTCTGTAAACTCTATCCCTTGTTTGTTTACTTTAGGGAGAGGAAACTTCCATATTAACTGCCAAAAAAAAAAGATGTTGTTTTACTTGCACTTCATCACCATCCCAGCACAACCCTTGAAATGACAATATACAGATACATAAATTTTTCAACTTTTTAAAGAATTTGTGATGGTACAGAGAAGCAAACCTTATGCAGGACTGAATCCCCAAGTGTCAGGAGACATTAAGAAGCTTGTTAACAGCGGAGTCCAGAGCATCTACATGCTTTCGTAGGATTTTTCTTCAAACCATTAAGGAATAAGGATTCAATTGAAAACTAAGATCAAATAAGGCAGAAAAAGAGAGAGAGCCAGTCTTTAAGTACAAAAGGGTGTATTCACCGTTAAATCAAAGTGGGTTAAGTTCACAGGGTACTTTAATTAACAGTGGATGCAGCAGCACTTGCACACTTTAGACGGTTTCTATCTTGAATTTAATATAGTAAATGGTTTGTCTAAGTTATCCCATGATATAAATAACATTATGCTAACTAGACTAATGAAGTTAGGACGTTTTATTGAAAATTATATCAACTTTTATTTATTTTATTACAAACAAAATCTCATTAGTTCTTATTTAACCCATGAGGTATCTTAGACAAAGCTTATGGTAAATATAAACATTCCAGAATAACACAAAGACCACTACATTAGAAAAAGATTGCTGGATGAATTTTAGCCAGTCAAGATGCACGAAAAAAAGGGTAAAACAAATTAATAGCAAATAGCAAAGCAATTGGATACAATTGAGATGCGAGATCATCAATGCGCTTCATTTCTTCATTCAATCTGCACCCAAATAATAATGATAATAACGGATGAACTACGCAACTTCAAACCTAATCCTCAAATAAATTCTTATAACAATGATAAACTAATTTGTGGTTGAAGAGAAAAATACCTGAGACATGAGTTTATATACCGATTCCCCTTGGTTGCTGCATCAAGCACTGCAAAGCGCAAAGATAAATGTTAATGATTTGAAATAGTGAGATGAAGAAACAGTTGAGAAATAAAAGTACCAGATTCCTGAAGGCGACCGGTGGCATCGGTAAAGCATTGCATGTGATGGAGTGAGGTTGTGGTAGATTCGGAGAGGGCCAAGCGAAGAGAAGCGAAGAGCGAAGTGAAACTCTGAGCGATGGCCAGTGAATCTCTCTCCACAACCTCTATGGCTCTGAAAATTTCGCTCTGGTTGTTGCCATCTGCGATTGGGGTTTCTGTTTCTCTGTCTCCCATTTCAATTTCAATTTTAATTTCAATTTCGATTTCAATTTCTTCCAATAAACGAATCACGAAACGGATTGTGTTGCTTAAGATTATCGTTCAATATTTAGATTACCTTCCACCCACTGCTGTTCTTCTCTTCAATCCAGATCCTCCTAATCACTCACTCCATAAGCTTAGTAATAATGACGGTTTTTTGAGTAATTTGCGTTATTTATATGATAATAATTATAAATTTGTAAAAGTCCAAAGATTTTAAGAACTCGCTTTATATAATAAGGTTAATTTTATCCGCTTCTATTAAAAAATAAATAAAATGAATATTACTTTGTAAAATTAAAAAATAATTAATTTTAATTAAAATATTGAAGTCATATAATTTTAAAAGCTATATTAAAACCATACTCAATTAAATTCACTTTTATGGGTGAAAATTTGAAATTAAGATTTTTTATTGAAAATTATTATTTAAAATTGTAACTATTAATTTAATTTAATTATTTGTATCTTTTTATAATTTAATAAAAGGAATTAATGAAATAATTTAATTGATGTATTTATCTTTAGTTGTTTTAAAAATGTTTTAAAAATTGCTTAAGTTTTTCAAGTTGAAATATAAATTCCTAACAGATACTTAATTTTTTATTTAAGTGATACTGAAAAAATAAAATACATAGATCTAGTTATTTTTTCTAAAATGCTTATAAGGTATCTAAGTTTTATAAAAAAAAAATTTCAAAATAATACATATATTGTTATATACCATGAAATTTCATAAATTAAATTGTATTTACATATTATAGAATTTGTTAACTAAAATTAATTAATTTAATCAAAGGAAGTTAGTCTGAGTAAGAAACAGTTTAATATTATTTAAGTAAAATTTTATATTTGAGTCTTTATTTATGTAAAAAAATTTTAATGATAGATTTATCTACTACGTCTAAATGCATAATCTGAGTCAGATCTAAATTAGACCGAATAAAAAATAAAAAAATAATTAATTATTTTATAAATAATTAATTTAGAGTTTTATTAATGTCAACCCTTAGAAGCTAAGAATAAAAAAATAATAATAGTAAAATTTTATTAAAAAAAATAATATTTATTATATTTTTATAATTTAAATACAATAACTATATATTTTTTTATAAAATTTTTCTATTTGTAAATACTTAAAACTCAGTTATAAAAATTAATGTTAACAAAACTCATTAATTTATTAGATAAAATCATTTTTTACTTTGTTACACATTAAATATATGTTTGAAAATTTAATAAAATCACATTCAATTACGTTTTAACATAAACCCTAAAACCGGAATGGATTTACATTTTGATACAAAACCAAACACGTTATACTTAAATATAAATTATTTATTTCAAAAAAATCATTGTATCCTTTATTTATTATTGGTGAAAAATTATTAATTAAAAAAATAATATTTGAGGAATGTTAATAATATATTTTTAACACATTCTTAAATATTAACTAAAATTTATTAAAATTACAAAAATATAAAAAAATATTAATTTAAGAATGAAACTTATATAATTTTTAAAAAATTGTAGTCAATAATTAAAAATATATTTTAAAATATTAAAAAATGCATTACTTGCATGATCTTTACAATATTTTTTTGTTAATATTTATAACTATTGTTAAAAATAAAGTTTACATATTTTACTATTACACGTGACTAGATAGCTTAGTGTTTCCTATAAAAGCTTTAAGTAAAAAGTAGAAATAATATTCCACATAATTGTATTCTTTCTTTACTTCGTAACGTGTTTTTTCTCTCTTGATCATTCCAAAACAAATGTTCACGATGCTTCATATTTTTTAACCTTAAAGTACATGGGGTTTGGGAGATTAGAACAAGTCAAATCGTTAAATCGTAATCTTAGTTTGTCGGAATTTAGTTGAGGTAGCTGTAAACTCCAATTTGTAGCACCTTCATTTACTCATGGTGAGGCACGCCCATTTTTTCTTTGTTAGCTTTCTTCTCACATGTTTATTTTTGTTATAACAAAATAGATATTAAAAGATTTTGATTAAATAAACACGACTGTAAAAATAACAAAGCGGGAAAAGACTCTGATTGTGGGGGTGTTCAGGGACACGACAACTTTAAGTGTTACGTGTTTTGGAGAAATAAGATGACAGAAAATAAAGATTTTGGTTGAAATGTAATTTAAAAAAATTAATACTTATTCTGTAAAGTTTTTAAATTATAAAATAATAATATTACCTGTTATATCAAGTTAAAAATAGATCGCTAGTGGTCCAAAAGAGTGAGGAGAGGACCACTTTATAATGATTATATGTAATTCATTTAAAATAATTCCGTAACTTTTTTTCCACTTTTGCAAAGACTCGGAATTGCATAGGGCATATGCAAATAATCTAATGTTTTTTTTTTTTAACTAACATTTCCATAAACATATATAACCGTGACTCCGTGAGATAAACCTTCGAACCAAAAATGATGGTTATATAAAACACTACTTAGAGTTATAATAATTTTAGAAATCTAAATCCTCTAAGATTATTACTCCTTTGTTTGGTAAGGAGGAATAACCAAATTCTTATATAAATGTAAAAAAAATAAAATTAAAGTTGCATGCAGTGCAATACATATCCTCTTTTTTTTTCGTAAAATAAAAAACCAACAGTAGGAGGCCATAAATATTGATAGCTCCTGGCATGTCAAGCCATGTGTAATAAGCACACTGCACCACTAATTCCTCGAATAGCTTTACAACAAACACAGCGTCATCGGTTCGTAGTAGACAACGATGATACGATACGTATTCTTCCCATAATAAGAGGGTGTAAATTATTAGTTAAAGTTGTTCTCAGTTTATCAAATGTCATGACATCTTTTTAAATTCTTACATTCCATGTTTGTTAATGTTGTTTATACCAAATCTTTTTGAAAAATCTGTTTATACCGAACATTTTTGTGGGTATATTTATGATATTAAAGTTGAAGCACATATATCCATAGTTTGAACTTCAAAGTTCCTATGAGACTTCATGAATTAGATATAAATTTATATTATAACATTGTTAACATTTGAGTTGCAAACTTATTTTTTTTTATTTACTAAATATATACCATATATTATTTTTTATGAATTTTGTTAACCTCAATCTTTAAAGATAAGGATAAACAGCTAATAATAGTAATATTTTATTAAAAAAATATTTATTATATTTTTATAACTTCAATACAATAATTTTATATTTTTTATAAAAAAATTCTATTTATTAATGATTAAACTTAACACTAAAGACTAAAATTAACCAAATCTTTCCTTTATTATGTCATATTTTAAAAAAATACAACTCAAATATTTTAGATAAATATTAGGAGAGTTAGTTTCACTGAACTATAAATGTTCATAATTTAAATAAATTAATTTCCATGTAATATATTTATAATTTAGATAAAATAACACGTTAATGTAACATACATTCGTAAGAATATTGGTTTTTTTTATTATTATTATCTGATAATGTAATATGTAATACGTGCCTAAGTATAAAACAATGTTTTATTAGATATAATTTTCCATATATCATGTACTAAATGTTTATAACATTAAATCATTATGCATACCAAACCTGACTTTTTTTAGAGTACTCAAATGAAGTTATTGTTACACTAAGAGAGTACTCAAAGTATGTCGACAGAGATAATTAAAATTATAAGGATGAAAATTACAATTGAACCTTTAAATAGTTTTTCATAGAATTTAAAAAATTATAAAAATAATAATAGTATTATATCACTTTATTAATTTTTTTCCTACTTTTAACGGAGGAGTCATTTGTGTGTGCCACTAACATATCATATTTACAATTAATACGCAATTTCTATATCTTTAATATAACGTTTCAATTTAAAATTAAATTTTATGTTGATAGATTATATATAATAAAAATTGACGTTAAAAATTAAAAGTAATAAAAAAGTAAATTTTATTAATAAAAAAATATAATGTTGTGCACCTAAAATTTGTCCTTATCACATATCGAATACAATCGTTTTCAAATATTTGTTGTCATCTTAATGGTTAATGTCTGTGTTTTTAAATTTTTTTTCGATCTCATTAAAATAATAAACGTAAGTATATTTGGCTAATCGCAAAGATGATGGGCTAATTGAGAGAGACAGATTGATGTTATTTTATTTTAATTTAAATTAAGAAAGGAAAAGAGGCCGGCGGGAATGGCATTCGAGAAATAGGTTGCGTCAATATCATAAAAACTGAATAAAAGAAAAATGCTAATATTAATAATAATAATAATAATTTTAATACGATTATTGTTGAACAGAAGCAGTTAAAAACTTAAAGATTCAAATTTCTTTAGTTGGCTTGTAATCCAATTCATTTCACACTTTCCTAATTTTTCCAAATTTCCAGGTCCTGACGCTTTCATTTGAAAACAACTCAACAAACACAGAAGAAAAAAAAAAAAAAAAGGAAGAAAGAAAAAGCCATGCCCATTGCTTCAACTTAACCTTCTTTTCTTCCACACACTCTCAAAATCTCCCACCTAAATCCTTTTTCTTTTTTTCTTTTTTTTTTTACTTTCATAAACAGAAAATTTTCAAATCTGTTAAGTTTCTCTGCAATTTTTGATCGATCCACTGGCATTGCAATTGCATCCACATTTTGTGCTGCGAGAAATTGTTCTTGTTTCATTGGATTTGATCTCTGTCTTCTAAAGCGTGGCTTTCCTTTCCCTCACTTTTGTTCTACATTGCTTCCCCGAGATAGGTTCGCGCCGATCTGCTCCCTTTTCTCTTGTTTTAGGTTCTTTCGTTGCGTAATTGGTTTGTAAATGTTAAATGATAATGCGTGTTAGCTGATAATGTAGCTCTGATTTGAAGTTTTTAGTTCGTTAATACTTTGTTTTCCTCGAATCGGTTTTCTCCATGGTTTCTCCTAGTTGCAGCTCATTAGGAATCGTTTGAGCCATAACACTTTTTTGAAGGCCAACGATATTATGCTGAACTGACACTGAATTATTTAATGTAGCTTATTTTAGCGAAGAATTTCCTCAATTCCTTTTGTTTTTTTGACTTAGATGTAGCATATAATTATTATCATTCTCTTCCTTTGATGTTCTTGGTCTATCTCTCTCTTGATTGATTTTTAAGCATTTTTTTTTAATTTCTACTCTACTTAGGGTGTGTTTGGGTGACAGATTTTGGAGGGGAAGAGAGGGGAAGGGAGATTCTTTTTTAATCTCTAACAAACATTCTTTAATTTCATACTTTTTAAAATAAAAAAGTTTAATGATTGATTAGTATAAACTTAATGCGTTAATCTTTTATTTATTTTTATAAATATTAATGCTGCTAACTTGTTTGGATTGAGTTTGTGCTTACTGAAATTCTGTCTTGTGGGTCTGTTGGTATAATTAATCCAAGGGGCAAGGAGTATTCAAGACGAGCATGCAGTGGGAGCAGGAGGGACGGGGGAAAGGGGGAACTGAGAAGACAAATGGGTTTCCTTGGGGGGCTGTTAACAAAAGAGAAGCTTCAGGAGGTGTACTTGAAGGTAAATGGACTGCCGGCTTCTGTCTCTTGAGATGGTTGTTTACATTCCTTGCTAACCATTTTTGCAACACTAAATTTTAATGTGATTTCAGGTAGCCAGCTTGCATCTCTGGTGAAATGGATAAATGCTGTGCTTCCTAACTTTAATCTCCCTTTAGAAACTCCAGAGGAGGAATTGAGGGAATGGCTGAGGGATGGATCTGTATTGTGCAGCATTTTGGAGAATTTGGTTCCTGGTTCAGTGGAGGTAGTAGGACTATCTGTCATTATGGTCTATACTTATGTACTTTTTTTTCCCTTGTGTCTTGTGAATATGGCAGTGTGCAGATGTTAATATTATTTGTTTTCTAATGTGCAGACATTAAGTTAGAGATTATTTACTTTTGTCCTCTTTCTTCTAAGGAATGCATTTTTAACTTCAGGGAAGAGGTCCTTTGAATGAGCCAGTGGGTGTTGAAAGGTTTCTGGTGGCTTTAGATGAATTGGGATTGTCTGGATTTGAATTGTCAGACCTGGAGCAGGTATAAGAAATTCCTTTGTGCAATGTAATTTGAAAACATTCTGAGTCATAACTTTGTATTTAATTGGTTGTCCTAGATTAAAGGGTTGGCTTGATAAATACCTAATTCATCTGTACATGGGAAATTTATTTCACCTTTTGTCACACAAAGAAGGAGAACCTCTGAATAATTTGATTGTGATATTTACTATTTTATGGTTGTGAGGTTTATGTATACTTCAGTTAGATTTCTTAAGATGTTGAAACTATTCTTCTTCTTCTTACTTGCTTGGACTGGACTGTGAGTAATAAAAGAGATTGGATGGCATTGTCTAAATGTGATGCTGAAATATCATTTTTGTTTATTATGCTTTGTAAGTTCTGTCTTAATTATTTACTCCTGTGGCCTGAGAACGTATGCAGGGATCCATGATGCCTGTGTTGCAGTGCCTTGAGACCCTGAAAACTCATTTTGCTTATAATGCTGCCCGAGAAAATATCCAAAGTTGTTCTAGAAAGAGGTGGGACCGGTCTGAACAAACATCCTTAGATGACACAGATAGTTGCTTCAAGGATGCTTCCAAATTGCAACAAGCTGTGGATGGTTCTGTTGTATCAGGTATCATGATCCGTTAAAAAATTCATTGCTCTCAACAGATTTATTGAAAATTTAAATTTTGCTAGGGTCTAATGATGCAATGTGATTTGTGTATCTAACTCCTCTTAATGGGATATAGCCTGATTGTTTGATTATGTTGTTGCTATCCCTATAAAAACATTTTTATTTGTTATATTATACTTTTGTTTTCTTTATCCAGATGGAATCGGTTCCATATATCATATTGGAATAAAGTCTAACGAACTATTCCAGTTGAAGCAAGGATTGCATGTGGATCTTTCAGATGCCAAACTTAATGATGTGTTAAAATCAAACAGTTTGGATGTAAGTAATGAGATACTTAATTTGTTTGTCTCGATAAAAATTTCCCTTTCTTCAGGCTTATACCATTAAGTAATATGCACTTTTTTCTTGCTGTTGACTCATGTGATCCTAATATATTAGTGAAATCTTTTTTTGCAGAGTGTCTCGACTCAATTGCTTTTTAATATAGGAAATAGGATCCTCAGTGATATCTTTGAAAGGAAGAATGGAGACGTACCTCAGGTAAGTGGACTAAGTACTTCTACAATTAGCAATGCATAATACTATTTTTAATGTTTTAGAACAATTAAATTTGATTGTCACTGAGAAATAGTTCAATTTTTCCTTTGTATGTTTCTAGGCTCAGCGTGCAGCATTCCTGTTGAGAAAAATTCTGCAAGTAATTGAGATGCGTTTTTCAAATCAAGCAGAAAGCATAAAAAATGTAACGTTATATTTCTTTATGCATATTTTCCCTAAACAATGTCAGTTTTTCAGTTGCTCTTTAACAATGACCATTTAACTTTTTTGCATACCTGAAGCAAAACAATCTTTTCAAGGCTCGTGAGGGAAAGTACCAAACAAGAATAAATGCACTTGAAACCCTGGCGATAGGGACAACTGAAGAGAATGAGGTATTTTGTCTTTTGTTGATGGATCTGGGGTGTGTCTTACTTTCTTCTTTTTTTACTTTTATTATTATCTGCTAATTTAATTTTAAAGTTGTCTCCACTTTCTACAGATTGTTACAAGTTGGGTTCAGCAGTTGAAGGTGCAAACCTATCTCAAACCCTATCCAAGTTCAAGATAATGGAACAAACTATCAATATAGATCCTTGTTTTTGTTAAATTTACCCTTTATTTCCATCATTATTATCATTGCTTATAATTTTTCCCTTAATTCAAGAATATTACATGGTTGGTGTGGCTCCTTTATGTTGCATCTTAGAGTAAAGTTCTTGATTTGGTGAATAATCAATAATTTTTGTGCCTAAGTAGTTTAAAATGATAGGGATGCCACTTATACTGCATATCTTTGATGCAGCAAAAGTCTATTGATCAGACACATAACTAGTTTTTTATAAACTTGTCTACTGATATTTTATGCAATTAAAATGTTTAAATGTACAATTATTATCTATAATGACTAGCTAACAATACATAACAAGTAGGTTTTTCAATTATAAATGTGATCTCCATTGGCTACTAACTTGCTTCATTCATTTGTATCTTCAGTTTGCTTTGCAGCATGAACAAGCAAAATTTGAGGAGAAGAAGAAACTTGAAGAACAGGATTTTTCTCGATTAAAGAAAGAAAAAGTTCGTAGTGAAATTGAAATTTCTGAATTGAAGCAAGATTTGGAAATAGCCAAAAGAACATATGAAGAACATGTTTCACAATTAGAATTGCAAGCTACTGAATCTAAAGCTGAATATGAGAAAAGGATAGAGGAACTTAAGCGTCATCTTGCAGATGCAAGGAAGCAAGTGAAAGAACTGGAGGCATTTTCAGAATCCAGATATTTGAATTGGAAGAATAAAGAGCATACCTATCAAACTTACGTTAATTACCAGTTTGGAGCTTTCCAGGTCTTTTTCTTTGGATTGCTGTTTCCTATATTGTTAATTTCTTTCTTGTGCTATATCATATAATTTGATGCTTTATAGGAACTGAGAGCTTCCATGAAGTCTATAAAAAATGACGTGATAAAAACAAAAAGAAGCTACTTAGAGGAGTTCAAGTACTTTGGTAGGATACATTTTTTAAAGCCTTTCATGACTTTCATTTATATTTATTATATGGTGGATTAGTGTATTTACAACACTTACAAGATGTGCATATATAGGAATCAAGCTCAAAGGTCTAGCTGAGGCTGCTGAAAATTATCATTTAGTTTTAGCAGAAAATAGGAAATTGTACAATGAAGTTCAAGATTTGAAAGGTATATACTATATACAGTGCTTATATTAAAGTCATGCTACTTGTGAGCCTGTGGTTGGTTGCTGAACTGATTTATTTTTCCTTTATCTCTAAATCATGTATGAATAGGTAATATAAGGGTATATTGTCGAATTAGACCATTTCTTCCGGGGCAAAGTCAAAATCATACAACAATTGAGTTTGTTGGTGAAGATGGAGAACTAATTGTTAGCAATCCTCTTAAACAAGGAAAAGAGAGTCGCAAGCTTTTTAAATTTAATAAGGTTTTTGGTCAAGCAGTAAGTCAAGGTACTGCATTCTTTTTTCTTTTGTATTTCATGATTATTATTATTATTACATGTTTGGACTTGATGAAATAAATAATAATGTTTAACTTATACATCAATATTTTTCTTTGTAGAGGAAGTATTTAAGGACACTCAACCATTAATTCGTTCTGTTCTTGATGGGTACAATGTTTGTATATTTGCTTATGGTCAAACGGGCTCAGGAAAGACCTATACAATGGTATGCATTATATATGTTTAATACTTTATTTACATTGCATATCTATTTCAGAATTCTTACTTAGCAACTGCTTTTCTACTAGAGTGGACCTGGCCTATCATCAAAATCAGATTGGGGAGTCAACTATCGGGCTCTTCATGATCTTTTCCATATCTCCCAGAGTAGGAGAAGCTCTATTGTTTATGAAGTTGGAGTTCAAATGGTTGAAATTTATAATGAACAAGTTCGTGATTTACTATCAAGCAATGGTCCTCAAAAGAGATATCCTTTTCCCTTTTTTAATATATATTTCCAGACCAAAATAGTGGGATTCCTGTGTACTGGGCTGCCCTTTTTATTTTAAGTTATGTGACACTCTATGTTCACAACTAAGCTTGCATTCTTATTCATGCTTTTTTATGTTCTATTTACCATTCATTTACTTGTGCTAGTTGTCACAGAAAAATATACCAGGTATTGTTTCCTTGATTTGCACACACTTGGGATTTGGAATACTGCCCAACCAAATGGGTTGGCTGTTCCTGATGCCAGTATGCATTCTGTGAATTCAATGACTGATGTTCTTGAGTTGATGACTGTTGGGTTGACAAATAGGGCAACCAGTGCCACAGCCTTGAATGAAAGAAGTAGTAGATCACACAGGTTGTATTCAAATATTTTCTTTTTGTCATTTTTCTGATAGTGAAAATGTAAATCTCATTTTATTATCATAACTATGTGATAGTGTTCTCTCTGTTCATGTTCGAGGAACGGATTTGAAGACCAACACGTTGTTGCGTGGATGTTTGCATCTTGTAGATCTTGCAGGAAGTGAAAGAGTGGACCGTTCTGAAGCAACTGGAGATAGGCTTAAGGAGGCTCAACATATAAACAAATCACTATCTGCACTTGGAGATGTGATATTTGCTCTAGCACAAAAGAGTTCACATGTGCCATATAGAAATAGTAAATTGACTCAACTTCTGCAGAGTTCGTTAGGTAATTGTTGTATTGATATCAACTTACAGTTTTGTTTTATTTGATTTCATGTTTCTGTTTTGCTTTAAACATATTGTAAATTGTAATTATGGCTTACTAAATTGCAATAGCTTTGTTCCTCATATGTTATAGGTGGTCAAGCAAAAACCCTTATGTTTGTACAGCTTAATCCTGATGTTGCTTCATATTCTGAAACTATAAGCACCTTGAAGTTTGCTGAAAGGGTTTCTGGTGTCGAGTTAGGTGCTGCTCGTAGCAACAAAGAGGGAAGGGATGTTAGAGAACTTATGGAGCAGGTTATTTCTAATTTTGATTGCATTTACATAGATATTTTAGTTTATGAAGTGGTACGAATGTCATGTTATCAGTAAAACACTAGATATTAGACATTAGGATTTTTGTTTTTTAGTTCATTTTTACTCTTATGCAGTAGCTAGTACATCTGTAAATAGGGCTCATGAAGCACTAAATTGAAACTTAGTTTTGATTGGTAAGTATGTATCTATGCATCGAATGGTTTATGAAACACTAGATACAACTGTGCTCTTTTGGATTAGGAAGTTATATAGGGGAAATAAAACTAGAAAAATTTAAAATCTTTCTATATAACCTGTTGTTTTACACTTTTACTGCTTAGGAAGCAGACCCTTGTGATATTGTCTTAACCACTGCAAATGGTGTATGCTTTCTTCCAGGTTTATCTTGTAGCCAGTTGAAGAAATTTGTTTGTCCCACTAAGTCACTAATACTTACGTAATGAAATCTGTGAGCTTAATGCTTAAGCTGATGTTGCAATATCATTTACAGATGCACACTCACTGACTCGAATTGGTCTTGCAGATGGCATCTCTCAAGGATGCAATTGCAAGGAAGGATGAAGAGATTGAGCAGTTACAGTTGCTCAAGGCTAATCATAATAGTCCAAAGCTTGGTATGATCTCACTAAGACATGGATCGTCATCTCCAAGGAGACATTCCATAGGGACTCCCCGACATCGCATGAGACTTTCAGGAACAAGGAGCTTTGGAGTCAATGAAAAAGAAGCTTCTGACATGGATAACTGCTCGGAGTACAGTGATAAGCATTCAGAAGCTGGTTCTCATCAATCAATGGATGATTTTAGGAACAAGTCCAGCTCCCTGAGGTTGAAGTTACCTAGAGAAGATATCAATCAAAATTTAAATGAGGACATTGACCTCTTAAGATTTGGAGACGCAAATTCGGAGGAGAGATTAAGTGACATATCTGATGGTGGGCTTTCAATGGGAACTGAAACTGATGGTTCAATCAGCAGTATTGTGGAGTACACTCTTTTCCCTGAACTTGAGAAGGCAGCTGAAATCACACCAGCTAAGGATGGCACAATCGACAACTTTCCAGCTGAGAGCACGGAAAAGTGAGTTGTGTGTGTGTGTTAAGTAAGGCATATTCTACTCTAGTATAGATATTACAGCAATGTTTGCTCTTTTTGTTCAAATCCTTGTTATCTACGTTACCAAGCCATCCAAAATTTGTTTGATTGATTTGTTTGAATGCAGGCCCATTATGCCATCCAAAATTCCTAAAGCTTGTCAAGTCCTGCCAAGAGTGCAGACAAGGCCTTCTAGGCTATCATTGAACAAAAGCTCCTCGAAGGTTTTGTCAAGTATGTACATTCAATTAACTTACCCATTTTATTCCGTTATGTCTCCCAAAATTGAAATATCTATTTTACTCTCATTGTTCTATCTCCCTTGGTTGTTCTGCTACTTATTTCCTGCCTTACATATAGGTATTAAAAAACCCACGGCCAGTAGCTCTTCTTCGGCGAAGCCCCTTAAACGATGGCAATAGATAGGATGCCCTCAGATGCTGTAGAGTGCTTTTAGTGATAGCCGATAGGAAGTTTTTATTTATGTAGGTGCGCAGTCTAATTATACTGTACTCAAGGCTTAAGTTTCAGCTTCAATCTGTCATTGAATGAAGCGATTTGCAAACTCTAGCTTGTAACTAGTTTGTATGTAAGCATCGTGGCCTTTTCTGCCATATTACTGACTCTTGTATTTACAACTTTCCAATCAGTAATGTTTTTTGAGATATTGTATATGTTGCTGAAAAGAACTGCCACGATTCATCCAACATTAAAACATTACATTTGAAACCTTAAGTTCGAATGGATAAGATTAATCACAATTTAGGTTAGATTCGTTTAATTAAAAAAAGGAAACTGATTTTAAAATATTGAGAACCGGTTGAGTTAGTTCAAAATTGGTGACGTACTACCAATTTGAAGAGGTTATAAATATTTGTGCATAAGATTTAACTTATAAATTATTATTTAGTATCTTATTATTGGTTTTTTATTTTCTAAAACATATAATCATTTTATGTCAAAAAAAAAAAAATCAACCACAAGTTTTTTTTTTCCTAGTTGAATTATTAGTAAGAATTTAAAGTATTATTTATAACTTCCCCGCTTTCGTAATTCATATCAAGGTTAAAAGGATAAATATCTTTTTTGGTTTAACATTGGAGTGTAATTAGATAGAATTGACTTTTGGAAAGAACAAAACTAAAATATGATTTTTACATGTTATTAGTACTATTAATTAATTAATTTTTTATTTTAATAACAAAATATTTAATATTATCCTATAATATTAAGATGAAATTCTAATTTTTATCAGTAAATAGCATCAACATATTTAAGTTTTATCTTTTTAAAAAATGAGAATAGAATTGCATTAGAATGTGTATTTTTTCTTTTGTTGAAAATCGTGAGAATTAATTTTTTAATAGTACAGCGAATGGAGTTTAACCATGGCATGACTTGAATGCTACTTTTAAAACTAGCATACCACTGTTACAACATTCCATCTTATACATTAATTATTAATCCATAAAAAAGAGACTACTTTGCTAATTGATCATGCTTTATAATTAACTCGTGCTAATTTATTATACGATATAGGAAATGAAGACACAAAGTAGTGAAATTAAATGGATTTTTTTACCTGTGGAATAAAATAGAATTCTGAGAGTGATGAGAGAGGCTTGAATAATTTACACGAAGTCATGAATCAAATTTCATTGTCATTATCGTAAAATAATTTGGAAAATTGTGGAAGAATCGAGTATTGTTCGGGTACGATTTTTAGCTTACGTTCATAGTGACCTAAAAATAAAAACACATTACTAAAAATGTTTTAAAACAATTTTCAACGAAAGCGTCCCAGTCTGGGTGGTGTAGTTGGTTATCACGCTAGTCTCACACACTAGAGGTCCCCGGTTCGAACCCGGGCTCAGACATTTTCATTTACCGTTCTTAGTTTTTGTAATGCACATGCCATCTCATATTTTGCATAAATAACTCATTCAAAACAATTTCACTAAGAATAGGTTAACAGTAAAGAAATTTTTATATAAATCAAAATCTCTCTAGGAAATCATATATCGAATACTTGCTACCCAAATGTAAGTACTTAGAAGCATATGAGAGATACAAATAATTTCTTCGGCTCCACCTTCTTAAACCTCTTAACCCTATCACCACCTCTGTCTCCCAAACCATGAATTTCAGAGCTTGTCCTCAACCATCGCTCTCATCAAGGTTTCACTTGTTAACCAACACCCACCTTCAAATTTACCTCTTTTTTTTCGATAAATTCAGTGTCTTATTATTTATGCAGAGTACCTCATTCGCCTTGCTCCCTCGATGTGGCCAATTTTGATTCGGGTGCCATTCTCTGCATTTCTACGTTATCCCAGAAATGGAAGTAGGATTTAACTGGTACGTACCATTTTTTTTTCTTTTAATTTTCACTCTTGTTCCATTTATATCATAAGGTTGACCACAATGTTTATGTAATCATGTTATAAAATTTCCAAAAAAAGAGGAGTGGGAACAGTTCAAAATTGCAACTTGGTTAGTTAATCTTAAGTTGTAGGTTCTGAAATTACTACACTTATTGGCTGTTTCTCTTTTGAGAGAATGCAACACAGATATCAAGTGTTTATGTAATTGGCACTTGACAGTTAATGTAGTTTGCAATTCATGAAGCAATTTGTTTCATTTTCAGGCCTTTTATATCCAGACATTTCTGGGATATCTGCTTCTTGAAGCTGACATAGAAAATATTTGAGAATATGTCTGGATGCAATAAATTACCTAAAAATGATCAACAGTCAATCAAACGTAGGCGGATTCAACGTGGAGGGGCATCCTTTGAGACTGATCTTTCTTGTGTTGATTATTCGCCTCCCCTATCCAACAATGAGAATAAGCAATGCTACAGACAGAAGTCTCCTCCGATACTGAGCACAGCTCAGCTCATCTCTGCAATAGACCAGATATGGGATTCTGCAAGTCGCCCTCTTTCATTTTTACTCTCAAAGAAAAATGTGAATCAGAACGATAAAGGGTTCCTTGAAGATAAGATTCTGGATGGCATTGATGAGAAAAAGAATGGCCTGGTCTATACTTCAAATAACACTAATTACTATTCTGTTTCTGGGAGTGGTTCGCAGATTGTACAGGAAAAGTTGGATTTCCCCAAGGTAACACAAAAAATGTTAGTACTTGAATCTTCTACTAATGACAGTCAAGATTATACTCGTTCTTTATTCCAGAGATTTTCGCAGGCTAGGGATAGAAATTCAAATAAAGATTGGAAAGAAGTGGAACTTGGGAGGGAGGAAATGTCATATAGATTAGGAAATGTATATTGGTGGGTTAGTAGGAATGGTCCAAAGACACTAAACAATCATGTGAATGTTACCCTGCCTGAGAACCTTGAAATTAATTATCCCATTGCTAAGGGTGGCATTTCAATAGATACAAGCACCCCTGCATTGGCTAATGAGAGTGATGTGTGCAGTCCTGATTTAATCACGCATGAAACTCAATCATTGTCTAATGATGCAATCCTGAACACAAGAAAAGCTAGCCCTCTGTGTTCAGACTATTTTCTTCAAGCTGTGCCTGATACTAAGGCAGATGTCAGTGCTTGTCAGACCCTTTCTTCTAGTATCTGTACAGATTATCATATTAACTCTTTAGCTACCTGTAGTACTGTTTCTGTACAAGGCCAACATGAGATTGATGATAACAAATCACTGGAAATTCAAAGCAGACATTTCTCAGATATAACTAATGATGATCAGAAGCCTCATTATTCCCAAGCAAAGCAAGAACACGCTTTTTCTGGGGCATTGGCTGGTGTATGTGTCAGCCTTTGTTTGCATCCCGTTGACACAATTAAGACAGTTATTCAATCTTGCCGTGCAGAACACAGGTCCATCTTTTACACTGGCAAATCAATTGTTTCTGATAGAGGTTGGTTTTTAAGAGAAATCATGTTCTTGTTAGATATCTATGTAGCTTATGTCTTGTTTCATTTTGTTGAACTTTCACTAGGTGGCTTCTTCATTGAGTTGATGGACTAATTTCAGGTTTGCTTGGACTATATCGTGGTATTACCACAAACATTGCGTGTTCAGCTCCAATTTCTGCAGTTTATACTTTCACCTATGAATCCGTTAAAGCAGCTTTGCTTCCCTATCTTCCAAAGGTAGCTTGTCTTTCTTTATATTCTACACATTTAAGTGGAGTTGTTTGAAGTTGTTTATCCTTTGCTGTCTTGTGCTTGGCTTGTCCACGATTTCTTTATCTCTGCTTGTGGTGCCATCTAGGTGGGAGAAACTATGCAATTTTAAACACGTGTAAACATTTTAGTGTTAGACATCAATGGCTCTTGCGATTATTTTAATGTTTTTTTGGCATAAACGAGGTTTCAACCATCTTTTTGCACAGGAGTATCATTCTTTTGCCCATTGCGTGGGAGGTGGTTGCGCAAGCGTTGCCACCTCTTTCATTTTTACTCCCAGTGAGCGAATAAAGCAGCAAATGCAAGTTGGGTCTCAGTATCGCAACTGCTGGTATGCCTCAGTTTCTTGGATTATCTGCACCTTTCATGACATAAAACTGCTTGCTTTGAGTATGCCTTGGATTTATGCATTTGTTGTGAATTACATTTAGTCATTGTAATTTGCATTCACTGTTTCTGAAGCTCTTGTAAAATTTCTGTATCTCCTTTCTATTTGTAATTTGATAGTCTCAAATGTTTAGATCCTGTTGATTGATCCTTGTTATGTCTCTGTAAGCTCATGGCTTCCAACTTTCTGTGGAATTTTTTCCATGCAAGACCTATATAACTGTACTTATTTTATTCTGCTATGCAACTTATGAATATATATGTGCAGGGATTTATTGGTTGGAATTATCAGAAACGGTGGTTTTTGCTCCCTATACACAGGTTGGGGAGCTGTACTGTGTCGGAATGTTCCACATTCAATTATCAAGGTCAGTAGGTGTTTTCAACATTCAATGTGTGTTTATTGAAGTAATTGACACAAACAGGTTTTTTGTCAACATTGGAGGGAGGGGGACTCATTTGCATGAGGATTTGTAGTGTATGTCCAAAATTTCTTCATGATAAAGATTCATTACTTTCATTGTTGAATGCCAACTTTGACCCTGGAGATTTTCATGTGTTAATATGAGTGTAGAGCAAGCCTCTTGTGGTGGTTGATGTTTTCTTCCCAAACCCGCTCTGTTAATGTTTCCATAGTCTTTTGCAATTGCTTTTCTAAGTTCTTCAGAAACTGAAGGTTTTATTTATTGTTATTTTCTGTGATCAATTGTAGTTTTATGCATATGAAAGCTTGAAGCAAGTGATGCCATGTAGTATTCAACCCAACACGTTTCAGACTGTGAGTTAATGTTTGTTCCTTGCTCTTATCCATCATTTTTTGTCTCAGTAAAACTGATATGTGACTAAGATGATTTTACAAATTTCTTTAGTTAGTGTGTGGAGGATTAGCTGGATCTACTGCTGCTTTATTCACAACTCCTTTTGATGTAATCAAGACTAGATTACAGACACAGGTTTGTATTAAACAGGTCCTTCAATTGTAAAAGTTCTTATTGCTACTGCTGAAGCAGAAGCTGGGCCAGCCATTTAATTAGATGTTGAAAACAACCCTTCTCAACTAAGTTTCTGAAACTGCTCTTTGTAAAAGCACGATGTTTGATATCACATATCTTGTTATCCTTTACTGTGTTCTAGTTTCAGTATGTTATTTTCATTTCTTAAAAAAAAATATATAATACATGTTTTATTTTATTCTTTTCTATTTAGTTGATGTATATTATTTTACTCTTAATTCATGCTTCTGATGAAAGTGAGTGCACTGCAGATTCCTGGATCTGCAAATCAATATGATAGTGTTCTCCATGCCCTTTACAAAATTAGTAAGAGTGAAGGCTTGAAGGGCCTTTACAGGTATTATTTTCTGAGTCTTGCCATTATCATTTAGATCAGAAGAAAAATCTGATTACAGAAATAGGAGCCACCACTATACATTCTGTATTGGGAGCTCTATTCAAATGTAAATTGCATGATGACATTGTTTTATGGACGTGCTTTGTATCTCTGTCATCAGGGGGTTGACTCCACGGTTGATTATGTACATGTCTCAAGGATCACTGTTCTTTGCTTCATATGAATTTTTCAAGAGGGTCTTTTCTCTGGAAGCATCGCATCCCACTGATTTATGCATTCAGAACGAATGCATGAATGTTGAAGACAGAAAGAACTTAGAATTAACAGGTCCATCGTAGAGAATGTTCCAGCAGCAGCTTCCCCAAGTTTTGATAGTTTGCATTCTTGATAACTCAATAGTGTGGAAAAAAAGGTTTAATGGTGCCACAAGGAGCAAGCAGGTTCATAAGCTTTTTTTCAATGAAAAATGTATTATTTAAAAAGCATGAATTATTGGTCCCATAGGTTAGAGGGAGCACGAGTAATTATAAAAAGTTATGATATAAAAAATTAAGAGCATCATGACACATGTAAAAGATAAACAATTAGTTCTTGGGAAAATCATGCTCCCTATGTTGTTGACTAGGTTCTTTTCACCCATGTTTTCTTTAACATTATAAAATCATTCTTATACTTTCCAATAAAAAATAAATGGTTTAATCTAAATGTATGGTTGAATTAATTTAGACATGAATCTCATTTATATTCAGGGATTCAAAATTAATTATTCTAAATTTTTAATCGAATGGGCACAATTTAAGTTGTAAACCAGAGTCTTGTGGAAGATCTTTCAAATTCGAATCATTTAATTGGTTTCAGGTGCTGATTTGAGTTTTATCAATTTATAAAACCAACTCTGTATATATGTTATTTTACGTTAATATAAAAATAATAATATATTATTTTAAAAATTCATTATATTTTTAGTTTTTTATATCATCTTTTGAAATAAGTCTTTCAAATGAAATTTGTTAAAATTTAACAAAAACAAAGTTCAGTTCATAAGTGTTAATATTTTTTGCTTTTTTAATTTAAAATTTAATTTTAAAAATATTAATATTTGTAATCAAGTCTATCTTCACCTTCTTTTACCATATCTTCTCCGTTCACGCACCACCATTGTATTCTTTCAGCTCAACTCAGCATCAGCTCTCAGTAAGGATTCATGTTTCCGCCACTCTCTCTTCACTTACTCCTTTTGGGTGGTTAAATCAGAGATCAATTTTCTTTCCCTTCCCGTTCCACCAACCTTTTTGTCCACAATTTTCATAAAACAAATCATAGAACCCACTGACAGTGAAGATGTTGTTAATGGATCCCCTAGGAAGTTTGTGAGCAAGCACCGTAAACCACTGTCTCTTTCTCCCGTCTCTCCCTCTGAAACTCACTTCTCGCCACCCTCGCGTCTCTACCCCTCTACAACTATTTAAAAAAATATCATAAAGCACACAGGCAGCAAATCGAAGTACTCAGAGCACATAGCAGGTCAAATTGATTAAAACTATAATTAATGTACCAGTGAAACTACACATTGATTCAGTCCCTAAAAAATTGATTACACCATTGTTTATATATCTATATAATCCCTCAGCCTGAACTTTTCGATTAGACACATTTGGAGAAGCAGCTATCGAGTGTAATGTTTGCATGAAATAATTGATGGCCAAACCCAACAGTTATTCATGCTATTTCGTTTCTCTTGAATTTGGGTTTGTAAATTTGAGATTCGATATTTCAAGCGCTTAAAAATAGTACCGATTTTAAGCACCGCCCAGTGCCTACTAAGTGGTTTCACTTTAAATTATAAACTTTATTGTGCATAAATGGAGAAGAAGAGAGGAAGCAGGTTAAAGGATTTTTATTTTTTTTCAAATATTAATTTTTTTTTATAATAAAATATTAACCCTAATAATAACGTGATAACGTTTGACTGACGATAATAGCTAAATTCTTCTAAAACTAAATTTTAATACTGTTTTTTTAGATTTTTTTCGAAGGATGTTATTTTTATAAAAGCAAAAACATAATTAAACCTTCTTATTACTAGTGTTAGTGCATCAAAAGTTGAGTCAATTTTTTTCGGATCAGCAATAGCTACGAACTATGAGGAGAGATTAGTCTTAAGTTCTTTGATCCTGAAAACATCCTATGATTTGTGTCTTAAGACCCGAAAAAAAGATTCTATCTAGAGAAAACGTTAACATTATCCTGGACCAAAATTCAGTGTTACCATGGGATCAAGATGTTATGTAATGACTTATATTGGAAGTGAGTTTGTAAGGTTGAGCCTAGCAAGTATCACACAAGTCAGGATTTCCTTTGAACCTATAAAAATTTGGCACCACACTCAAAGAAGAGAGGCCAACAATTCTTGGAATTATTGTAATCCAATTCCCATCATTTATATCATTTCAGAATCTTATCTTCATAGATACAAACATGATGAAAGAAAGGATTGCTATGCTATCTCCTACTGGGTGTAAAGTATCCCCCTCCCTTCTAACTATCCCATACAATATGGACAATTTTGGATTTCTATCCTACATTCAGTAATTGGAATAAAAGAACATATTACAAAGAATGATTCTGACACCTCTAAAGTGCTATCCCTATATGCAGCCGATTCTTCAGCAAGCAGGGAATTGTGTTTAGTAACAAAACTTTGTATTGATGCGAACTCCAGCCTCCCTAAGATCCTCAACACATTTGTTACTGATGTTCAGGTCATCTCCCAAGACCATACCATGTTTCTCCAACCAGCAATGACTTAAAGTTGGTAGAAAGATTAGAGACTAGATATATTGTTCATATAATCCATACAGCTCCATCCCCTAGCAGGGCTGATCAACTCTACACACTTTATACGCGCGCAATAGGAGAGAAGGGCGGGTTCAGCAAATAGGATCGAGGAATTCCTTTCTGATTCTTCCACACTGTCTTTTTTTCGGTTGTGACTGATTTGAAAAACAAATCTACATCCTCCTCAATAAGCATTTTCAATGAACTGCATTGAGATAACTGTTGGTTTTTTTCTTGTCCAGCATTGCTGAAGGCAGAAGTTCCATGCAAAATGGCAACACAGATGGAGAATGCTTGTAAAGTGGATAATTGAGCGTGAAAATCAACAGCATAATGCCCCTCTTCGACTGTTGTCATGCTGAAGGTAGGACTTCTTTCTTTTGCTCCCTGTGCACCAAAAGGTCAGATATGGAGTAGAAAAAACAGTAACAGTCGCATAATGAAGCAAGTTAAAACTGAAATACTGGAGAAAATGAAGAAAGCTATAATAAGAAATCAAGGAATAACCGTGCAAACAATGAAACACGGGTATAATAAGAAAGGAATTCAAAAAACCTATATAAATGCATGTCTCATGGAGTAAAATCAACAAATTCATTGCTCAACCCTATGGTCAATATCTTTTTGCTTTTTTATATACCTGTGCATTTATATATTCTATCTTTATATATTTTGATGGAAAGTTATCAATAAACTTGTTTATATATTCTGATGGAAAGTTATCAATAAACTCTTTCCATGGCCGTTTATTATCAATAAAATAATTTTTGCAATTTTCCTGAACCTCTAACATTCAACCGGAGAAGTTAATGCATTATGGCAATATGGTTTGCTGGATATTTGAGCGCAACCATCTGAGTGGCACAACAAATAGCTCCATAAGAAAGTGGAACCCAATTTGGCACGTCCCTAAGATTTTTAAAATCCTGTTATAATCTTTGACTTTACAAAAAAGTTGTTCATTTTAGTCCTTTTCTTTTTTATTTTCCATTGTTGTTTTGCACCATAAAAGACTAAAGTACATGTCACTTTGTAAAATTTAGGACTAACACAAGGTTTTTAAAATCTCAACTACTAAAATGTTCAACCCATACAATCTTGATAACAAATTTGGGGTTTTAGTCCCTAAGTTCTTCAAAATTAAAATCCTGTAGTGTCTGTAATCTATTTAGAGGGTGAATCTTGGCGCAATGGTAAGATTGTTGTCTTATGACTTTGAGATCACAAGTTTTTAAATCCTAGAAACAGCCTCTCTCCTCACAGGGATAAAGGCTGTGTACATCTATCCTCTCCAAACTCAACTCATTGGAAGACTTGTGCACCAAGTCTCCCTTCAGTATTTCATTTTTGAAGTCCCACAAAGAAACAATTGCTGTGAAATTCAAGTTATACCTGAACAAAAAGTTCCAGTGGCTGATGTTCCTCCATAAGTGGGCGGTCTTCAGCTAATTGAATATTAGGATTGCCTAAAAGAATAAGGGGACAGGCCATGTCCCAGCCACCACAGTCACAACCTCCACCATGTCTCAGTCGATCAAGTAATGAAGAGGGACCACGGTTTTCAGCATTTGGCAAACCATGGTTGCCAGTTGGTATTACCACCTTCACCTGTTCCTGCATTTTGCTGTCATGAAAATTCCTTCTACTCTGATCCTTTACTGTAGAGAGATCGCTTATGTTGGAATATTCTTTAGCAATTATTCTTTCCCCTCTCTTGTACTTCAAGCTTTCTCTCTTAGAAAATGGAATTTGCAAGACAATAGCAGCAACTTCAAGGTTTGAACAAGATTCAGTGGACAAGAAAGAATAAGAATTTAAATCATATTCAACATTGATTGATAGAGGCTTCTCTTGAAGTTTGTTTTTGACAGCAAGATTCTCCTCATCCAACCCTGAAATTTCTTCCTTCAATCCAACATGGGAAGTTTTCATATTTTTAGAAGCATCTAGTTCGCAGAAAGACTTTTGTTCACGTGAAACACTTTGTCTTGAGTGTGTAAAATCATACAACACAAATTCTGTCACCATAGAGTTGTCAAATACTCTGCCATCTAGTTCAGAACATAAATTACAGGAAACTAGCATCTGAGCTACTATTGAGGAATCGTTATCAAAATCAAGGGATCCCAACCCACTGGCATTGCTTTTCTTTCTATTATCAATGGAGTGAAAGGTATATACCCAGTTGAAAGCATTACCTGCCCTCCATGCCTTGGCCACAAACACATCTTCAGGGCACTTCACCCTGAACTCAAAAAATGGCACTCCATATTTATTTTCCAACTTGAGATTACCATGCAGGTGAACTGGTGAAGATGCTATACCCGAATACTGGATTTCTCTGCTGATAAACTCAGAAATAATGTCAGAATGCTTTCCTGTGTTGGATAAGTCATTTAACAATGATTTCCGGTAAGTCCTGTGTCTTGTAATGTTTGCTGTCTCATTTGATTTGATCTCATTATTTTCCAGTATATGACTCATTGGACTTCTTAAAGATTTTGACTTTGTGAAATGATTCAGCCTTTTCCTGATAGGGGTAACTTGGACTTCTGGACTTACTCTTGACGAGAAATCACTCCCCAACGGAGCTGGTAGGTGAGAGACTTCTGCCTTAGCAGAGGGTGATTTTTGCAATGAGTGGACTGTGGCCTTTTCATGAGAAGCATTGCCACTAATCACAGAATCAGCAACTTTACCACTTTTGGACTTCAAATTTATAGAATCTCTCCCTTTCACTGTGGTAGAGTTCCTATTCTTAACATCTGAATTTATGCAAAATTCAATAAAGCCATTTGGAGAGTCCAGCTCCTTGTAAGCCGAGGACCTAGGAACATATGGGGGACCCAAGTTTGACTGCTGAGATATCTCTGAAGATCTCCACCCATAACCTTCATCATCTGAACCACATAAAGAATCAACAATGCTACCTGTGAAAGAGGTGTCGCTCCTCCTTGAAATTTCTATTTTTTTCCTTCCCTCTACCACAGTAGTGAGTGTACCCATCTTCTTTATACTTTTCACTTCCTCTGAACTCTGATACATGGAACCACGGCTGGTTTCTATATTACCTTCCAATCCATGAGGTCTAGAGAGAAGGCTCTTACACGAAGAACTGCGGAAGCGAGCAAATTTGATCTCAGCAAAGTCCCCCTTGAGAGTAAAAAAAACATCTTTCCCTGTAGATTTTCCTTTTTTAGATCTCTTCTTCACATTACAATACTGATGAGATGGAAGAACAGTATTGGGACTAAGACCCACTGAAGACTTCTCATCAAGATTCAACTCCAACTCTTGTCCCATTGATGAATCCAGAGCCCTGCAATACCATTAAGTGAGGGGAAAAAACATATATTAGTTTGTGGCAAGGAAACAGACAGATCCAACTCTACTTGAGACTTGACATAATGCTGCATCTAATAAAATTGAAATATAATGGCTGTAAGTAAACTAAATCCAAAAAGTACCCAGATGACAAGGGAAGCCTTCCATTGAGGAAGTTTTGTTGGACTAAAAACAAAAGGTGATAACATCACATTTAGGATCAAAACTTCCGCATAATAATCAACAAGGGCCTGAGCTCCAAAAATTCCATATGAAGGGATCAAAACAACAATTGATATCTCATAAAACAAACTTTGATTGCAAGAAAGAAATGGTACTAAACAATGCAGAACAGTTATCTACACTCTCTGAAAACATGTAATTGCAATGACAATTGCGCCCTTGCAAACAACCACTATCGAAAAGGCCATGTTCCAACAGTGCCCTCAAAAATTAAGCATTAAAGTTAGATAACTTGAAAAAAATGACATTATTTTTATCCCGAGCACCGAAAAAGAAATGCCGTGTGATCTGTCGGATACAAAGAAAATTGCAAAAGGAAAAGAAAAAGGCTGGAAAGAACACTGTATGATTTCTATAACGGCTAAATATAAGCGAGTAAAGTTATACCAATAAGTGCTGCAAAAATGTTTAATTAAAACATTATACCAAAGTAAACAATGATTAAGATACCAAACCATATCAGGGGAAAATGCAAAGAAAAACAGGGGAAAAAGGAAAAGGGCATACTTAAGAGTAGATCTTGGAGAAGTAACTTGAGAAAAGGAGAACCCAAGAAGCAGCTTCAATGCACAATCATAAATCTTCAAACTTGAGCAAAAAGTCTTCAGAAGAATAACTTATGAAATCAACCCATTTGATTAAAGAGTCAAGCACTGGCCCATTTGTGTTGTTTAGTACCTCAAAATTCCAATCCACAAAAAGCAATAGTAGTTGAAGGCTTAAACAAAAAGCAAGTTTATTTCAATCCCCGCAAGCTAGGACCAAATAAAGCATGGCAAATGGTGCCAAAAAGCATTTTTAGAAACAGTAACGGAAGCTACACAGCGGAAGAGATAGAATTATTAGTCTCTCTCACAAGAGTAACAGAACAAGAGAGAGAAGTTACTACTACGTAGGCACATGATGACCCTCTACTAAGACAAGGCCATGTTCTTCAAGCACCATCATATCATGTTGGTTTCATTTTTTGGCCTTTATTTATTTATTTATATTTTTTATTGATATTATTTATTATTTGTGTCCCACCCGCGGTCAGCATGAGACCAGTAATCTAGGCAAAGCAAGCGTGCAACCCGAGAAAGAATCGAGAGTGCCCCCTTTGTGAAAAGACAAATAACATCGTAAAGGGACAAGCTTTGGCTTTGTACTTGGAGCAAAAGAAAAGGGTAATAGTGGAATTTAAGGTTGTGTTCCTACAGTAACAGTGCCACTGTGAGTTCCCTTATTTATGTTTTAGTAAAACAAATCATTATTTTATAGCTTCGGGAAGGGCAGATATAACACATAAGTTATTAAGAACGGAATCCCACAGTTAATTAATAATTAAATGAGTGTATGCATAATAATAATTAGACATTAAACACCATAATATAATCAGTTTTGTCTAATTAGAATCAGATCTGCAGTGTTGAGTGTTGTTTTGGTGAGTTTTTATTGACAATGATGCCCCTCTGTAACTTCCCTATCGGACAAGGTAAGGAATGGTAGTAATGGGAGTTGAAGGTGTCTAAAGATGTTTTGACCAAGTCAAACAAATTAAAGTGTTAGAGGTGTATCCATGCCAGCAGGGGTAGAGGCGTAAATTTGACTAAGATGAAAGGGGTAGAAAAACGAAGATAAGTGTTTTTGCATGTGAATGGATTGGTGGGCAGGAACCCAAATTCAATGATTCTGTGGCTCTCTCATGTCAAACCCACGGAATCTTGGACTCATGACCTGCCGTTTGTCCCATTTCACAAATAAATGATTGTGCAACCCTTACCCCAAAAGACTTCAAAATTAGTTATTGCTATTCATAATTTCTATTAACACTTTTTCTCCCGTTTGCTCATTTTCCCACTTCTCTTTCTTCCAATCTCCTTGTAAAAATAACATTATTATGAACAAAAATTATTTTTTTATTTGTTAATTACTTGGAATGTCGTGTATCAAAAGATATGAAAAGATGCAAAACAATAACAAACGTATTAAATAAAAAAATTTATAGTCGAGGTTTTAGCCAATTGTGAAACTTTAAGGGGAAAAAAGATCGAAAGTAATGACCTGATAACATCAAAACATGATACCGAACAATCAAAATGTTGAAGGATATAAACTCAACGTAAATGGCTAAATGCTGATAGCTGGCATCATATTACCCATTCTACGTAAGCATTTACACATTTGTTTAGTTAAAGCTATACAGAAAGCCAACGGTTTAGTGTACGCACTAAATCTACTGGGAGAGAACTATACACAATATTTTGTTACTATCAGTACCCCTAAAAAGAAAAAATCCTAAAACTGACCACCACAGAGAATGGGATATTCCTAATCAGCATGTCTTGAAGCTTCGACGTTTTCATCTTTCCTGGACTTGCCAAATGATTTCTGGGCATCCAAAACTGGCATATATGCTTCACTTGTTTTCTTAAAGATGTCATTCGCCGACTTTTCAGATTCACGGGGACTCACCAGCTTCTTTTCAACATCTTCAAATTTTGCGGTGGCCCATGGCGCCGTGCCTACACTTCTTTTTGAATCTGATGCCTCTATAGTCAGCACAGACACCTCATCACGGGAGGCAAACCAGGAATAACCACAGGCCATACATTCCAGCTGAACAACCAGAGCAACAATCAAACCGAGTTATGAAAGAAACAAGCGATGATATATCAGTTAAAAGTAAGGTGCAAACCGTATATCGGTCACTGCGTCCTGCATGGATAATATCTTTCAAGCCCACTTTACACTCCATGCATATAGAACAGCGGGCATCAGTCATCTGTTTCCCAGGTAGAAAATGCTAACAGTAAGCAGAGATATCTTAACATAATTTAACAGAGAACATAATATTGTGGCGGAAAAATAAAAAATTACCTGCATGGGCTGTGACTCAACGGGCTCCTTCTTGGATGTTTCCTCAGCAGTCAAACCCTCCTGGAGTTCAATTATTTAGTAAATAACCAAAATAAATATACAATCATCAACCAGATAAATCTGTTTCGAAGCAGCTTTAAAAATTGATGATTGAAGTTACTAGTAAGAAATTCATAGTTGCTTAAGCAAGCTCTATCATCTGTTTAAGACTCTCAGTTGCAAAAAAAAAAAAAAAAAAACACGAGGCTCTCAAAAACATATTCTAGCATTATTCTAAAACACAAACAATATTTTAAAAGTCAATTCTCCAAAATTTATCAAACACTTGAATTATTTTAGAATTTACCAACTATTTGCTTACTAACCCTGTGCTCTTATAATCACAAACAAATTAAACACAACTAGGACCAAAATTTAGGAGTCAATGGTTTCATAAACGTCACAAGTATATTCAGTCAACTATAGAACTATAAGGTACACTTAAGGTGGACTAAAGCATCTTTCCCCCATCAGTGCAGAATTAAATAAAAGCCATAGATAAATTAGTTATTTAAAAGAATATTCTGCATAGACTATCAAGAAATTGTTATATTACCAAGGACTAAATTGCATATTAAAGTAAGAGAGACTAAGTTGCAAATTATTCCCTGCCCAAAGCTGGATGAGCGTCTGTTGCTGTAAAACTGTAAAAGGCACCTACCACTATATTTATCATCCACTGAACTCTCACACAAACAATGTTAGAGTGATTTAACACAAGGATGCCTCCATGAAAATACAAAGAAAACAAATCAACAGGTCCAAAGCAAGGTGGTCAACGTTGTTAAAGAACATAAGGGAAGAGTTTTTAGATCTTCCATTCCCTTAGAATCTGATTGATGTTTAAACATGCCCACCATTTTATCTCTCACAACTCCTCCACTCCTTCCTTCCTCCCTTTTCTCAAGTTCCAAATGTCTCAACTTAAGGCCAATTTTCACTCTAAAGTATAAACTATAGAAGACCCTTCGACAAACATAGGTTCCACCTCCTGCTTCTGCTACATGACAACAATGTGTTTAACTAGATAGAATATGCTGAGGACTATTAATTGTTGAACCAATAGTATTGATTGACCAAAAGAATCATGATTAGCTGCTGGTTTAATCAGAAATTAGAAGTACAAAACCTACAAAATAAATTCATCATATGAGCACACAACATCAAAGTTACAATTGAAAAAAAAAAGGATATCATACCTTTAATTCATTGGGTGTCATATTCAATATTTTAGAAGGCTCCAACTCTCCATTTAATAAACGGCGTGCTAGCAATGCATTGTGCTTCCAAAAAACAAAGAAAGCAGGAAAATATTAGCAAACCACCATCATCACAGCAGGAAAAAAAATTACAATGGTATTCACATTAATCTGTCCAGCCAATTTTTGTTGGGACTTGTGCAGAAATGGGCAAAGGTTGCCTGATAGGCCCAATTTCAATTATACCTCTGTATGGCTATGAACTATGCAGTACCAAACCATTTAGATTAAAATGAAACATGGGAATTGGGAAAAGGAATATCCAAACATGCAGGGTGCCAATGAGCTGCAAAAGTGGAGGAGAAACGGTTGCAGCACATGGAACTCTATAATTAATCAAAAAATATGTTCCATCATGTCACCCCCACCCTTGCAACACAATTTTTTTTTTTTGTTTAGGGAAGGGGTGAAGGTAAGTAGTGGAACTGGATGGAATGAGTTCTATTGATTTCCATTTCATGTTTTTTTTTTTTTTTTTTTTTTTTTTGCAATGTAAACAATGGAGTATAATTGTATCCCATTCCATCAATCTAAACATAGTCCTACTAAACTTACCCCTTTTTGAAGCTCAACATTCTAAACAGAAATAATCATAAATGTCTTCAAAAACTATGGCACAAATGCACATAATCACAAATAGGAAAAATATGTTGATTACAAAAAAAGGAAAAATAATCAGTCCAAACAAGTTACCAATTTAAATATTCGCCAGTAGTAACATGACCCATATATTTACTAATAAAGATTGCCAACATTCTATCAAACATTTAATATCTTAGACATTAATTTTTAATAAATAATATACTAAAAATCCATACAATAATAAAAGGGGCCACCTTATCCAAAATAAAATGAGGCAGCAATATATTATTTTTTAATCATTCAAGTGCATCACTTACAAACATTTTAAATTAACAATCCATATTAGAAGAGTAGCTTCTAACCTTGAGGTTAAATACTAATTGTCGTAGCTTTTGGTTATACTTCTGATAATCTGATGAAAAAGTCTCATGCGAAGCTTTTTCTAGAGCAACTACAGCTGGAACAGCAACATCTGGCCAGACAAAAGACTTGGAACTCTGTAGAGAGACAAAAGTAAATACTGAATTCATTATAACCCTCAAGGAAATCGGAAATAAATAGAACATCACGAGAAAATAAAGAATCCCATACATGAGGTCGCAACAACAATTTAGTAATAAACCAAGTACCTTCAGAACCTTGTCTTTACATTCATTTGCTAATTTATTGCTTCCATTGTTGATTGCATCAGAACTTTCATTTCCTTTGTCTTCCTTTTTTATGCTGTCATCAGAAGTAAACAAGCATTGAACACTTTGAAGCAGCTTCTCTAAACCTCTGTCGCGATGGGTATCTCCTGTTAGTACATTGAAATCCTCTAATATGCGATAATGCTGTGAGACATTATTTACACAACTCCCAGGTGTTTCAGGCTTCAGAGGTTGGTCAGCCTTATAAGTTGTTTCCTCCTCCCTTGAAACATCAAGAGGTGAAATGCTCTTTTTCCTTAAGATTCTTTTATTTTTCATCAGATCTTCCTGATCAGTAATAGCTTCCTCAGGCTCAATGTCAGGTAGTGTGCCCAAACGTTGAAGAGTTTTCTGAACAAGCTCATCAATTTCTTGCTGTTTATTGTCCTCATAGTCCTTATCAGTTAGCCTCCAGAGTTTCCTTTCTACCGTGTCATACACCTTTTGCACAATAAACCCAGGATGCTGCTTACGATTTGGAAGCTGTTTGTGTATCGGAACGAAATGCACAACACACTTATGCATAACTGATTCTGCAGGAACCTCGTCTCGGTGGAAACTATAAAACAGCTCCCTTGTATCACGTGATTGCCAGCTGCCACCACCTTTTCTTTCTGCTTCTTCAGGACGATAAAACCACTGCCCTGTGACCATCATGCTGCCATTTTGTGATTGTGTAATGTCCTGACAACAAAAACAACCGCAGAAATCACGGTGGTGGAAAGAGCAGAAGGTCTTTAACTCTACATTGTGTGAAAGAGGAGTACAACAATTTGGCAACCTAGATACCCATACTCGAAAAAGGGCAACTTAACGCACTAACTCCAGCACACTCATGCGATTTCCAAGGAGAGAACAAAAATGGGAATCCTGATTTAAATATATAAAATGCATAAAATTGTGACTCATAAAGCATGAGTAGATTATTAATAAGGGGGATTTTTTTGTTTGTCCCGTTTACTTCTGTTAGGATTTATTACTTCTTCACCAATGCATAATCTCATGCCCTGATGATCACAAAAATCCAAAGTGTCGTAATACTTTTAACGTTCCAACCAAACATATCTTCAAAAATAGACAACTTGTGGCAGAATTAAATAATTGACAAGGAATTTACCTTAATAATTGCCACGTACGGCTTTTGCTCTTTGTCCTCAGGCACGAGAAGTACAGGGTCCTCCTGCAGAAACAAGGTTAGATGCATTATCTAAACACGAAAAATGCAACGCATTTCTAAGGATAGAAGGTCTCATAGCCCAATTTCACAGAATAACTATTAACTTCACAAACAATGCACAAGCCAACATCATGCCTGAAACCTCAAATTACACTTCACTTTCAGTAGCCAGAAATTAAAAAGAGTAGCAAACCTAAATACTCTCGGTTGACATACACTACCAAAAATTGGAAAATAACACCATTACGCACATAACGCAAACCCTATTAGCTCAAAAAAAGTATGAAGAAAACTTGAAACTCAAACGTCCATTCGAATTCAATAGCCAAAGGTTTCTCAAAGTTAAGAAGGGAATGAGACGAGATAATACCAACGTGTATTGGTTTCCATCGAACTCAAAGGATTCAAAATGCTTTCTGCGGCCTCTTCCTTTTCCGGAAACCCTAACTGGATCGCCAATGGGCTTAGCGTCCTCCTGTGGCGGTTCCTCTTCTTCGTCTTCCTTATCTTTGGGTTTCCTCTTCTTTTTTTTGTCTTCCTCATTCTTCTCTTCCTCTTCTTCTTCTTCATCTTCCTCTTGCAGCTTCATCCTCTTCCTCTTCCGCTGCTTAGAACGGTTCTCTTCGGTGGCAGTTGCTGGACGAGGCCGTGCTTCGTCTTCGTCGTCGCTGGTTGCCACCTGAGTGAAGCGTCGATTCCCCATTCCTCAGTGAACCCACTGCCACTGACAGTGCCGTCTGAGTATAATATTGTAATGAAATTCAGATTTTTGGAGGGTTCTTCCCGTTTCTGGAATGAAATCAAAGGATCTTCTTCCACGCTGTTCTCGTACGCTTTATATTTAAAGATGGCCTATTATCATTTTTTTAGTTTTTATTCTATCAAAAGCTTTTTTTTTACTTTTCAAAAAATCCAAAGCTCCAACTTCCTAATATTGCAGCTATAATTTATTACGCGATTGTGTTTTTTCTTTTTTTCAATTTTTATTAGTTATTGAAAATTGTATGATGTTAGATGATTAGATAAGTGTTTAAAGAACATCCCTCTCTGACTTTTAGTATTCAACCCAAGTAAGCAAGATAAACACAAGTAGATAAGATATGTACGCTTATTTTATTTTATATTTAGTGCTTGGTAATTCATTAGATAATATTATTTATTCTTTGTGATTAAAAATATAATAAGATATGTTATAAATTGTATTCAAGTGTTAAAATTATCCATTAAATTGTATTTACATTTTTAAAAATATAAATATTCAAAAAAAATACATATAAATATTTTAAAAATATAAATTTTAAAAGAAAAATGTTTTGAAACATTTATATTATATATATATATATATATATATATAAAGATATATATAAAATTGTCTATACCTACTTATTATTATATACATTTATGACAAAATTTATGAAATATATGGTTGTTAAAATTTAAAAATATAAACTCACTTTTATATTTTGTACATATTTATTACTTTATAAGTTATATATGTTCATTATTTCTATGTATATATAATAGAATTTAAGTTTATTATAATTCAAAATATTTAGAGTTATTTCTATATAAAAATAATAAATATATATTATTTTATATATTTATAATAAAATTTTTAAACAAATTTATTAAAATTAATCATAATATTTTTATAACTTATAAATTGAAATTATATTCAATTCATATTTATTATTTTTTAAATTTTATTTAAGAAAATTTTATTACAATTTATAATTGCTAAAAATGATGATTCTTTAAAAAATAGAAAAATCATTATCAATTGTTAAAAATTTAAAAAAATATTGATTCAATTGAACAAAAATATTTATATAAAAATCTAATAAAGTTTTCGAGTTATCTTCCAATTATAAAAAAATTATATTTTATTTTAAGTTATATTCAAATTTGAGTGATATTAATTTAAATTTTTTATTAATTAACAGCAAAAAAAATCTTTTATTAATTAGTTTCATATAAATTATTTATGATGTTTTCTATAACTTATGAATTCAAATTATATTTAATCTATACTTATTATCTTTGAATTATATTTAAAAAAAATTTATTACAATTTATACTTGTTGCGAATGATAATTCCTAAAATATTTTTAAAAAATTATTATCAATTGTTAAAAATAAAAAAATATTAATTAAATTGAATGATAAAATTCTTGTAATTAAATAAAAATATTTTTTTGTAAAAATCTAATAAAGTTATTGAGTTACTTTTTAATTAAAAAATTATTTTATCTTAAGTTATATTTAAATTTAAGTGATATGTATTTAAATCTTTTATTAAATTAGCTTCATATAAATTAATTATAATATTTTTTATAACTCATGAATTAAAATTATATTTTATTTATATTTATTATCTTTAAATTGTAGGTAAAAAAAATTATTATAATTTATGATTGCTGCGAATGACAATTCCTAAATAAATATTAAAATATAAATGTCAATTGTTAAAAATAAATTAATTTAATTGAATAAAAATATTTTTATAAAATTCTAGTAAAGTTCTTGAGTTACCTTTCAATTGCAAAAATATATTTTTATTTTAAATTATATTTAAATTTGAGTAGTATTGATTTAAATCTTTTATTAATTAATTTCATATATTTTATATTAACAAATTTACTACAAATTGTCTAAAATTAAAATTTATTAGAATTAAATATATTATTCTTCATAATTTACAAATTAAAATTGCATTTGATTCATATATATTATCTTTTAATTGTATTTAAATTTTTTTTATAAAAAATAATGATTATATTAGGTTAAAAAAGATAATAATAAAACTGTTGTAAATAAGATTTAATAAAAAATTATTAAAAAATTTATATAAAAAATTTAAAAATTTATTGTCAAACAAAACCGTATTTAATGAATGAATATATCTTTGCAATAATTTATTAAAGTTTTGAAGTTACTTTTTAATTAAAAATATTTTTTTTTTGTCAAAAAAAATTATATCCAATGAATGAAGATATTTTTTTAAAAATCTAATAAAGTTTTTAAATTACTTTTAATTTAAAAATAAAATTGTATCTTTACTTTAATTTCAATTCAAATTTGAGTAGCGTTGATTTAAATTATTTTATTAACTAGTTTAATATAATAAATATTTAAATATATATTTTTAACCCTAAAATGTACTTTGAATTAATAATAAAATTACACTTATGTGATAAAAAAATTATAAAAAAATAATTGTCAAATGTTGAAAATAAAAAATAATAATAAAATTTTTGAGTTACCTTTTAATCGAAAAAAAAAGTATACTTTTACTTTAAGTTTTATTTATATTTAAATGGTATTAATTTATATAAATTTATTAATTAGTTTAATATATTTTATATTTTAATATTTAAATTATAATACATAAGAAGATATTATGTATAAAGTTAAAATTGCATTAAATTAACATTTACTGAAATTAATTATAATCTTTTATATAACTTAAGAATTAAAATTATAACTGATTTATATCTATTATTTTTTAATTGTATTTATAAAAAATTTATTAGAATTGATAGTTATATAATATTAAAAAATGACATTAACAAAATTGCTATGAATGGCATTTAATAAGTTGTACAAAATATTTATAAGTTAAAATAGAAAAAAAATTGAATAAATTGTACAAATTTTTTTAAAAAAATATTATGAATTTTTATTCAACATTTAAATGTTATTAATTACTTTACTATATTCTATATGTAAATATGTATTTTAAACACTAAAATATTGCTTAAAGTAAAATAATTACATTTATAAAATTATTTTATATTATATATTATTAAATTAAATTTTTAATAAAAAGATAAATAAATTACAATACAAATAAAAAGACATATTTTATTATATTAATTTTTATTTTTATTTTCTGATTTTTTATATATCACTAAACAGAATTTTATCTAAGTTATGTTTACATAACTTTTAAAAATATTTTTTTATTATCTTCATTTTTATTTATATTAGATTTTTGTAATTGTCACTTTCAAGAGTTACTTATCTACATGAAAATGTATTTTTTAAATTATTGTGTTCGTATATTTTATTTTATTTTTTTAGTAAGCATAAAATTGTATTATTTTTAAATGATATTATGTATTAAATTTTATTTTTAACTGATTAATTTGTATTAAATTTATCATTATATTTTAAATTAATTTAACTTACAATAGTATAAATTTAGATTATTTAAAATTATGTCATGGAATTGACATATCATATAAGTTTATATTTTAAAGTTTATAAATAAAAAAATATATAAATATTTAATTATTTTTATACTACTTATAATATATTTTAATTAAAATATCTAAACCAATTTTTTTATCATTGATATATTCATATGTAGATTCAATTTATATTAATCATAAATAACTATTTACTTTTATATTTTTTATGCTTTTTGTAAGAAAATAATAACTTTTAATAAAAATAAATAGATTTTTTTATAGTCTAAATTCAAGAACCGATTATTAAAAAATAATGTGAATATCACGATTGTGAGATACTTTAAACACATATAACAAAATTAGTATTAATATGGTAATAATTAGTGAAAAGACAGTAGTATTTGTATTTTTCTTATAAAAAATTTATTAATTGTAATAAATTATAATTATGTTATCTTTTATATAGTTCTATACTATTTATTTTTTCACATTATTATTATTGCTCTTTTTCTTTTTCTTTCTATACTATGTTTTATGTATTTGGAAGCCTCTCAATAATAGCAATATTTTAATAAAGACTAAAGATAAAAAAAATTATTAAAATACAATAATAATTACAGAAATAGAAATTATATGCATTATGAAAACCTTTCACATTTAGATTGTATGCATTTTCGTGGATTAATTTTTTATATATGATATTTAAAATCATATATATATATATATATATATTAAAATAGAGTATTTTTTGAAAAATTGCATAAATATAAATATAAAAATTACAAATTTCCGTGTACGTACAAATGTTCAAAATTAAAAATTAAAAAAATTACAAAATCTCAAAATTTGTCAATTTAAAAAAATTAAAAAAACAAAAAGTCACAAATAAGAAAATTTAAAATAATAATAAAATATTCAAAAAGTACAAACAAAAGCAGTCAAAAATTATCATTAATAGTTTTTAGTAAAGAGTGATTAAAAATCACCAATAACAATTTTAATATATATATATATATATGTTTAATTTTGAAAAAAAATATAAAAAAATGCTCTTTTTTATTTGAATGAATAGATTAAATTTGAGTGGCTTATTTTCTACCTCTTATGCTCCCATGTTACCCCTAAGTAATTTATGACAAATTAATTACAATATATTTTTCTCCCCATATAGAGGAATCGAAACGATATGTTCTTATAAGATTTTACAACCTTTTTCATGTAACACTGTCGCAGTAGGTTTTATTTGGATTTTATATCCTATTCGTAAAGTTTGAGTTTAAAAACGTTAATTAAATATTTTTATATTTATGATATAATAATAAAAAAATTAACGATATTCGTGATATATGAGATTAATAAATCTTATTAATTAATACAATATACTTTTAAGTCATGAAAAACTTTGAACCCCAACATAGAGTAAAGAGAAAAACTTTTTATTTAAAATAATAATAATAAAACAAAGCTAGAGTATTTTTAGAATAAAATTTAATTGAATTTATTGTTAGACCGCGGTTGAGTGCCGTAAGGGGGAAACCCTGTTTCAGTGTTTTAGCTTTTTTTTTTAATTTTAATAAAAAACACACAGGAAAAGAAGGCTATGATAGGAACACTGGGCGGTTACCCAAGATTGAAAAACGATTGCGTTATTTGACGAACACGTGTGCTGATAGCAGAGGATTTTGCCAACGTGGACTGCTTCATCTTCAATGTTCGATACCGTCTCTTCTTTAGCCATTTTTTCACGATTTATAATATAAACCACACTTTTGTCATAAAAATCGGAATCAAATAAAAAATTAAATAAAAAAAGAAAAAGGAAAACGTAGCTTACGGGGAAAATTGGCAAATAAAGAAGAGAGATTCAAGTTTGTTTTCCTTCTCTTCGAGGCCGTGAAGTTTCTGATTCTCTTTTTACTTTCTTTCTCTTTCAGGTTGGTTCTTCTTAGTTCATTCTATCTCTTTCCAACACTTTGTTCGACTAGTTTCTTTGCATTCTTTTTGTAATTTTTATTTTTATTTTTTTACTGTTATATGCGTTTTATTTTGAGTAATGGGTAAGCTTGGTTTTTCGTGAAGGGGATTTTTCTGATGGTTCTTGACGATAAAGTTGCGATTTTGCTGTGAAACTCTGTTTCTCTTTGTCGTTTTGCTCCCAAGATGTTGTCGTTTTCAAGAATATAGTTTTGCTCTGGGAATAACGGTTCTAGTTTTGCACTGAATCGTTGGTTAGATAGGTTTATTTGAAGTGAAATTGGCAACCCCTCGTTGTGGAACTCAATTCAACTTGGTCAGAGGCAGTAGAGGTGCCTTTCTTGGTTAAAAAATGGTTGAATCAATTGCTGCAACTTCGCTCCTTGGTCACCGTCCTATTTGTGGTGGAAGTTTGACCAGAGATGTTTCTGGTAAACGCAAATCTTTGAATACTTGTAGGTTCCCAACAACTGAGTTTCTTGGTGGAAGGATTGATGTTTCTCTGCATTTGTCTAAATCTAAATCTGGTAGCTTTTTGTCATCTTCAATTATGGCCTTGGCTGTGGAGCTCACAAGAGAAGCATATTCTTATAGGGAAGAGAAATTTCCCAAAAGAGATAGCATGATAGATAGTGGCTTTGATCCTAGACCTGGTTTGTGGCCTCCAGCAAATAGAGCAGATAAGCCTTCACTTCGGAATCCATTGCTTCGGCAAGAGAGGATGGGATGTGGCTGGTTGGGTGCTATATTTGAGTGGGAGGGTGTTATCATTGAAGACAACCCTGACTTGGAGAAACGAGCTTGGCTAACCCTATCTCAAGAAGAAGGCAAACCCTCTCCTCCTACTTTCATCCTTAAGAGAATAGAAGGGATGAAGAATGAGCAGGCAATTTCCGAAGTGCTGTGTTGGTCTAGGGATCCAGCAGAATTAAGAAGAATGGCTAACAGAAAGGAAGAAATCTACCAATCTTTGCAAGGTGGGATACATAGTCTCATGCCCGGGTCTAAGGAGTTTGTGAGTGTTTTGATGCATTATAAGATACCAATGGCATTGGTTTCCACGCGTCCTAGAAAAACTCTTGAGTCTGCTATTGGGGAAATTGGTATTGAGGACAATTTCAGTGTCATTGTAGCAGCAGAGGATGTTCACAGGGGAAAGCCTGATCCAGAAATGTTTGTGTATGCCACCCAGCTTTTAAACTTCATACCTGAGAGGTGCATTGTGTTTGGAAACTCAAACCAAACAGTGGAGGCTGCTCATGATGCGCGGATGAAGTGCGTAGCTGTTGCTAGCAAGCATCCTGTCTACGAGCTTGGGGCTGCAGACTTAGTTGTCAGGCGCCTAGATGAGCTTTCAGTGGTTGATTTGAAGAATCTTGCAGACATTGAATTGTCTGAATTTGGGTCTGGGGAACCTGAGGTGGAGCTGGAGATGGAAAAAGATTATGACACATCTTCAGTTGATGACTCTTTCTGGTAAATTCTAAAAATGTACAGTTGATTAAACTTCATCTGATTCTTGATGATATTAGTTACAGGTTAGTTACTTGTGTATATGGCAAACAGAATAAATGGGGGGAAAATGATAAGCGATGTGCATTGAACATTGATGTTACTGCTACTGTATTTCTGTCTATATACATTCACGGTACTTTTAGATTTGATTTACTGGTTTTTCAATCCATAATATAGAATACAAATTATCTCATGAAGTTTAGGTAACTTCTACGTTTGGTCCATAAGTTTGTCTTGTGACATTATCCCCTAAACCTAAATTTTGGATGATAACTAAACCTTCAAATACTATTTTGTTTTCTCTTTTCGGGAGGATGAATGCAAATAAGATTTTATACCCCAAAATAGGTAGTTTGTACCTCACAAGTGACTTAGTTTAAAACTACTTTTCCTCTGTTTCTTAGTCTTTAAAACACATAAAGATGAGTGCTGTGTTTGTGGGGTATTAAAGTATCAAAGCCCAAAATATTAATCATAATCAGGGGATAAATGGGCCTAAGTGCCTACTGCAATGTTTTATTTGGTGGGATTTGCATAGGACCGCGGGTATTTTCTGTTCATCATATGCATGCATTCCCCACTTTTCAACTGGTCATATCATATGTTAAGGTTAATGTGATAATATTATTTCCTTTTAACTTGTCCTCTTCCCATTTGTTAAGTAGGAATTGGTGTATTCGTTTAATCTAAAGAACCGGATGCTTGCAGGCCAGCACTTTTTTTGTCAGTAGTTTATTGATACTAAAATAGTAGAGCTTGTTTCGTATGTTTTGAGGCTTTTAGCAAAATGTGAACTCGCTTTGCTCTACGCATTGGTTAGGATAATAAAAGAAGAAAGAATTAATTTGGTTGGACAAACGGAAAGTAGTGAGAAAATTAGTAAATTTTTAAGCTGTTTGATATAAAATAAAAATATGCGAAAAAGTGATAGAAACTGATCTTTTATAAGGAATAGGGAAGGATTTTCCTTGATACAGTTACAAACCTACAGAACTTCAAGCAGTTGCACCTCTGATCGCTGAAAGGCCCTAATTTTCTATCAAAATGACAAGCTATTATCCTTTTCTTCTTTTATTCTATTTATATATGAAATACCTTTTACTAATGATAATTAAGCAACTATTATTTATAACTAACTAATGAATTATCTAACAATATTTCCTCTTAAACATTTACCTTGTCTTAAGGTGAATGGAATGCATATGATGAAAACGAGCCCACCAAGGTCCCATGCTTCTTTTTTTATCCATATTCAATACTCCTTTCTTTACTTCAGGGGCCCCATTGTCTTATCCATTATCAGTCTGATCGTCTGATATCTATTGCTTTGTCATGATTGGTCTCCCATTTCCTTTTCTTTGATTTGCCCAAATTCTCTATTTTCTTCTTCCAATTTGTTTCTTCTGGTGCCACTCATGGAAACATTTCTGTCCTCTGCTTTCTTCTTCACTTCTCCCAAAAGATTGTTTTTCACCACTCTGTTTTGTTTTATTCTTTCTCCTTCGTCGATCAAATTTTTTATATAGCGCATCTATTCAAATGTTTGTTTCATTTATTAGGATTTTTTTTAAATAATTATAAAAATAATTTATGACTCATGCGTTATTTTCAAATTATTCCAATAAATTTATTCGTATAGCTTAACAAAATAATTTTTTTTTAGCTTATGTCAATAAATTTTATTGTTAAAATTATACCTTAAACTATCATTTAAAAAGAGCTTGTTGAATAGACGTGTAACTGAGCCCTGTTCTACAACACACCTTAATTCTTGATCTACATGCTCTTTGTTCTTGCTCCCAATATTCTTCCTTATTCTTATTCATCATCTTGGAATCAAATCAGAAGATTTGGATCTTACTCAAGCTGGAACTCTTTAAGCAAGGTAGTTTTCTTTACACACAAACCACCGAGCAAAAGCACATTATTTTATATAGGCTTTCAAACATTTTTATTATTTCCTCAAGCATTGTAGTGGCCTCAGAAAGTGTCGTTCCTCATTAATTCGTTACCACATGCTTCTTTTTCTATAAATTCTGAAATCATCTTCAAGATTTAACAGCCACAACTCTAAGACCGGAGTCCTAAATTGATAGAACTAGTATTTTATTAGGAGGAATAATGAAGAATTCCCCTTGGTACAGCTACAAAAACAATATTTTGAGGGTCTATTACCTTCCAATGCTCAAAGGCTCAAATTTCCTTCCTTACAAAATATCAAATTCATCTCTTTTCCTCACAAAAGGGAGTCTTAAATAGACAAATATGCTCCTGAAAAGATAGGTTATATAATACAATTATTATATTTTATTTCACTATTTATTAATATATATATATATATATATATATATATATATATAGTATTATGTGATAAAATAAAATAAATATTTTTTGTTATATTAAAAATTCTTATAACAAAAGCATGCATTTAACGAATTGAGATTTCATATATAATTATTATCTTTTGCTAATTATTTTATAGAGTAAGAAGCTCCAAAATACCATTCGTGGAATATCTTACCATGCATCCAGATTGAACTTAACATGTAGAATCTAAAATAAACCACAAAGATCGTGACAACATATTAAGAAATGTCGTATGTGTGTATATAATAAGACATGTAATACTGTGTTTTTTTTTTTCAGGAGAGAGAATATATTAAGAAAGGGATTGACCAAAGCCCTTACATCTAATAGAGGTGTAAGTTAGGCACCTGACTCATGGAACAACCCTTTTTTCTTTTTACTTTGCACCCTGATTTTATAATTTATTACCCATGTTGTAGTTACTTTCAAGCTTTATACACACACAACTCACTAATTAAGTGGGTTGGGGTTAGAGTTGACTTATAGGTCGATTTAATTTCATCAAATTAGTCTGAAATTCACTTAATTCATTTTAATGTTATAATAAGTTCATGTTGACTTATATATTAATGTAACTTTAATAATTTGTCAAACACATTTATATTGGGATATTTTTCTTCCTTGTTGTATTGTCTCAGGCCTAGGCCTTTTCTCATTTTGACATATTTAGTATGAACTAATTTTAGTGGTCTGTCCTTGTCGTGTAGCCATTCTATCTACCTTGTCTAATAACATTTTTTGTGTATACAAATATATGTCCATTATGTATGGCAATTTTTTTGGGTAATAAAGACATTTGCAAGTTTAAATTTATAAAATTATAGAATATACGTACGCAGTGAATCAGATTTTTCCTTCTTCATTAATATCATTTTTTTGGTGGTGGGGATTGTGAAAAAGATTAATGTTGATGGAATATCTCAATACTTAAAGTTACGTTATGTTTCAATAGAGTCACACAAGGGGGAAACAATGTGTAAATTGTGTGAAGTTTGTGTAAGGGTTGGTGAGAGGGCTATTACCAAACTAAATCCCATGTTTTTGCAACTATCCAAGAAATGCGGATAAACTTGAAGGGAATGTTAGTTGGGTGGGAGACTAAAATATTCTAAAAACAAATTTATTTATACACCATTTATTTTTTTTATTTTTAATAATTATTCTAAGCTATCATAAAATTTTCCCAAATTTTTAATTTCGAAATTAAAATTATGAAAGGTTGTGTCAAAAGAAAAAGGCTATTCTAAAATGTCTTGTGGTTATGAGAAATATGACCCCCAAGTATGGATTGGGCTAACCAAGCTGAACTACAAGCAATTTCAGAACAAACTTTGGGCTACCTCGAAACAGTAAAAATTCCATTAAGCAGAAACACTGAAGTTATTGTTGAGAGGAAAAAACCATTGTTATTCATCCGATCAGAAATTTAAGATTTAATTAGAAAAAAAAGAATCATGGTAACTTCTAAACTTGTATTGTGAAACTTTTAAGTTCTCCTCGTATATCAATCATATCACAATGAAGGTTTTGATTCCTCTAAAGCAAGAAATATATATAGAGTGAGAAAGTGATAAATTATATTCACTTTTATCTTAATGTTTGATTATATTTATAAAATACTAAAATAAAAAAAAAATCTTAACTTACTCATTATATTTTAGAGGAACTGAATCCCACGACGGATTCACATATACGTGGTTACATAGATAGCTTTAATGACATGACAATCTTTCTTAAACTTGCGAAGCACAACAAAAGTTATGATGCAGCAACTCACAGTACTGCAGTCACCATAAACAACATGTCATTCTCACTTTCTCAGGGTCACCAATATGAATGATTAGTGGCCAATGACAATAACATTGAACATAGCCCAACTGAAGATCGATGGTCAAACAAAATAGCGTTGAATAATTGATTATTGCTGTTGCTAGTTCATTGAACATTTTATACAAGTATCACAGCATTCTTTCATGGCAGCCCTGTGATAATGAATATGTTGTTTTACACGTAAGTTTAAGACAAATTAAAATCTTTTACGTATCATGTACAATTAGACTATTTTAAATTAAAAAATTACTGTCTTAATTTTTTTATTTTAATTTGATCTTTCAACTTTTTTCTTTTTAGTTTTTTTTTAATTCTTTAATCTTCAACATAAATCAAGTAAGTATATTGGGAGCACCAAATTAAAAAAAATGTCATTTGCATGGTGTAAGGTTTTATTAAATACTAGAGTCAATAAAAGCTAGTTTAGTTGTTAATGATTAGATTTCTGACATACAAGAATGCTGCTAGTTTAAATTTCATTGTTGATATGAGTCCTTTGTTGGTGAATATATGTGAGTAATTTTGTAAAAAGTTTTGAACTTTGAAATGTATCACACTTTTGATCATGGGTGTTCATGAGTTGAATGGTCGATTTAGCTGCCACCAGGTCCCAAGAGATGCACGCAAGAGGATGAGTCAAAGAAGTTGTGCGAATATGAGAGATTGAAGATAAAAAATAAAACAAGGTCATGAAGTTGGGTTAGGTCTTTTTATTATTAACTTAGAGTCCTAATCCATACTTAATTGAGTTATAGTTTTTTTTAATCTAATCGTACTTAAACATACTTGTTTACTCGAACTAGTTCATTCATTATTTAATAGATTAAATTGGTCGAGCAAATTAGATTCATAAACACCCTTATTTTTTTAAAAAATAAATTTTCAATATAATTGATAAAATGGTTTGGTTTAGTTTAGTCCATTTGATGAGATATAGAATTTATAAATTTCAAATTAAATTTATTTTTTAAAACTCAATTCAATTAAGCTTAATATAGGGTTAATTTATCAAAAAAATCAATTTGTCGAACATGTACATCAGTCTATGATTTCAAATTACATTTGGATTCCTTCATGTTGAACCCGATAAAGCTTATGATTTGCAATAAGCTCATGATCATGAACATGCTACTCATTTTTCAGATTTTATTCTCTCCTTTGCTCTTCTCTCTCAAATAAAATTTTTAATTTTTATAAATATTTTAAACTTAAAAAAATTACTTTTTACATATTTTACTTAAATAAATTTAAATTTCTTTTAAAAAAATTACGCTGCAAGGTACATTTCATGTTAAAAATTGTAGATGATTTGAATCTAATTAAGTATACGTATAATAATAATGTGAACTCTCATTGCCAGTGGGTTAATCCTTAATCATGTGCTTTCCACCAAGTGCTGTGCTGTTTCACTTTAATTATTCACGAATTTGTGTCGTTAACAATTTGTAATGGATCTTATTCTTATGCTTCATTTCACGGTCAGCAGCAAAAATTAATGGCGGCTTACATATGCACGTGCACAAAAGTTTATAAACTATGCATTTGAGTGACACATTTTAGCACCTAAGAGCATGATAGTATAGAAACTACAATTGTTTTTGTCATCTTAGATATAAAATTAGCCTTAACCCTTCCACAATGCCTAATAAATAATCCATCATCACTGCCACTGCTTAGGTTAGATTCAATGTTAGTAATATATATTATTTTTGTCACGCTCCACTCACCAAATCAAATCATTCATATAAAAAATTGTGAGTTTTGAACTGATGTGTTAATTTTATTCTACTCCACTGTTTTATTGTACAATATTAATCAAAATCTTAAAGGTAATACTAGTTATAAAATAGTTTTGTTGAGAATATTATTAATATATATATATATATATATATATATATATTTATTGTGTTTTTAAATAAATTTTAACATATATTTTTAAAAATTCTTCGATAAGTATCGTAATCGTTAAGAATACGCTATTTATGTTATGCTCAAGATTCGAAGGAATCATAGAATCCGCTTTATAACTATAATAACCCACTCAAAGGGATTGGTTTTATGCTCGTGATTCGTGAGCCCTTAAAGAAAATAATTACTTATATTGTAAATTTTTCATTTATTTTTAAAAATATACGATTATTTATTCAATATAAAGTAAACTAAAAACATGCTTACATCAATGGAAGAAGGAGACTCAATTTCTAAATTTGATTTTACCTCTAAAATAAGAAGATATATAACAAATGAAATATATATATTTTTTAATTTAAAAATCATTAGTATAGAAAAAAAATACTTAAATTCAAATAATAATAAACATATACTCACTTGAAGATATCCTCTTAGCTTCATTGGGTCACTTCGAAATTTCCACCCTCTTGAGCCTAGTAACAATATATTAATATCACTTTGAAAAGTTATAGATTCACATTTAAAATAATAATTTTTATTCAAAATAAATATTTATATGTCAAACCTAAAAACATAATAAATATTTTTAACAAATTTTATCACCTTTAAATATTTTAAAATAATATTAAAAAATAAAAATATTGTTTAGAAAACATCCTTCATGTGTCTAAAAATACATATTAAAAATTTTAATTAATAATTTTTTTTAAAATATAATATTTAATATTATTAATACATTTATTTTTAAACTATCTTATAATTTGCAATAAAAAATATTATGCATAGGTTTGTATTATATAACATTATATATACGTTAAAAAACTGTTTCTTTTATAGAAAAGGAATGGTGCAGAAAGTGGATGAAAAAGAGGACCTGAAAGAGGGAGGTGACGTGCGGCGTGACGAGCTCAAATTTGATGCCATACTACTTAACTAGAGGTAATATTAATTATTCTCATTTATACAACCTTTAAATTTAAATCACATTTATTAAGAAAATTTCTTAGAAAAAATATTTATTACTTTTTTTGAATTTTTTAATATTTAATTTTAATCTTTAAAATTAAATTTAAACACATAAAAATAATAATTTTTATAAAAAGTGTCTATATCAAATTTTTATTTTTTAAATCAAAATGATTACTTTTAATTATTTAAACTTAACTCTAAAGAATAAAATTCTAAATTTATTCTTAACTAAAGTCAAGTTATATTACTATATTAATTATTAAAATGTTAGACAAGTTTAACAAAATTGATAAATATATAAAATAACTTCTGCAATTTTGTAAAAAAAAAATAAATTATATTAACGCTTTTTTAAAACTCTAACGATTAATAACAGTAAAGTTTAATTATAGAAGAAAAATATTAATTATATTTTTATATTTATTTACTTTTTAAACGTGTGCCGAAAAAATATACTTTTGCAATAATTTATTATTAAAACATCTAATAAAGTGTATTGAATGTTTTTTAACAGAAATCTTAATATAATAAACATCTTATTTTTAATGAGTTTACTTTGTTTATATTTAATCTCAATTTTAAAAGTTAAATTAAAGAAAAAGATTTGATAAAAAAAGAATTTGAATTATAGATTTTACACTAAGGAAAATGATTTGGATTATGGTATATGGAAGTTAAAGAAACGGGGGCGAGTAATTAATAGAAAATAAGGAATTGCGTTGCGTCTCTTGGCATCGGGGAGTCGTCGTTTTCGTGTATTTCCTTTTTGGTTGTAAGAAAGAAAATATATGAGATAGCTACCGAGCTGTGAGTGACTGCGAGTGAGCCAGAAAAAGACCATTTCCCCTTCTTCTCTTCTCTCTCACACTACAGCCAATTCCGCAACCCTAAACGACAACGCGCTCGGTAATACTCTCCTCCTTCACGCGTCATACTCATGCTCTGCGTTTCGTTTTTTCTTAATTTCCGTTTTTCTCTTCTTCAGTCACCGCCATGGTTGTCATTTCCCGATGTGCCACATGCACGCGTCACGACTTATTACGACACGAGTTCGATAGGAAAAGCTCCGTTCGAAACAGTTCCTCTTCCTCTTTGTTGTGTTCTGCTAAGAAGGTTTTGCAGGTGAAGAGGATTGTTGGCGCTGTTGGGTGTAGACGTGGCCGTGGAGGAGTGATTGTTGCTGCCAGCCCTCCCACTGAAGACGCTGTTGTTGCTACTCACCCTCTCACCAAACAGGATCTTATCGATTATCTTGCCTCTGGTTGTAAGCCCAAGGAAAAATGGAGGTGCCTTCTTCACTCTCTTTTTCCATTTATGATGTGATGATTGTTGAGGATTTTCTGTTTTACGTGTTGTTTCTGTTTTCAATGAAATTTGTGATCATTGTTGCGGATTTTCTCGATTGTTTAATAGTGCGTGCTTCATCTGTCCACTTTTATTACATCACTATTTTAGTTCCTAAATTTGTAAGTTCTTTTTAGTTTCATCTTTGACTTAATAGAAATTTCATTTTTGTCCACGAGTTGTTAAAAGGTATATTAGTACTTAACAAGGAGGTTCACGTAGGACATTGGATGCCAACTCGACATGTTAATTGTCAACTGAATCTGTGTTAGAGGTTAGACAATGAATGATAATGGAAGTTTAGAGCAAATGAGGGAGAAGACGACAACTTAGAGTTTTGTGGGAGGAGGTGAATTTGAATGTAAATTTTAATAATTACTCTCTTAAGAGTCACACGGCGTCTTTTGGGGTGTGGAATGTTACTTAATGTGTCAGGTTGAAACTTAACATGCTAGATTTCTTTATTTGTTACTAATGTTAACTGAATGTAGGGACTAACGTGAAATATATTTGAGCATGTTAGGGACTAAAGTGAATAAGGGCATAAAATTAGGAATTAAGAATGTCAGTTGAATAGTCTCATGACATCATTAGGAGAATGATATGGAACATTCAAGTGCAAGTGCCTGTTGGCTCAGGGTCTGCTGGATGTGTGTAAATTCTTAAAGATGTGTGTAAGTTTCCTTTCAATATTATTTTTAAATCAAATTTTTTTTGCCTTGTTTAGGTATGTATTTTTAAGTAAGTTTATGTAGCACCTGATTAGGTTTCTTGAAAGTATTGAATTTGAACGATCTCTTATGTGATAACTAGTTTACGTGTCTATAGGGGGTTAATTTATTCATATAGTCTTGCAGAATAGGTACAGAACATGAGAAGTTTGGTTTCGAGTTTGGAAGCCTGCGTCCTATGAAGTATGATCAAATAGCGGAATTGCTGAATGGCATTTCTGAGAGATTTGACTGGGATAAAGTAATGGAGGGTGATAAAATTATTGGACTCAAACAGGTAAGCTAATTTTTGCATGAAAATTGTTGAACATCTTGTTTGGGATTTACAATTTAATTTGTTTGTTAAGATGCTTCCTGATTCTTGCATCCAATGCAATGCTTTGTTATTGTTGGAGATTTTAAGTGAAGTCTTTTTGCACATTATGTAAACCAGGGGAAGCAGAGCATATCATTGGAGCCAGGTGGTCAGTTTGAACTAAGTGGAGCTCCTCTTGAAACCTTGCATCAGACTTGTGCTGAAGTTAATTCGCACCTCTATCAAGTTAGTCATGCTTACTTGTTATGAGATAAATCAAATAAATCTGCCATCCAAGAAAGGAATTTGGAATTTTTTACGCATTCATCTTTTCTACAAATAAATATTTATCATCAGTACAGTTGTGGTCATTTAACATTTCTTTCTAGGTCATAGATGGCTAAATTTTAGTGCTAGTTCATTTTGTTTGATGTTTCTGTAATCTGATGAGTGACTTTACTTCTTTCAGATCTGTAATTATTTCCCTATACTTATATTTATAGGTTAAAGCTGTTGCTGAGGAAATGGGAATTGGATTTTTGGGGATTGGTTTCCAGCCAAAGTGGGGAATCAAAGACATACCTATAATGCCAAAGGTAGTCTTTTCTTTCTTCCCATCTTTCAAGTTCTTTAACTTTCGAACAGGTACATGTTTTTAACTTTATGTATATATAAAAACTGTCCTCAGATGTCACTTGCTGACTGCATCCATCATAGCTGATTTTTTAAATGGATAAGACTAACTGTTTTTAGTTAACTTGTCATGAATTTGGCTGGGTTTCTTGATTTCAGTATTAAATAGCTGTCAAATTTCACTGACTTACCTATTCATTCATTAATTATAATGACTTGAGATTAATGCAACTACCTTTCGTCAGTCAGACTTGAGTCCAGATAGGAATGACGTGGAATTTTGATAATCTTAGTGTAAAGGGCTGATATTTAGTCCACAGAATTGTCCATTGAGGATTTGTAGCTTAATTTGCAATTGAATGAACAAATAGTTTTCATTCAGGTTGTTGTTGGGGGAGTGAATGGGTGGATGGATTCAGCAACCTATACTAGTATATACTTTTTCTTTTATGCCACAATACATTGTGTGATAAATTCATTAACTGTGCCAGTTTTTTATCTGCTTATTATACTATTGTTGTTTTCATCTGAAAATTACAATTGTCAGTTCCACATACATACATGTAGTAGACTTAACTTTCAATAACCATTAAAACTTTGTTACTGAACAATGATTGTGATTCTTTATTGGCCTTTAGTGGTTCAATTACATTTTTTTGACATTGTTGCCACAGGGAAGATATGAAATTATGAGGAATTACATGCCCAAAGTTGGTTCTCTCGGACTTGACATGATGTTCAGGACATGCACTGTACAGGTGAGATGTGTGATGATTTGCGAGCAGACTTTTAGTTAAGTCATCCTAATTTAAATGTGATGAAAATAGTACCTTCTGATACAACCATATACTCTGCTTTCATACTGAATAATAACATTTTATATTTTACTTTTATAGGTCAATCTGGACTTCAGTTCTGAAGCTGACATGATTAGAAAATTTCGTGCTGGCCTTGCTTTGCAGCCTGTAAGAAACATTAACATATTATTTCATTCTTTCTATTAGGGAATTTGTTTAATGCTATGGAAGTACTTATTGTTATCTTTATGACAGATAGCAACAGCTCTTTTTGCAAATTCACCCTTTACAGAGGGAAAGCCAAATGGTTTTGTCAGTATGAGAAGGTATGTGGAAGTTTTTATGCCGTCATTTCTTTTTTCTCTTCACATTGTTAAGGTACCTTATGCAGTTTTCATGTGCTTCAAACAGCCATATTTGGACTGATACTGATAAGGACCGCACAGGCATGCTGCCCTTTGTTTTTGATAACTCGTTCGGGTAAGAGATTATTTTTGAATTATGAAGATTAAGACTTAAACTTTTATTTCTAGATCTTCTGACTCTAGGCTTCAAGGGTATCCAGTGAATGTAAAAGAAGGCATTAAGAATAAAATACAGTCATTGATATTTTTTCATCCTTTTTCTGATTCTGTAATCTTTCATATTTACTGTCCAAAATACATGTATTTGGAAATATGCACACTGAATGCCTAGGGCATATGAAATTTTGACTTTTAAGATTGCAATGCCGTCAAGATATTAAAGAGTTGGGATATTTATTTGCCAATTTTCCTGATACTACTTTTGACCAGATATAAAGGGAGGGTTTTGATGTGATGAAATTATGGACCTCTGTTCTACTTACGTATGAGATCATATGAATTTTGCACATTTTTTTGCCTCTAAAGTACCTTCTCGCGCACCATCCAATTTATTCCTTGATTTTTAGACTTTCCCTGTTTTTCTGTTATTTCTTTGTTTCTTTATTATGGTGTTCTTCTATGACCCTTCTAACTCATGGTTTGAACTTAAACCTTGAAATCAAGGTCTTAAAAAACTGAATGGTGCATTTAAAATGGAAATTTTGAAACACTTTTTTTCTTTTTTAAGAAAAAAGACTATCCGTGAAGACAACATAAGTAAGGATATGAATAAGTACTAAGTAATTAATAGATATAATTTATTGTTTTACTTGTTTTATATTTCTCTTTAGGAATTGGCTATCATGTGAAATTAAAATTGAGATGATGCATTATTTTCTGTAATAGTTCAGTTGAAATAAATATAATAATTTGACTATGTTCATCTTGATAAATTCTCATCTCCTCCCCCCTCCCCCCCCCTTTTTTTTTTCCTACAGTTTTGTTGATGTTATTTCAGGCATAGTTTGGCTAATGAACTTTCTGATTGCAGGTTTGAGCAGTACGTTGATTATGCCCTTGATGTTCCAATGTATTTTGTCTATCGGAAACAGAAATATGTCGATTGTACTGGAATGACATTCAGGGTTTCCATCTATCTTTAATATTCTTAATCAAAGGCTATCTCATGTGGCCCTGCCATTCTTTGTTGCAAAACTTACTTCCCTTGACCCCAGTACCCATGTAGCCTTGATTTGTTCAATGTAGAGAATTGATTATTATTTTATTGCAGGATTTCTTGGCTGGAAGGCTTCCTTGTATTCCTGGTGAATTACCAACTCTCAATGACTGGGAAAATCATTTGACAACTATATTTCCTGAGGTTTGTTTTTATTGGTTTCACAATTTAACTGCTATACGTTGCTATTGCAATGGATGTGCAGCATTTTTTAGTTGTGTTATTATAAATCATTACTCTTTTCAGGTCAGGCTGAAGAGGTATTTGGAAATGAGAGGTGCTGATGGAGGGCCTTGGAGAAGGTTATGTGCTTTACCAGCATTTTGGGTGAGTGGCCTTTATTCAACTTGTGCATGATGTTTGTAGTCACTTAGCCTCTGATATTGGGATTGTTCATTTTCTTGATTGTCCACATTCTCACCATTAAAATGGTGATGTAAAGCATAAACACAGGCACAATTTTTAAGCTGGGATTGTCAGTTTGCACTTGGCTTATTCTAGGAGGCATGATCTGTGCAACAATGTAACGATTATTATTTTTAAAAAGGAAAAGGAATGATCCTTTTCCAATAATATATTGTTTTTAAACTTCTGATCCTGTATTCTCTGTGATATTCAAACCATTTATCTTTGCTTGCATGCTCCTCACTTAACTTATGAACTTCTTCAATTTTGTAACATAAGCTAAGTAACTAACTGTAATTTCCCTGATTGTGTCAGGTAGGGTTATTGTATGACGAGGTTTCTTTACAAAGTCTTTTGGATATGACAGCAGATTGGACTCCAGAAGAAAGACAAATGCTAAGGAATAAGGTAGCATCCTCAATAACAATATTTTTCATTGGTATTATTCAGCCCAGAAGCATAAGTTGTTAATTCATGTTCTAGAAATGATTTTTCTTTTAGTTAGTCTCCAACACATCCTGTCATGCAAAATTGCTTTGGGTTTGAAGCAGGGACTAAGCACAAGGTTGCTATACCATGTGGTGAACTATAATTCGGAGAAGGGGGTAAATGAGGATTGGATTCTTCTGTTTATCATTTGATCAAAGTGGCTTTGAATCCTTGTCAAAGTTGAAGTTAGGAGTGGATGTGATAGGAGGATAAAACTGAGCTAATTTAGTTTTTACGTGTTCTATTGTTAGGTTCTTGAAGTTTAGAGGGCTAATATTATTTGAAACCTGGAAGAGTGAATAAGTATTCCTTCTCTTATTCAAGTCCCTCTCTCTCCCCCTCTCACATGCACACACACCCTGTCATGTATGTACATTCACGTATATGCTGCCATTTCATCCTAGAGATGTTCTTCTGATTTCATGATGATTGATACATGTCATAGACCCAGTGGTCACAGTTGATATTTTACTGAGTTTATATTTCAGTGATGTTCATTATTCATACTACAGTCTATACTGAACATTTGAGTCTCTATGGCAGGTTCCGATCACTGGTCTTAAGACACCATTCCGAGACGGTCTGCTGAAGCATGTTGCTGAAGATGTTCTAAAGTTGGCAAAGGTAAAAGGTGTCATTATTTTTGTTATTGCTGTTATCATTAATGTTGCTAAGGGCATTGGCATGCATCCACAGGATGGCTTGGAGAGAAGAGGGTTCAAGGAATTGGGATTTTTGAATGAGGTGGCTGAGGTGGTTAGAACAGGTAATGGATTTATATGTTATATCCTCATTAGTGATGATGCATCTCCCCCAACCTTCTTCATGCTTCCACAGGCCTTATTTTCATTTCATCCCCTAATTTATTTCAGTTAGATTTGAACATTCATAATTTATATCTACTTGGACCTTATTTTAGCAATGGATTATCGTCAATGCACTGAACAAATGTTTCTGCTCTCCAATCAAACATACTTACAATTCAGTTAAAGTGATGCGTTACAAAAGTCTTCGTACCTATTATATGAAGCAGACACTTTAAAGAAGAGCCTTATCCGTGTTAAGACATAACTTCAATGGGACACCAGACTTATCTATTGGTGACATAATATAATGTGGAGATCAAATTAAAAATGAGCATCACTTATAGTGACTAAAGTTACTATATTATGCTTTTTGTGATGCATCAGACTTATTTTCAATTTTGTTCAATACTTTAGAGTAACTCCATATCAATCTCACGATATTTAATGACAATGATGGGCACAACTTTCAAAATGAACATTCTTTTATTTTGGATACATTTTCCTGTTTATTAAAAAATAGGCTGAAAACTTAAAATATTGTAAATAACAGAAACCATAGTCCAAATAAGGCTCAAGACAATTGTCATATTTAAGATATTGATCAAAATAAATCCACTTCCATTATGTGAGGGAAATTAGAACGACTTTATTCCGAACATGGTTTTTGATCCAGCCTCATCTTAATCTTCCAAAGCAAACGTCAATATGTTAATTTAGTTGTATATACAGGCTCCAAAATTGGGTGTTAAAATTTATGCAAGTTTATGCCAAAATTTCAATTGCTTTTTCATGTACAGACCCGAGATTTATACTTGACATCTTGAAATGGTTTTTCTTTACTATGCCATGCTTATAGTATCCTGCCTTGCTCAGGCTTTTTGTTTCGTTTAGTTTTTGTCTAATGATCTGTGTGTGGCAGGTGTCACTCCTGCTGAGAGGCTTTTGGAATTGTTTCATGGAAAGTGGGAGCAATCTGTAGATCATGTATTTGAGGAATTGCTTTATTAAGCTTGTATTCAACTAGTTGCTTCTCTTTCACGTCAAGTGGGAGGTTAATTCGTGTGAACCTCTGGTTATAGTTATGGCTGCCTCTCTTTTGAGCTGCTTTTAGATATAGGAAATAATTGATATGTAATTTTTGCCTTAAGGCTTCTCATATACTTTTCTTGGAAACATGAAGCTGACGTTTAATTCATGTCACGAGTTTGAAAATCACATCATCTTGATCGTTTTAACAAAGTGTCAATAGATTAATGGTTTGTGGTAGGTGCAAATGTTGCTTCCACAAACTCTTTTTTCTCTATTTCTAGACTCAGACTAATAATTCAGATTTGCATCACTTGTCTTTTCTTTTTTTAATTAATTTTTTTGCCAATATTCCTATTTTCCGTTTTTGTTAGTTTCCTCACTAATCTATGCTTATCAGAAAGATACATCTTAACCAACCAAAATATTAAATTTTTTTTTTTTTGTAACAAGAGATTAAATGTCACCTGGCACATGATGTGTATTTGAGTTGATATTTCATCTTTAATGCATGCTCTTGTACTAGAAGTTCTTACTTCCAAATCGTGAAAACATGGATCATGAAGCATTTAGCATGCGACAGAATACGCAATGCCCTTGCGAGCTTCTGAATGTACCTTGAGGAGTGAACGTGAATATCTTAAAATGCAATTGATTGGAGATGAGGGTACTACCTTAGGGTAGAGGTGGGTGATTACTGTGGAAAGAAATTTATCTGAAGCGTGATTTTATTAAATAAGATTTGATGGGCTACCTTATTTCATCAAATGCCTTGACAGCCATTTACTCAACGGCATAACTCTACTTCCTTAAACCTCTGTTCACTTGGAAGTAAATATGTTGCATTCACTAGATATTAGCTTAATTCGCTACCATCTTTTGTGGATGTAACGCATGTGACATGATATGACATATTCACAACTTTTTCTTTCATATTTTTCTTTTTGGTTTCATTAAATTACAAATTAATTTATGCAGGAATAATATTAAGTTTTTTATTTTTTTAGTTAAACTATGAATTCAAATGATGCTTGTTACTCATTTCAATTGCTTAAAAAGAAGGTATTAATTGAAGACTTGATAGATTTTAAATATAATAAATACTTACACTTGTATTTAATCATTCTTGTTATTTATTATTTAACGTGTGCATTAAGAACCACGACAAAGCTAAATATTAATTCTTTATGTACGACTTCACATGTAACGTAATCGCTTTGATTCTCATTTAGAGTTTCTCATTGGTGAAGTATGGCTAGCTCTGCTCTTCTGCATATAAACAGCACCCAAAAAAATTGTGATTTTTGATAAATTTGTTTAAGGAAGAACAAGGATTCCCGCACCGTTACCTAACTATTACTTTAGTATGCATGAAAACAGTTGTCTTGAGAAGGATACAGGTTGCCACGGAACTCTGATGCCCTTCATAATTGAATTCATATTCTCTGTCAAGATATGTTTTTGGTCTAGTATTTTTGCCGGATTTTGAGTTTATTATTTATTTTTTTGTAAATCTTTTGGCTTTAATTCTTCATTTTAAAAATTCAATAATTTTGTTAGGTCACGTCGTTATTGAGGACAAAAATATTAAACTTAAAAAATTAGAGATTAGAATTAAAATTTTGTGAAAATATAAAGACTTAAAATATACTTTATATATAGATTAATGAATGACTGAGAAATAGTAATTGCTTCCCTTAAAACACGGCTCAACTCTGCCTGTGTGATTGATTCTATTTTGACAAGGGTATACCTCAACATGTTTGTCAAAACATAACCAAAAACATGAAAAAAACGAGTAAACTGAGCCTAGAGGAGAAAGACAATCGAACATAGTTTTTTAACGTTGTCAAAACTTACCCACTAGTCTGTCACAAACCTACAACGGTAACAAGTATGAGGAAGGTTGTCCCAGTGAAGGAGGTGAAAATTCGTTATCAAATCACTGTGGAAAAGCATGGTGACCAAACCAGGAAATAGACAATTGGAAATAGTCTTGACAGATGGAACATCAAGTGGTAGGAAGGAGTGATAATTCACATAGATAGGTAATATAAGGCCATGAGGACAATCATGCAACTTCTTGTCACCTTCCAAGTCCAACTCATTATTCTTCTTTGGACTATGACATAGCCCCCTCCCAACAAACCCACATGAACTTATTAATTGTACTTGCATTCTTTTTTTATTTGACAGAAAGGGAAGTACCAATTTTATCATTCTTATCACCACCCCACTTGCATTTTGCCTACAAAAAGCCATCTTTTCCCTTCTCAACTTGTACTTGATCCAACTCACTTTGTTCAAAATGAGAGAAATCCTTCACGTTCAAGCTGGTCAATGTGGGAACCAAATTGGAGGCAAGTTTTGGGAGGTGATGTGTGATGAACATGGGATTGATGCCACTGGAAACTATGTAGGGAACTCCAATCTTCAACTTGAGAGGGTTAATGTTTACTACAATGAAGCAAGTGGTGGAAGGTATGTTCCTAGAGCTGTGCTTATGGACCTTGAACCAGGGACCATGGACAGCTTGCGTTCTGGTCCTTTTGGCAAAATTTTCAGGCCTGATAACTTTGTCTTTGGCCAAAATGGAGCTGGAAACAACTGGGCTAAAGGCCATTACACTGAAGGAGCAGAGCTTATTGATTCTGTTCTTGATGTTGTTCGTAAAGAAGCTGAAAACTGTGATTGCTTGCAGGGTTAGTTCACTTCATTTAGTTAATTCAACTGAAAAATTTCCTGTTTTTACTTTTAATTACAAAATTATTACCTTCTTTTCATTTTGATTTTTGTGTGTATTATTGTTTGTATTAGAAACAGTGAAAATGTCTTCTTTTTAATTTATTTTTTCTGTTTCCTTATAAATATTTGAAGAAAAAAAATAGAATGAAAATAAAATGAAAGTTTTATAATTATAATGAAAATAAAAAATAATTTCTGAGACTAAACAGCCTTTTTAGTATCTCTTTTGAGTTTTTATACTTTTAAGATGACCATTTTTTGTTCTTGTTTTCAAGAATAATTACTTTATTTTCAGGTTTTTACTTTTTCTAAAATCCAAATTTTTGAAAACAAAACATTTTCTTAAACTAAATAAAAGATTTAAGGTATGAAAAAGAGAAAAAAATCTCTGCTAAGAGAGCTAGCTGGTCGTAACATGCTGCAGAAATTCCTGATTCAAACAATATTAGATTGTCTCGTGGAAGTTACCTATGATTTAGATTTAAAAACACGTCTTAATGCCCATGCATTGAGACATGTTATGTTATGCACAAGGAGGATGTCACGGTTATGAAATCATGTGTATATTTTTCAGTTTACTGCTAAGCTGTGGATTTGTTTAGGGTTTCATTCATGTATGTATATGCAAATTGTTTGATGATGATGATGACAGGGTTCCAAATTTGTCATTCACTGGGAGGTGGAACTGGGTCTGGAATGGGTACTTTGCTTATCTCAAAGATCAGAGAAGAGTATCCAGATAGGATGATGTTGACTTTCTCAGTGTTCCCATCCCCTAAGGTCTCTGACACAGTGGTTGAACCCTACAATGCCACCCTCTCTGTTCATCAACTTGTTGAGAATGCGGATGAATGCATGGTCCTTGATAATGAGGCACTCTATGATATCTGCTTCCGAACACTCAAGCTCACAAATCCAAGTTGTAAGTGTTGTCAACCAACCCAATAAGTCTTAAATCACAACTCTTAATGATGATTTATTTTGTTCATGAATCTGACATCTTATTATAACCAATGAAAATGCCAGAACATGTCTGATGTTGGAGCCAGTGGACTCTAGTTTGTCATCTCTATTTTGATCGGCAAATATATTGAGTTTAATGTGGATTAGTTGCAAAAATTAATAAAAACAAGAGAGGAAGGTGTAAGACAAGATGAATAATGTGATTGAGGCTTAAAAAATAATATTTTTTTTGGTGAAAATAATATTATTCCTTTTTCATTACACCCTATTACAAGTCATATTCATACGAGAGAGAAGAAAAACAATAAACTATTTTAAAATGGTAAGAGAGAGACACATCAGAATCAGAATGTAAAAATTAATACATGAAAAAAACATGTTTGGTTTGAGGTGCCAAAATGTAGAGATATAATTAAGAATAAAAGAAAAAAAATGATAAATAATAGATTTTATAATATGATAAGAAGAGATAAATCATATATGTTGAATATTAATGATATTTAGGTGTTTATGAATCAAAACAGGTTAAAAAATCATAGTTAAAATTAATTTGTTGTTGGCATATATGCAGTTGGTGATCTGAATCACTTGATCTCAACAACAATGAGTGGAGTAACATGTTGCCTAAGGTTCCCAGGCCAACTCAACTCAGATCTCAGAAAACTAGCAGTGAACCTCATTCCTTTCCCACGCTTACACTTCTTCATGGTTGGTTTTGCACCCTTAACATCAAGGGGTTCTCAACAGTACCGTTCTCTCACCATTCCCGAACTCACACAACAAATGTGGGACGCTAGAAACATGATGTGTGCTGCAGATCCTAGACATGGGAGGTATCTAACAGCCTCAGCAATGTTTCGTGGGAAAATGAGCACAAAAGAAGTGGATCAACAAATGATAAACGTGCAAAACAAGAACTCATCTTATTTTGTAGAGTGGATACCAAACAATGTGAAGTCAAGTGTTTGCGACATTCCACCAATTGGGTTGTCCATGTCATCAACTTTCATGGGAAATTCTACGTCCATTCAAGAGATGTTTAGGCGTGTTTCGGAGCAGTTCACTGTTATGTTCAAGAGAAAGGCTTTCTTGCACTGGTACACTGCTGAGGGCATGGATGAGATGGAGTTCACTGAGGCTGAGAGTAATATGAATGATTTGGTGGCTGAGTATCAACAGTATCAAGATGCAGTGGCAGTGGAAGAGGAAGAAGGAGAGGTTGATGAAGAAGAGGAAGGTCTAGTTGCATGAGAATTGATGAATGGGGTGAAGGATTTTCTTAAGGGTGATGTAATGAAAAGCTCAAATCAAAACTTTGTTTATGTTATGGTGGCATGGGGAAGGGAAGGGTGTGTTAAATGTATATTTATATATATGGGTTGGCTTGCTTGCTAGTGCATTTGATTTGAGGGATCTCATCATGGGACTATGGGGTTAATATTTTTATTTTGCTTTTCTCTTTCTTGTTGGATTTGTTTTGTGTTTTGTTTGTTATTGTTAATACAACGTTCCCCCATGGCTTCTTTTTACTATCTTCATCTCATGTTAATTAGCTTCCTTTTATCAATGCCAATTATTGATATGGTCAATTATATATTAGGGAAAATCACATGTATTTTTAAAATAAATCGTCAAGGTTTCTTAATTTCATGATATTAAAAAGTGAGCCATTTTAAATCCCGAAAATAATTCTTATTTAGACAAAACTAGCGTAAGTGCAAGCTAAAATTTTCAATGTCATGTAAGTCGATATTGACAAGAAATCCAATCATTGGTCAACGTTTTTGGTTACACAAAATTATATATAAATTAAATGTGGCATCAAGGGTCCATAGCTCAGTGGTAGAGCATTTGACTGCAGATCAAGAGGTCACCGGTTCGAATCCGGTTGGGCCCTCTAAAAAAGGTTAATATTTTTACTTTTGTTCAAAGTCCTTTCATTCTGATAATGACATTCGCTTAAAAAAATACATTTCCATTGCCGGGAATCGAACCCGGGTCTCCTGGGTGAAAGCCAGACATCCTAACCGCTGGACGACAATGGATTTCTGAACATTTTTCACCACTAATTAAATAATTTGAAACGTTCACCCAAAGTCCTTTCCTTCTTACATTATAGGTTTTGATGAAACCATGTTAGGTAGCTGCTGTGTTTTATCAAATTATGTTCTTGAAACCACATCGCTCAACAAATGTTGGGAACCAAAAAGGACACAATATGATGCACATCTCATAAAAAGTAGTAGCCAAATCACATTTTGAATTCTGATATCCTCAAGCACAGTTCACATACCGAAGGATAGAGATTACCTATTTTAGATATAGCTTATTACTAATACCAATATGATTAAATTTAAATCCATATTGTCAAAGGATCATCTTATTGGAAGTAGACAAATAAATAATTAGATTATAGGTGGCAAGGTTAAGCTCTGCGTGAATATAATGACAACATAAAATATAAAAAATATACAATTGTTATACTTGATAAATATTTCATACAAAATCAATTCATACTATTAAGCATTGCCTCGTAAGGAATTTCTCGCAAATGTTATTAACAGGATAAATCAGCAAGTCACACGTGATCGCTTGAAACAAGACAATCGAGAGATTATGGCAAGAAAAGATTAAAAGAATTTATTAGATGCAAAATCAATATCAATATAACATACAAAAACAGCCTATTTCATGTCGACACGTAGCCATAACCAATTGCTCTGTACATTAAATTACAAGCACAACAGCATTTGTTGTTTGCCCAACAAACACTGACATAAACTGACAAGTGAACCTTTACAAACACAACTCTTCCAAAAGTTTCTTAAATTCTTCCCATCATCTTTATACTAACATCACTGACTAAACAACAAAAAGAGAACTCTGATGCAAATAGATACTGTATAATTTTGTGGTGACTCTAGTCTGTGCAAAAGAATGCTTCTAGGCAACCAATGAACCAGCCATGCACAAGTATAATAAACCACTCTATTCCATGCAATACAATTTGCCCGGATAAGGAACTGGAGCCCCATGTCAGTTTTCCCAAACACTGAGAAACCAGCACTTGTTCTATGTAAGTTATCTTCCGGAACCAGAAAGTGAGATGTGGCGCCAATGAACTCAACTAATTTGGGTTCTTTTTAGTTTCAAGTGAAGAACCCTCTTTCAGAGCCACTTGGGCCTCATTCTCCTTGCCCAGTGCTAAGAGAGCAACGGCTTGTAAATAAAATGCAATGTACCAAACCGGGGATATTATTTGTGCTTGCATTGCATCATTAAGTGCTTCATCTGGCATATTGCTCATGAGATAAGATAGACTACGACGTGCATAAACTGTTGGAGAAACCATGGTTCCAACATCAATGAACTGCATTGCACATTGAAACCATCAGCTGCTTATCATAATTGCTCCAATATCTATGATATATTTTGAATATAACCTATTAATCAACAGCACCCTCATACAATGAAAATGTATTTCAAAAGTATTCCCTTTATATCTTTATTTTACACATCTATCTAGTCTGCTAGGTTATATAGTTTTTGTTAACTTTCTAATATTTGAATTGTATCCCTTTCTTTCCATGCTCAAAAAGGAAATTACATTTTATATAATGAATTTAACATCTCAGATAAATTTAAGTCCTGTTATCACATCCACCAAGCCAGAAGAAGACAGCAAGTGATGTTACAAAATCTTCAACAGAACCAAAAGCCAAGAAAATTACTGACCACTGTATAGCTATCGATTGCAGTTTTGAAGTCCTTGTGCCGGAAAGCGGCATCCCCTTTTTTCTTCGAGTTCAATGTTTCCTGCATCTGGTTCGTCCACATTTGGAATGAAAGCTGCTTGAAAAAATAAAATAAAGAAATCAGTGGACAGACCAATCAGTTAAACTACATAGAAAAGCATGTCAATAATAATGAAATGTGAAAAGATATCCAAGATTCAAGACAAGACAAACATTCACGTTGTAACAAGATGTGCAACCAGAACATTAAAGTTGCAAAATAACAAAATAGGGATGACAGTTCTTCCTGAATTCAAGGATTCCTATGGGGAACTGCTCTATTTGAGGTCCCAAGGTTGGGGATTTTTTCCCCATGGGGCTAGGCTATTTCTGAGGCAGATTAGGGTATGGTAACATGGATCATACTCTCCATCCCAAGAGATCCCCATACCCAAGAAAAAAGCCTACTAAATCAACCTTAATAACATGAGTGTACATTATATTAATTTTCTTTTAAATAAACTTAAAATATTGATTAAGTACACTTTTACTCCTTTGCTCCCACTGATTTTTTTAAAAAATTAATAATTTCACTTTAATCGTAAGTCAAATGGTAAAGAAAAGAACCCACAAAACTATAACCACACTACCAAATTGTAATTTTATCTCTGGAGTCCCCATGAGGATCTACTGGAAAGCCCTCGCAGAAACTAGAGAAATTGAAGTATTCATCATCTTATGAGTTACTATTTAGGATTGAGGTAGTCCTGATCTCATGAACAGAGCTGATAAAATTGACTTGCCCAACCAAGCCAAGCAGAATCTGCCCAATAAAATGTAAAGCTTAAAATTTTAAATTCAATTTTTTCTAACCCAATTCAATTAAGCCCAACACATACTAAGCCCAAAAAAAGTCCCAAAGAAATTGAACTTTGTTAGGTTTAAGCACCATTTTACGATACAAATTGGATCCAAACCTTTTTTTATCTAATCCACTAAAACCTGTTACCCGCAATAGGCAAGCCCAATTTGCCAACTCTACTTATGAGTTAGCTTTTGAAGTTAAGTTGAGTCAAACTTAAAATCAAGATAATATTAAAATTAATCATGTCTAATATTGGGTCACTTTTAACTGAAAAAAAAAATGCAATTAACTTAACTCCGTGAATTTTTCCATGTAATCTACTTGGTCTTGCTATTTTTCAGTACAACCTACCTAATCTTACAGTTTTTCCAGTGCCAATATATATATAAAACAGCAAGTCCTATATGACCTATGTGTTTCAAATGTTTAATCCTATGGGTAAAAAGGTGTGTTTAGATCTTACATAGACCACAATATAACTTAAGTAGAGTTTATAAAGGTTAAAGCAATCTTCACCGTACAAGCTAAATTTTAGAGTTGAGTTAGGTTCAAACATAAATTTTAAAGAAATCCTAAGATGGGAATTGGAAATGGGGAGAAGGTCAATATAGGGACAAGGAGCAAAAGAGAAGTACTTCCCACCCCCACCCTAACCCTAATGCAAGTGTCATCTTTATTATATAAGGTGAAAACCTTTGTACTACAACAATATAGCCCTAACTTTGTTGTATGATTGGCATACTAAGTATATGCATAGAATATTACTTTCCCATACCCACTAAAAGTAAAGGATCAAACAAAAGATCTAATAAATTCTTAACACCAAATATGAAACATAACCTTTTGTTTACTCCACAATCAAAATATAGGTGGGAGGGGAGGCAGGGGGGTGAATGAATGAAAATGAATAAGCTCCAATAACTTTAAATAGTTTATTACAGGATCTACAATTTAGATAATGGAAACAACCTCAGTTGCTGCACCCTCATCATCTTTATACCCGATTTTTTCCAACACTTCATGTATGGAAGTCAGATCCATTCGTAGACAAGCCTCCCCAAGCGGAGAAAGGGGAAAAGCTGCAGTACCATCTGGTATACCCATCAGCACATGAGAAGGAACCTAACAATTAAAAAACATCCATAATCAATTTCGGCTTACAAAAATATGGTCAAAGCACAATTCAATACAATTCACCTAGCCAATGACTCAAATCATGTAACGAATCATAATACATGGATGAAATAGCACAATTTAGTATCACCAATACACATCACATGACTAAGATTTTTTACTTTTTCTTTTATAGTTTTCTTGCTCTCCCTCTATCTATTTATAATATAAAAATTCTGAAGCATGAAATGCCGAGATGACATGTTAGCAACTCCACTCTATTTCATAGCCACGTTAGCAATCCATGATCATATTCCATTCCGTTCCACATCCATATTTGAGTTATGTTACTTCCAAGTTCAGACACATTTTATCAACTTCATTCTATTTGATTGCCACATCAGCAATTTGTGCCCATTCTTCATTCATGATTGCATACTATTTGATTATTCCACTACTATATTTTCATTCTTCTAAAACAAGAGTTTTACACTGTCACTCACTTTATGCACTCTGTTTGGAATGGCATAAAAAATGACCTGGAAGTTATAGTTCACTTACCTATGGAATAAAAAGAGCAATAGTTATTATCTTATGCTTCCTACAGCAGCATAGGTCTAAATGGCCATAGAATAACGCTGATGATTACTCAATTGCTACTATTAAAGTTAACCCTTATAGTTTATCAGGATGTCATTGGAAATTATAAGGTCGAGTTATACCCACTATTGGGTTTCTGAATCTAATGATTCAGAACTATTGCAATTCAAAATTCAGAAATTAGGTCAGCAATCCAATGTTTATAATGACATTGCAATTCCATAACTATGATGGACATGCCTTGCAAATATAAACTTATAAATAATGACATTGAACAGAAAAAGTAAGAAACATTGGTAAAAACTAAATTATGTACAGCTCTAGAGTCATAGAAAAACGAGTCTTCAAGCATTCTTCAATAGTTTATCTTCTTTTTTAAAGTATTAAGTCCAGCTATCCTTGTGTCTCATACAATAAATTATGCTGAACCACTTTCAAACCAGCTAACCTCAGAATCCTTCTGTAGAGGTATTAGAGCAGTGACCAGTGACTTCGGATTAGGACGCTCTCGGGGTTCGGATTGCAAACATCGTGAGGCTAGGCGCACTAACTCAGTTCCCTCATCATTTGAAAATTGTCCTTCTAAACAAGAGTCTGATAGCGTCTGAAGGTTCTTGTCTCTAATCAGGTCAAGGGCCTGCAGAAATTATGGAGTGCATGTTTTGGAAGTGATATTTGGGGGAATAATTTTTTTCTCAAAAGCTCTCTCAAAAAGACTGACAAAAATAAGCAAGTCTTTCCTCAAAATAAATTCAATTAAGCGCGCATTACATGTTAGATTACAATAAAATCAAAACTAATGCAGAATGCTCAGTCCTCAAGCAAACAAAAATCACTATATTCAATCACAAAAGCCTCATGTTTGTCCAGAAAAAAGGAGACATATTAAAAGTTTCAACAGGGTACCTACTTAATTTAGCTAGATGAAGGGGAAGAAGAAATTGATCAAAAGAAAGAACTCAATTACAGCCAGAAGATAGATATCATTATCAGACACACAAAGCTTGGTTTGCACAACTTTTTATCATGTAAAGAAACTTACATGGCTTGGAGGAATATGTTTTCCACTGAGAAGGTCAAGCAAGAGGGTACCAAAGCTATAAGTTACACTCTCTGGAGTAACTCTGCCTGCATGTCCAGGGAAAAGGAGGACAGACACATTGCCATCATATATTTATGATTATGACACAAGATACAATATAAAACGAATATAATAATTTAATCAACTAATTTTTTTTATTTGGGGGAGGGGATAGGAATTATATTATCCACTTCAATCACATTAAGTTTCAAATAGCATAACAGATTATATCAACCTGTTTAAGATAATAAGGAAAATTATGGCCATGAATGACACCATTAGTTCCACTCAAACATGTTCAAATATCATCAACATTGATATGAAGAAGAATATCCACAGAAATAAGTCAACCATTGGATTATAAGCTTACAAAGAAACAAGAAAACATAAAAGTGATCTGAGAACAAATTTTGCACGAGAGCCGGTCCATGAATTTAGTTTCACGAACTAGTGAGTTCTTCTTAACAGAGATTAAGAAAAAATTAACAAAAACAACAATACTCCAGGAGTAAAATTGCTGGAGGCACCATGTGAAAACATCTTAGCTCCTAGAGATAATAATAATATCATCATCATCACAATAGGTATTAATGACTTAAGCTCCCAAAGAGAAACTACTATTCACATGCAGGATTCTAATCATTCTAACCTATACAATTTTCGTTTGCAAAAGTTAACCACAAGCTATTGAAAAAGAACCCTTCAAATCTATAAACAAGGGTTTTGAGCCAAGTAGAGCAGCCAAATAAAGGTGAAAGCAATGAAAACTGAAGCTTACTTTGCATCTCTAGGAATTTTCCACAGGAAACTTTAAGCCATAAGCAAGCAAGAATAGCTGGTTAAACAGGCTAACAAGAAAGCCATACCCTAATATCCATAAACTTTTCTACCAATATACTACAGTCTATTTTTCTCAATTTCATAGCTCAATACCCTTTAAGTTGGCAAAAACTACATGAAAATAGAGGAAAAGAATAACTGTTATGAGAGAAGTCAATTATTATTTCTGAAAACTCATAATAAGCATACTACTAAAGTTTGATCACCAAGAACAGACATAGAAGATTGAGTAAAATAATTTTGTGATGAATGATATATCTTGTTTTGAGGGAGTACCTGTCCTCAGATACTCAGGTGGAGTAAATGCCAAATTCGTACTATAACTTTTCCCATCTCGACTATTTTTCATCAGACCGAAGCAAGAAAGTCTAGGATTGTAGTCCTGAAAAAAAAACAAGGATAGTGAATAGTCAATACTTATTATTCAAGCTAAAAACACAGAAATTCATGGCAGTTGCATCCACTAGCATTGCTCTTTCATCACCTCTTAAGTCTTAATCAAGTAAAGTCCCTTACTCTCCACCCTAGTTTTCCCGCTCTAAAGGCAATGAAATACTGAAAAATGGGCAACCCCATATCTTCATTCTCATAAACTTCCAACATCATTTCCAATTCTACACAAATAATATATCTATATAATTTACTCTCCAGTGTTCGTCGGCCTCCTTTCCAATTATTTGCAAATTAATAATTTTAACTATCAACTTGTTCACTTCTTAAGGGAAGTGAGTTATCAATATTAAATATATTAATTAAGCTTTATGCAATTCAATTGTATACAATGTTGTTTATCAATTGTAATCAAGCTTTCCAGGGTTACACCAATTATATTGTGAGCTGGATACCACTTCACAAACATAAAAGACAATTCACATATCTGCATCTTTTGACTTTTGAGCACCATCCAACAATACCTTAACCTTGAGTAATAATGATCACATCATCACAGATAAAGGAAATGAACTTACATCATCATAAAGAACTCTGTAAGCATTTAGATCATGATATAGTGCACGTCCTTTGATGGTACAGTACTCTAGAGCTTCAGCAAGGTGCAAAGCAACTCTCATTCGCATTGCCCATTTCATGGGCTGAGTTTCCCCTAAATAATTGTGTAAAAAAGTGTTAAAAGATAAGTCACCACACCATATTTACAAGAATGAAAACAAGTAGTGGCAACAAAAAATCATAGCTACAGTTCACCATGTAAAATTGCATAAATAAAAGAGAGTGATGGCAATGAATTTCATTCATAATAAACTGCCTAGCAAATTTTTAAAAAAAAAGTCATCTGAAAAAGGGATTTTCCTAATAACACCAGAATGTTTTTAGTCACTGCTTGGTTAAGAGTTTTATTTAGAATACAAGCAAGTAAATGCTAAAGCTAATGCAAGGAAACTGATATGTACTTACAATGGAACAAATGCTTTGCCAAAGTATCATTGGGCATATATTCAGCAACGAGTAACCTCTCTTCACCTTCACAGCAACATCCTATCAGATTTGCCAATCTTTGGTTCCTCAGGTGACCAACAGCCCTGGCCTCCTCCTGTAAGAGAGGGGGGGAGAATATGCTTCTTTAACAAGATAATAATGAAAAGCACATTTGAGTTAAAGAAGAAACTACATTGCCAATCGCATTGAAAAAAAATATCAAAATGGTGGAAATTTTTCAACTGGCGCTACATGAAAAAGGAAAATCCACAAGGCCAAAAATCCATCACCAAGATGTTTGAAGCTTAAACTTCAAAAGAAACTTACCAATGAAGGACCACAAGCAGGTATCAAAGCCAAGACCTTTTTGGCAACATTGTTCAATACTATTAATTGAGCCAACTGTCTTTGGCAAGTGAAACTAAATATAAATTTCATGCCAAAATTTTAGCACAAGTTAATTATAATGTTAGATCTTGCACTTTTCATATAAAATATGAAAATTTTGCATGCCAATAGAAAATATTCAATGGCAACTAGAAATATAGACATCATCAGCTGTGAATGACTTTTGGAGGCATTAAACCATGTAAACACACTTAAGTTCCAACTTAGATAAGAAATGCAAATGTGTGAAAACAACAGACACGTGTATTAAACAAAATAATATTTGATACAGCTTTTCTCCCAAAACATGTAGGATCTTAGCATGTTGTCCTCAGCAGCCAGCCAGACAAGAGTGAGGTAAAATAAAGCCAACAAAAATACAATTGCAAATAAAACAAAAAGAAAAAAAAAATAGCATACACGTGTGCACAAAGTAAAATAGTAATTAATTCAACCGTTAAAACAACAAAAATAATTGCAATGTTATTAAATTTTAGAAGCGTACAAGAAAGCCTATAATGGACACTTATAATGAGCATTTAAATCAACAAATCTATAGAGTTGGCACACACATGCTCATCAATTGCTGGATATCTGGCCAGGCTGATCTGTTGAACTGTTTGAAAGTAATTAAACCATGTAAAACACATAATTTGGACTTTCTTATATTTATTTATCCTAGATAAGGGAACACCAATATGTGAAAACATCAAACATACATGTATAAAACAAACTAACACGTGATTCAGCTGATCCCAATAAGATTTCTGTGCATCCTTGTTGAGACAAGGTGTGGTGAGATGAACAAAAAAATAATTAAGCCATAAAAACTGGAGCAGGGAAAACTAGGTTAATCCAACCAGATTACAACATTATTAAAAGGCAGAAGCAGAAACGCACAAGAAAGCCAGTATATGACACTTAAAATGAACATTTCAAATAACAAATCTACATGGGGTTGGCACATGCATGATTACCAAAAATCGCTGGACATCTGGCCTGGCTGGTCTGTTGAACTGTTTGACAGCAATCCAACCATGTAAAACACACTTAAGTCAGACTGTTATATTTACTTATCCCAGATAGAGAAATGCAAATGCACAAAGTAAAAAGACACACGTGTATAAAACAAACTAATCAATGATTCAGCTGTTCCCTCAATCCCAATAGGATCTCCGCGTGTCTTCAGTAGGAAAAACCAATAAAATAAATAGCGCACACACGTGCACAAAACAAATAATAATTGATTCAGCCATTAAAACCGACAAAAGTTCATTAAAGCCAACAAGAGATTGCACCGTTGAAAAAGCATAAACGTACAAGAAAGCCAGTAATGAACAGTTATAACAACCATATAAAATAACAAATCTCCATGGTGTTGGCACATAAAACAGTGCATGCTTACCAAAAATGGTTGAGCATCTGGCCAAGCATTCTTGTTGAACCGTTTGACAGCAATTCGCATCTGATTATCAAGTCTACCTTTATAGACCACATTTGGAGCCTTTTCTCCATGCTCAGAAACTATATTTTCAACTGCAAATCCAGATGTAGCCCTCCTAAGCTGATCGATTGTAAATTCATGAAACCACGGCAGGTCAAAGCCCTCAATGTTGTCTGCATTTTCTGAACAAGAAGCATAAACAACAGAAATAACAATCACTCTCACGGAAGCAAAAACAGAAAGTAGGTACATGTCAAACACTTACCATCAACATGAGCCTGAGGAACTGGACCATTTTGCTGTGTACCCCAGCAGCATGCCGAGTACTTAGAAAAGTCACAACCCATCCCAACCTGTAACTCTTTTGGCATATTCTAGTTAGTCAAAACGCTTTCAAATTTACCCCAAAATCCCTTACGCTAAAAACCACAATAGCCTCTCAAATTAGCACAACCTTCAACTGAACACACCCCACCACTCAAGGAATTACATTAAAACAGGTTTTGTAAGGCTTCACTTACTAAAATTGGATTTTTTTAAACACCCAAAACCCTTTTTACATCAAGCAAACAAAAACCCCACAAAAAGGTGGTTCTGCACGGAGCTCATCAATAATTCACCATTGAATGTCTCAGGGAAGCATGTTTAAGCTATGTGGTGAGAACCACATAATAGTTAACAAAAAAGAAAAAAGAAAAACAATAGCAACTACACTATAAAGCAATTACCGAAAGTAAGCATAACAATAATGAATATTCAGATAAAAAATAAACCTTTTTTTCAGCAGCGAATCTGTGCAGTGCTGGGTCAATCCACTTCAACGATGCCTCCTCAAATTACTAGCACACAGCAATCAAATCAGCAAAAAGAAAAAAAAATGAGCTCCGAAAAATTAAAAATGCAATAGAAGAACACGAAATTAAAGGTAACAAACAATGAAGAAAAGATAGCTTATGCAAAATCGGGGATCAGAGAAAAGTTTGAAGAGGAATTGAAAGGGAAATTGAAGAAGAAAAGCGATAAGAAGCATTGACGAAGCACCTCAAGAAGCGCAGGGATTTCGAAACAGTCAAAACTAAAAGACAGGGAAAGTGAAAGGACTTTGGTTGCTGGTTCTGATTTTTCACACCTTATATATACTGTCATTTTATATTATTTTTATTCGGTCTCATAAATAAGCTCACACATCAATTAAATAATATAAATGTTATGTTAGTCCCTCGTAAACGTAAGTGGAGTCTCCTTCAAAGTCATCGCTACCCTGGAGTGCAAGGTAAAAATCCAAAGATGTTTTCCAAAGTAAAAACAAGTCTAGTATTTTTTTTATTTAAATAAAGATTTTCCTTAATAGTCGGTCATAGAAATTATATTTTAATTGAAACTTAATTTTTTAAAAATATATTATTATATCTAAATCTTATTTTTAGTTTTAGTTTATTCATTTTTAAGATTAAATTTAATTTTTTAAGTCAAAATATATATTAAATCTCTATTGACACCTTTTTACAAACTAATCTTTATATTTTCAAAAAAAAATTATTATTATAATATCGTTTACAAATATAAAATTTATTCTAATAACTTTTATTATCATACAAAACATAATAATGCTGGTATAAAATTTGAAATTTTTAATTAAAATAATTAAAAAATAACCTTTGACAAAGACTTCATTTTATTATTTAAAGATTATTAGTTTAAAATCATATTTATAACTTTTAAAATAACTAACAAATATTTATAAGTAAGTTAATAGATCTAAATTTATATATAAAACAATGAATTTAAACCTTTAAATAAATCAATAAATATATAATAATAAAACAAGATATTAAATAATTAATATAATAATATTTTATTATATCTAATTTTAGTAGGTCTGTTTATACTAAAGTATCACTCTTAATTGAATAACCTTTGAAAAGAAAACTTAATTTAATTTATTTAAAAATTAGATTTGAGTAGAGATATGTTTAATGCGAGACTTTAACCTATTTCATCGTTAGCCATCACTTTTTAAGTATTTTTATGCCTAGTAAATCGTAATTTGAATGTGTTTTTTTATCTTTAAAAAATGTTAATTTTATTTAAATTTTTTTGTACAAAAATATATTTTATGATTTTATTGAAATATCTTTTCTTCGTTAGAAAATTTCCATTAAGTAGTGATGTGACAAACGAGTTATTAACAAAAAGCATATCCTAATTGTATTATGTTACCATTAAGAAACAAATCTAACCACAATGAATAAAAACAAGTGTTTCAATAGCAAAAGTGCGTTATAATTTGGATGTGGGACGTAGAAAATTCTAATTAGAATTTGGATGTTATAACAATAAGATTGGATAATATATGCAATAATCAGAAATAAATTTAATGTATAAATATGACAAAAATATATATAATTGTATTTATTTGTTAAATGTATCACTGTCCTCCACATCTACGCTGTTTCCACCGACATCGTCCTTTTTAAAAACCCGTTCACAACTCAAACCCCATTCCAATTTGTCCACCCACCCCCTCACAATCCATAACATAAATGCAAGGAAAATAATCCAATACAATATATTTCTTGGATTAAAGAGTACTTTTTTATGAAATTTAAATTATTATTCGTGTTTATATATATCTTTTACCCAACAAAATGGTTCTTTTGATGCCATAAAAGAAATATAAAATCCTATATTTGAAGATTCATTGGGATACATTTGAATTGGACAAACCGAGAGTGAAAGAAATGGTGTATTCTCTAACAAAAAGTATCAATATTCGGTGGTATTATAATCTTTTACGAGTCAATGGGGAATGGCAGTGAAAAATAAAAGCAAGAGGCAATGGAACCTAAAGTGTGGGAAATATTCGAGCAACTACAAAATCTTATGTGAATTTTTAAACATTTATGTGTTTTATTTATGTTACAAGATAGTGTCTCTCTCTGTACTATTAACGTGTGACAGTAATATAATAAGCGTTACTGACACGAGAGAGACGGTTATACAATAAGCATTGTTGACAAGTAACAGCCATACAACAGTAAGAACATTGTATAACATGATTCTTACAACTAAACTTGAAAATATATTTTATATCAATTTTTAAATTAATAATTTTAATTTTTTAATATTTTATAAATTAAAAAATATTTATATATTTTAATTAAACTGTTAACTTTCATGCATAATATCTTTTATGGTAATTTTGATTGTGTTTTAAAATTAAGAATATATAATATAATTATTATCATTAATTTTATATTAAATATATATAATTGAAAATAAAGTTTGATAGATCATAAATATTAAAAATATTTAATATATTAAATAAATTATAATTGTTAATTACGATGGATATACAATATTTTTTTAAGTTTATAAATACCGTAGCAATCACTTCTTTTGATATTTTAAAATTAAAAAATACTTTAATATATCTATTTTGATATTATTAAATATTTATACTTTATTTATAAAAAATACTTTAATTAAAATTTATCTATTTATTTAGTACTTAAAAATTTAGTCTATATAAAATTAAAAAAATTAAAAATTGTGAATAAAATGACATAAGGTTTTTTTAATGGAAGAAATTCAATAATAAAATATAATTTTTTATTTTCTCTTTATTGAAATTTCTTACTGAAAAATTATGAATACGTTACTAAGAAAGTTATTTTATTATTTTTATATAATTTTTAATATTTTTTTTACTTGTGTTAAATAATTATGTATATATATGCATATATAATAATAAATTTTAAGAATTGATTGACGAGGATTTTAGGTACTAATTTGGTAATACTCATTTTATATTATAAACAGCAACAGGTAAGATACTCTTTGAGATGAAAATAGGTTAATCTGTCTGACAATAACTTAGGTCTAACATTTTTAAAGTATAGTCCAGCTCAACATATTTAATTAATAGGCTTAATTTAAATTTTTAAAAAAATTTAATTAATTAAATAGGTCAAACATAAGCTTGAAAAAAAATTATTAGACATATTAAAATGACTTATTTCAAATTCATAAAATTTAGAATAGTATATTAAATAATTTTATATAAAAATAATATAATAATATATTAAATTAATTAAAATTTAAAATAATAAAATATTAAATTAAAAATCTTAATTATTTTATTTATAATTGAAAAATGTCTATCCTATATACCCTATAGAAGATAAAACTATGTTATTTGGAATCTTTTGCATATTATGTATGAAAAAATATTGTTATTTGTATATTTTAAATTTTTATTTGTTGCATTTGTTAATTTTAGGTTTAAAACTTATTTATTTATAATGTATTTGTTGATTTAATGTATAAGACTTTATGTTACTAGATTTAATGATTTATAAATTTATGTTTATTTTATTGTGTTTTTTGTATGTGTAGTGATTTACTTATTTAAATTTGATATGTAATTTGAAAGTGATAAATAAGAATATGTAATTTTATTATATATATTCAATGTATTGAATTATTTTTTTAATAATTTATTTAGATACAAATCTTATGACTTTTAAAAGATATACTTATTTAGATGGTTTAATAGTCTATTTATAAAGAAGTTTAATAACTTATTTAATGTCTTAATATTCATTAAACAGGCTAATAAGCCAAATCAGACATTTAAAATAGTTAAACTATGCTTAATAAAAGGTTTATGACAAATAATAAGTTAAACTTATGCTTCAAAATTATTAAACAAGTCATGCATATTTATATAAAATTTAACATATTTTCATCCATGGGTACGGTAGTATCTATAATTGTATTTGTGTTTTACAAAAAATACTTATATCCAATTTTATATCGGTGTGAGTAATAAATTTAATTATCATACTTGTATCATCTAGATACCAACATACTCATACTTACGTTTGTCTACAAAAACAAAAACACTTATAATGGGTTAGTAAAAGCTAATATACAATGAAAAATTTCTTGTCACGCGTGCTTTATCAAAATGGGGGATGAGTAACGACGAAATTAAATTGATTAATAATGATCAAGTCTCGCATAAGATCTAATGGCACTTATCTGAACAATAACAAAATTGTTCTACACTTGTGTGAAATTTTTCACACTGGATAACCTCTTGTGGTAGCTCTAGTAACAATAATTTATAGTTATAACTAATTTGAACGATGCAAATACTAAAAATAAGAGTAAGGTTAAAGTAAAAAAATTGAAGTATTCAATGATAATGAAGAGTATAAACACATAATCCATTATTTTTTTTAACTTTTTATTTATATATATATATATATATTTAATTACCTATATATATTCACTGATTCTTATTAAAATTTATGTTATACTCATTAGTAGGTAAATATCTTATTGTGTGCAATGTAAATTTTATGTGTACCCGTTATGTAATTTACGTGTTGTTATACCTAATTAATATACCATGCTCACTGTATAGCTTTTATGTATTTGTAACGCGGTGAGTAATATTTTTTGTTTAAATTAATATTACCATTGACATAAGCAATGCAGTTAAAATTATCTTAAATATTTTTTTTTAAAATGAGGTTAAATTTAATATATATATATATATATATATAATTATAAAAATAATATATAATTATTTAATAATTAAATTTGTTAATATTATATTAATGAATAGGTACCTCACAAATTTAATTATAATTTTTAAAAGAAATAAAAGCGTGTAACAGAAAAATATTAAATTAAAATAAAACCTCTATTACTTTTAAACAATTTTAAAAGATGCTTAATACTTGTAATTCAAAATATTTTTGTAAGATAATTACAAAGTTGAATGTGTTGTAACGTCAGATGACACTTGCTCTAGAAAGTTTTTTTCGTTCCTGTGGTACACTATATTTGTTTTTACTAAAATTACTTTACTTATTATTTTTATTTATACGTTACTTTTTATTTTAATATTTTATTTTTTAATTCTCAAGAAACAATACTATAAAAAGTGTAATATTTTTCAAAAAAGTATAAATTTCTTATTACAAAGGTTAAGTAAAAAAAATAAAAACACATATTAATACAATATTCAATAACACGAGAAAATTGTTATTTTGAGAACATTTTATTTAATAAAAATATTATAATTATTATAAAAAAATTATTTAGTTATAATTTCTTAAATTACAACTCACACAGTATTTTTTCATTTTTAATTTTATAAAGTTATTACTTTATTTATTTTATTAGATTTTAATTTTTTTATTTATATATTACTAGATCGTTTGTTTTCTATTTCTTTTTTTTTAAATGCGTTAATTTTTAATTATTTTTTAAAAAGGATATAAAAATTTAATAATTTTAGTGAAGTATAAAATTTTTATTACATGTACTAAATAAAAAATATACATTAATACATTATTCAATATCATAAGATATTTTAAATATAATATATTTCATTAAATAATATAAATAATATTTTATCAATAAAAAATGAAATATTTTTTTATCTCAAATCTTTATGTGAGAATTAAATTAAACGAAATTATAAAATTTATTTATTTATTTATTAAACAACAATATCTACTGAAATAATGTTTATGGGTCAATTCTTTTATTACATGTACATATCCAAAAATAAATAATTACCCTTAAATGAAACTCAGAGAGAAATTGCAACAGGCTGCAGAATGACAGTGATCACTGTTCACACTGGTCTGCGCTGTGAAACGACGCTGTACTGACATCTATGTAGGTACCTGTCCTTAAATATAAAATAAAATAAATTATCATAGATGAAAATAAAATAATTATTTTAGCAACACATAATTATTCTTTATATATATATATATATCCTTAATAAAGGCGCATTTAAAATTTTATTCAAGGGTGTGGTTGAATGTGGAAAGTATTAAAAATTTCTGTTTATTTAAATAAGTAATTTTTTTTTTAATTATATTTGAAATAACCATAATATTTAATTAATCAGAAATAATTAACTGTATCATAATGTTTTTAAATATTACTTTTAAATAATGTATATTATATAAATAATATTTTATAGTTGAAAAATCCACACTATTGTCCCAATTTTTTTGTTTAATTTTTTTATGTAGATTCCAAAAGTAAAAGCTCTCTTCCTCCTTATTTCTTCTCTTTCACACGGTCAAACCTCCTTTCCTGAAATTATTCAAAATTGTTAAATTATAACACAACAATCTAATTTAGAATTTACAACAATACTTCATAATAAACATATAAACTCAGATCGAATTATATATCTTTTTAAGAAACCTTGTATAATGTACCGTGTTACAAATTATACCATATTATACCATATTATACATGAAAAATATTTCAATAAACACATAATAAAAGATTATTAAATAATAATATTTTAAAAAACTATACAATTATCAACTATTAGATTTTATAGTTTTTAATAAATTGTATATATGAACATTTATTTTATATCTTCAATTACATATAACAAATCATTATTACTATTTTCTTATGTACAATTCGTTAAATGAAATTAACTTTTTGAATAAATAATTAAAAGTATATTATATGATAAAAATTTTAAACTTTTATATTATATTTATTAATAATAAAAATTATTATATTAAATAAAATTTAAAATAAATTATTAAAACTTTAAATTCAAATAAATATTAAATTTAAAAATAAATAAACAACATAAAAAATCACTTAATAAAAGAAATAATTTATAAAAATACTCTCATTTTAGAATATTCTTAAAATATACATTATTTAATAATAATTTTTAAATAATGTTATTTAAAAATTAGTGCTATATAAAAGGTGATAATCAGCATAACACAACAAGTTAACAACCAAAAATTATTTTCTCAATAACAAACCCTCAGATAATTAGATGACTTTATATAAATTGGAAGTTAAAGATTTTAATGTAGTCCCTCCAACTCCACTGCATTGCATTGCATCTGAAGGAAAGGGTGACACAGACTACCCTAAGGCTAAGAATGAATAGGAGCCAGAGAAAGGACATAGGTTTGGGTACTTTGGTAGGCCACACTTTCCCTCCAATGCCCACAATTCTGCCGTCCCTGTTAGTCTTCTTTTGTTGTTATGTTTCTCTTTTTTATTCTTCTTCAGATGCTCAATCTCATCACTCATTACCATTAACCACACAATTCAATTACTAAAACAAACCCTCTTTTACTTCCATTTGTTACACACACTTCACTAACCCTCTTTAATTCAAAAAGCTCTTATTTTTATTCATTTTTCCCCTTCAACTCTCACTCTGTCTTTTTTCACTCCCCCCTCTTCCATTCTTCTGTCAAAACCCTAGATTTCACATCTGGGATTTTGTTTTCAGACATGATTTTAGGAACTGCCAGCTTGCAAGTCTGAGTTTTTTGTCTGCAATCCGAGCTTCTCATGTTCCTGCATTTGTTTTGTAAAACATCATAGTTCCCAGTGACCCTTGCCATCAATGATGATACTTTTTGAGTCATAAAAACTACTTCCTTTCTGCTGGGTAGCTGTATTTGATCTTTTGCAAGGGTTATTTTAAGTGAAGCAAAACCTTTGTTTCGGCATACACTTACCAATGTCTTCGAGCTTGTTCATGAATATCTATAGAGCTATGGTGCTTTTAGATAACTTTCTTTTTTAGTTGCTTTTGGGTTAAAAATCTTAAATTTTTTCATCATTTTTTGTGTCTTTTGCTTTTTGCCCACTAGGGCAAAACCTGTTTTAGCATCCTCACTTCTTTGTTAGCTTAGCAAGTTGGTTTTGGCGGAGTTTAACTTCTAACATAGTTGCACAGGTAGTAGAAAGTTTGTGTAGTTAATCAGTAAATGCATGGATGGGAGAGAAGCTATGGCGTTCTCTGGTGGCCCAGCTTCATATTACATGCATAGAGGAGACGTTGTAGGGTCTGGTTCTGGAACACAGGCTGGGGGAGGGGGGTTCCAAGCTTCACCTGGGTTCAGAGCTTTGTCAAATGCTGGCATTCCAGTTCAGTCCAATGCTAGGGCTCAGGGTGGTTCTGTAGGTTCCAGTTCCACATTTCCAGTGGAGCCTCCTCAGGCTCATGCCAATTTTAATCATGGCATTGGCATTGGTGCCCCTCCAGGGGCAACCTCAAGTGAGCCTGTGAAAAAGAAAAGAGGGAGACCTCGAAAATATGGTCCTGATGGACCAGTTTCTTTGAGACTGTCTCCAATGTCTGCCCCTCCTAATTCTGCACAGGGTTCAACCACACCTTCTCAGAGGCGCGGTAGAGGGCGCCCACCAGGATCTGGAAGGAAGCAACAGCTGGCTGCTTTAGGTGTGCTTGTGTTAGGATGATATCATTTATTGGTTATTGTGTTTGCAATGTGTTAATGATTTCTATATATAGTGTGTTTTATATGGAAATTTGCTCTTCAGTAGAAGATGGTATCTATGTTTCTGATAAATATCCTGTTGTTAAGCTTTATACTGTGAAAGCTCCATTTTATTGTCATTATTATCAACTTAGGAATAGGAGGTGGATGATGACTCCGTGTTTTCATGATGCTAAAATGTATTTTAAAATGCATTTTTTGTGTTGCTATTGTTTTCTATTTCTGGACGCCTTGTACTCTCAGTCTTAAATTCTGTTTCCTTTTTCTTTTGATTTTATATTCCTTGTTTTTCTTATTCTTTGCCATTATTTTGTTCTATTTTGGTGTTCAGCCCATGCCAGTTGATTGACATTCTATAATTTGGTTTCTTTTCATATGATTACTTGTTAGTCATAAATTTTACTACAAAATCCCTGAAAGAAATACAAATGATATAAATAGATTTCCTGGAGATTATAGGACTGGTTGAACCCAGGCATGTGGTAGCAATTATTGATATGATCTTTGATGTTAAGCTTGTGTACTGACTGCATTAATAGCTTGGCAGTCCAGGTTCATATTTCTGGATTTAAAATAAATGAAAAATTAGATGCTAGAATTTTCACTTTCCCTTCTCATGCAACTTTTATTTTTGGTTCGTAATTAATGGTAGAACAAGTTATATTTCTTCATTTATGTTCTTGAAAGTCTCTGGACTTTTAACATCTTTGTTTATCACTTCCCAGGTGAATGGATGAATAGTTCAGCAGGATTGGCCTTTTCACCTCATGTTGTCACCATTGGAGTTGGAGAGGTAGTTAAACTCTGTCTGTTCATAAGCAGTATGGTTTTCTTATTAATCTTGAATGTGAAGATGTTGAGGGAACTGTATACTCTAAAGAGGATAAAATTGTCCATAGGTTTGTGTTTGCTATTATGGTCAAATTTTATTGGCCCATTACTCTTGTGTGGCACTTAAATCACTGTTGATGTCAGCATAGGAAAAATTGATTTGCTCAGTTTAGACAATTTACCTACGGTGACTTGAAGAGTTGTGGTCAAATAGTCCATACTTCACACAGATCTGAAAGATTTTCAGAAAAGTGACAATGAGGGACTCTTTTTTTACCAAAATAAATATGCTTCTTCATTTTTATTCAGGATTTTACCCAACAATTTAATTTACCAATCATGACATACAATCCTCATGAATGGTTTATATAACTGGAAATTGTTGAATGCACACATGGATGGAGTTGTCACTGACTGGGTTTGTCAACAGGACAGGAGTGTAAATTGGTGAAGAATTAAATGCTGATGAGAGACTACTTGATATAAACATCTATTTTTAATTTCTGTTTTCAAATAAAAAGCATAATTATTTTATTCTTATCAATGCAAATTAATTCAGTGTTTCCTGGAATGATCAATTTTCATTGTTTCAGGACATTGTGGCTAAGTTGTTGTCCTTATCACAGCAGAGACCAAGGGCTCTGTGCATCTTGTCAGGCACTGGGACAGTTTCTTCCGTTACTCTGCGACAGCCTGCTTCTACCAATGCGAGTGTAACTTATGAGGTTAAACCGTTAAGGCACTAATAAGTTCTGCTTAAGGATGGATCTTATGGTATATTTAAAAACTTTATTTTTTTGCTTTTACAGGGACGATTCCAAATATTATGCTTGTCTGGTTCTTACTTGGTTGCTGAAGATGGTGGACCCCCCAATAGAACTGGTGGCATTAGTGTTTCACTTTCTAGCCCTGATGGTCATGTTATTGGTGGAGGCGTTGCTGTACTTATTGCTGGAAGCCCAGTGCAGGTATATTGATCGCTATAAAATCTACTGACTACTGTAGCCTTAAAGTAGTGGTTATTCTTAACTTTGCATGCTTAGTTGTTTATTCATGCACTTAGTGCTGGAACAATATGTTAAAATCAAATTGGAGATAGCCATATACGAATGCTAATATAGTTTCAATGTAGCTTAGGCCCGTTCATCGTTCTTTAGTTTTCCCGCTTCAGCATGTGTAGGGATGTTCTATATGCTAAATGCTTCACGTTTTTTCTGCATCATTGGATGCTTCACATGCAAAGCAAAACAATATCAATAACTGAAAAACCCAAAAGTAGTTAGACATTGAAGGCTTTGCTTGCTGCAGGTAGTATTGTGCAGTTTTGTGTATGGTGGCTCAAAGACCAAGACTAAACAAGTGACAGCTAACAATGATGAAAGTTCTGAGCCTCAGGACAGTGATAAGTTAGCTTCTCCAGCCAGTGCCCCTCCTATTCAAAACTACATCCCTTCTGCAACAAACATTTGGCCTGTATCACGACCGGGAGACCTGAAAAGTGCGCACACACATACCGGCATTGACTTGACTCGCGGATGAAAATTTATCTTGGAAGAGACATTGCAGTTTTGTATATACCTGTTGTAAATGAACCTGAGCTTGTGAGCATTTGTGACTCTGCTTGTTATTCCCGTTGTTGGTTGGCAAGGTTTGCACTAACACATGCTGAAACAGATGAATTATTCAGGGTTAAGTGGTGATTCTTGGCATATCCAAAAATGACTGGAGTTGAGTTACCTAGAGGACTATAAGCTCAATTATTTGCCTGAGACTGGGGGCCATTAAACTACTTCATTCTTGGTCATAGTTGATTTGGTTGATTCCTCCACAAAATATGCAGACTTATGGTGCTTAACTGCAACAGTAATCCGTTTGTTTTGGTGCTAGTACACGTTCTAATTTCCTAGTTGCTTATTCAAGCCCCGGCGTGCAAGCTGGCTTTTTAATTACCTATTACAGGAATGTTAATTTTAGTGGCATTATAAGCATAAATGCCGAATAAACCAAGACCACCCATCACTTTTTCAAGTCACGGAATGTCATCAAATTTAATTGTAACAATCTGTAGTTAAACGCGAGAATCCAACCCCTAAATTTGGCGTGCACCTCACAAACTAAACACCATTAAACTTCTCACACGAATAAACTTTCATTCGATTTGAGACAATGTTTTTAAAAAAAATTGAAATATATGTATAAAATATAACATGTAGTTTGCTTTGTGTCCTTTTAGATTTTCCTAGTGCTAATAACGGTCAATTTGAGCTTCAATCACCTTTCCTCACAAATACGTTCACCACCATTGCCACTACTGATTTAGGGGGTCACTTACTCTTTTATCAAGGCTATATAATTAAAAATACATAAATGATTAAAATTGAATTTAAAATTACGGGATATATTTTTCCACGTGACCTTTAAATATTTTTTTTATGTCAATGATTCGCATATGACAGTATGTTCAAATATTTATTCTCTCATAATCACAATAAAACAGAGCATTATCAACCAGGCATCATGAGTATAAGCATGTCTTGTTCAGTTAGTCAAAAACCTGTATGTACAACATTATGGCTTCACAAAGGGAACATAATAAAAGTCAAGCCTCAAAGACAAGATACTTTGACATTCACACCATTCTCTCTTTCCAGCTAAATCATTGCATTCATACAACAGCAAGTAGCTTACGGATGTCATGCTACAGAACAATTATAAAAAATGGCATAAGAATTAGCATAGGTTATATGAATTTCTAGAATAATAGTGACATACACAGTACTGTCTTTACCTCAAGGCTAAGAGGAGATGTGGTGGGATAATAGCGATCTACCACTTGCCCATCCTTGTCAACAAGAAACTTAGCAAAGTTCCATTGAATATCATCACCAAAAATTCCCCACTTACCTGATTTTAAGAATTTATACAAAGGAGCAGAATTGTCTCCATTCACTTCAATCTAACAATAACAGAAGAGAAGTGCATGTCACATTTCTTCAAAGAATTTAGAATAAGTTAACTACACAACAGCAGCAATAATCATGTACTGTTTCCGGGTTTAGAAGAAAATTCTTTTATTATTTATCTATCTTTTATAAAATTCAAGACAACGTTAATTATTATATTTTTACCTAATTCTTAAATATTTCACACAATTGTTATACATGAGAGAGAAATGACAATGGTGGTTATATAAAGAAGTTCGAAATAATTTTAATATAAATAAAGATATTAATTACATTTCTTATTTTGTGTGCTGTCTTCCAAAAGACAGATAAAATAATCTATTTTATGAAAACCATTGATTGGATATTCTTTTCCATACACATGGAAGGGCTTAGGATCGACAATAACAAAGCAAAATAGATCTCATGCCACTGCAAACACACAACTCACCCAGGGCAATGACAATCATTAGACATAATGCAAAGGCACGAATTAAATCTCTAGTATACAAGGTTCAGATAGGAGTATAAAAAATTGGAACTTGGAATAGAACATCTAACTAAAATTTTGGCACTTGGGAGTGCGCAAAAATAGAGATTAGAAGTAATCTTTCAAACCTTATATGTTCAAGTACCTTATCAAAGATGGGGAATTCAGATTTAAAGCGAGTGCAGACGAACTCCACTATTTGATCATTGCTTCCGGGTTCTTCCTCACCAAATTGATTACATGGAAATGCCAGAATCTCAAGGCCTAATGAAGCCATCAAGTGTAATATTAAAAATATATTTGGAAATAATAAAAAGAAACACGGTGCTTCATAGAGTAAGAGGCAATATCAATATACAAAAGCAGGTTCCTCCTTTTTAAGTTAAAAAAAATAAAATAAAGATGAGTAACACAAGCTTGAAACAACAAACACAAATTATAAAACATGTAATAATTTCAAACCTTTGTCTTTGTAATTCTCATATAGCTGATTCAACTCCACATAATTTGAGTTGGTCATGCCACTGCCTCAATCCAAAAAAACAAAAACTTTAAAGTTGTCATGTTGATGACAATTTCTGGAATAGTTATTGATAGGGATACCATTTGGAAGCAACATTAACAATCAGCAGGACTTTTCCTTTATAAGTGGTAAGATCCACATCATGGCCCTTAGCATCCTGCAAGTCAACGGAAAGCATTTAAGCATTATTATTCACATAAATAAACAGTTAAACACCTTCATCTTCATGAGCTTATATAGGCTACTGCTCACTTCATATGGCTGGCTTAGTAAATTTTATTTTCTAAACCACATCTATCCTTCGATCAAGACAATCTTGTTCCAGTAAAGATCCATAAGTGACAATGCATTAGACAACCTTGTTTTTATTCCTAGTATTTAACGCAACTAGATAAATCAGTTGGAAGAGCCTCACACTAGTTTGTCTACGTGATCGATGATAAAAACGACAGGTTCTTGACATGTTTCAGCGAATAATATATTTTTATTTTATAAAAAAAGTTATTATTTAATATCATTAATACACTAAACTTTTATTCGGTACCTGTTGAGTAACTTAGACACACCTTAAAAAACCTGATGGAAAAAAACATTGCAATAGAAGAAAAAGTTGGAATTTAAGGTAACAAACGGCCTAGTTTATCGAAATAAATCAAAGGAGAGAAAGAGAGAGACCTTGACAGCAAAATCATAGATGGACTTTGGATCCGTAGAGGATTGGGTGGTCATGGCGGAGAGCAACAAGGGAAGACAAGGTAGAGTTAGAGTCAGAGCTAGAAGCTGAGTTGAAGTTGGAATCGAATCGAATCGAATCAAACACAAGTGCTTCTGTTGTCGTTGTGGATGTGGGGTACTGAACAATAATTACATTATTATATTTTAATATCAGGATTAATTTACATATTCAATAATATAGTCTCATGAAAATGAATTTGGCTCTCTCATGCTTTTAAATTTAAAATAATATATTTTATTAAAAAATTAAAAATTTTTAATAGATCGCATGACAAATGGATATTTATTTTATAATAAAAATTAGACTTATTTACTTTAGCTTCTCGACTGCAATTGATGTTTGATTTTAATCTTTTAACATATTAAAATTTTATATCATTATAATTACGTTTTTTTATTCTTACTTTTTACTTCAATGTTTTAGATTCTCATTTTGTATTCAAAATTATTATAAATTAAAATATTAAATTGAGAGATAATTAATATTTTTAAAAACTATTTAAATACATTTTTAAAGTAAATAAATTAGTCTAAACTTTAGATGCATTTAGATAATATTTAGAAAGCATTTATTGATATATCCTTTGGTTAAAACTTGTCATAAAATTATACCATAATTGATCATAAGTTTATTAAATAAATTAAAATGACTTATTTTAATAAATTATTAAATAAAATAAAAAATTATACACTCCTTTGATTTTGTACGTGTATTTGTATAGTTTACTACCAAATATTTTCATGTTCACATCTTTTCACTGGAACAAACAACCTCTCAACAGAAACATAAAGTTAATTTGGTGTAATTGTTATGAGCAAGAGCATAACTAAACAGGAGCTTACAAATACTTACAATTCTCACTTTATAAGCTAGTGGATTAGAGTTAATTTTGACATTATTTTTATCTATTTTTTTTTTTGGAAAAAACTATTCTTTACATATGGAGAATGTTGAAAGGAGGACATTTCAGAAATCATAAGACAGAAGCAAACAATGAAATAAGCAAACATTTACACTCACACAGCAGTAATAAGTACACAACCTCATGACTATAAACTAACATCGAAGGTTCAGAAGCAACTGTTTCGGTACATTAAAGAAAGGAAATTGCACCAACATCTGCAATACATTTCTTATTCATGGTAATATTCTAATCACTACTCGTTTGTTGGAAGCTCCAATCATTCATGGCTTCATGCATCCAACAACTTCAGTAAGTCCTTCTGCAGCATCAGTAAAACAAACATTCTTAGTGTATAAATTTCTAGCATATTTAGGCAAGATCATTGGTGCCATGTAACAAATTGTCTTACCTCAATGCTCAGAGGAGAAGTTGTGGGTGCATAACGTTCGACAACATTCCCCTCTTTATCAACAAGGAACTTGGAGAAGTTCCATTTGATACTATCTCCGAAGAGTCCACCTTTGCTTGATTTTAGAAACTTGTAAAGCGGAGCAGCATTGTCACCATTCACATCAACCTATATTAAATACAAATAACATGATCAACCATTCACAACATTTAACAGTTAAGTAAAATCTTGGACAAATAGAGGAAAGTGAAATATTTGTTCTAACTGGACCACGTTCAAAGCTATATGAGAATTGGTTTCCCAAATCCGAGATTTATCTTATTTGCTTAGTCATTTGGAGGTAGGTTACCTCGATAAAATGTTCCAACTTCCAACTGACCTCTCATATTTCAAAATCCAGTATTCACCAGACACACACACACACTCTAACTCCTCAAAGACATCACTGTGAGATTATTCCTGAGATAATGTAAAGACTAAGAAGCCCTCCCAACAGTTGTCTTCTCAAGGTTGGAACCTTGATCATTCCTTGGGGGTTCATCCAAGCCTTTGGTCAGGGAACTGGGATCTAAAGACAAGACATATTAAAAAAGAACCACTAAAATATAAGCTGAAGCCTGGAACTGGTTTAATGCAATGAAGGAAAATTAACACTGCGTCAAGCAAGATTAAAAAGTCTTGAAGCCAATTTATTAATCTCTGATTTAATGGTTCATGCATTAATGCATTACACAGCCGAGACTGAAAGTGTGGGAAGGAGGAGTCAACTGCTCTTCTATTAATCTCCAGTTTTTCATGCAAAGTTGATTACAAAAGCCCATTCAGAATAATGCTCAGGGAAACCTAAGTGAAGATTAGTGGATAACAGGAACCATATGTGACTCACACACAAGAATTGAGAAACACCCAAAAAAATTTGTATTCAAGGAGTCAATGACATGATCACAGCATTTCTTCTTTCAAGAATGTGGACATGGCACGGAGTTGATTTTGGAATGAAATCACAGGCAGTGAGAAATGAGAATAAGCATAGGTTTTACCTTGTCAAAAACAGGAAACTCAGCTTTGAAACGAGTACACACAAATTCTTGTATCTGTTCATTACTTCCAGGCTCCTGCGCCCCAAACTGATTGCATGGAAATGCCAGAATTTCCAGACCTGAATAAAGAAAACCAAGTCTCTTAGAAAGACAAAGGGACTCCACAGTAAGTTTGTTGCTTGAACCTTAAAATGACATGATGGTTATTCAAGTGTCACATGTAGAGCAAAGTAGTCCAATTAGTCTATAACCAATAATTATTTACAAAGGGTAAACTTAGGCCAATTTGAAGGCCTCTCAACAAGTATTGTGTCATATTAATATTCAAGTCAGTATATGAGCATTGACATTTGACACTTCCATGAGGAATAATAAGGTAACAACAATTAACAAAGCAGTGAAAGGGACAACAAGAAAGAACCAGATGAGAAGGAAAGCAATGGCAACAACATGAGAACAGAAGAGAAAACAGACCTTTCTGTTTGTATTTGTCATACAACTGACTCAGCTCTGTGTAGTTTGAATTAGTCAAGCCACTGCAACATAGAACGAACATCAAAGAATATCATAAGGATATAGTTTGGGAGAAAATTAGGAGTGAAAATTTAATTCATTTATCCATTAACCATCCAATCCATTCATGCATAAATCCAATCAACTCATCCAATTATAAAAATAACAATAAATGATTGGATTGGATCACCAATCAATAATAATGAACTATCTACAACATTTTATAGTCCATTAGATTATTTCAAAGTCTATTAGTTGAGTATAGATCTTACGTTTTATAGTGTTGTATTAGTACAAATAGTAAACTTTATTTTATAAAAATGTTTTTAAAAAATAAAATATTATATATTTTAAATGTATGCGCCAGATATCCATCTACAAAAAATGGTTAATGGATGAGTTGGATATATTTTTATTAAATAAATTATATATAAATTGGACTTTTAACACATTTTTAATGGAAAAAATTATATATTAATAGTTATATTTTACCCATTCATTATCATTCGGTTCAAATAATTGACAACCCTGGACAAAACTAAGGGAAAAAGCTCTCCAATTTCTAAACCCACATGATTAACTATAACCATATAAAAAATAAAGCTTGCACCTTCGAGTGAAATTATTAAAACACAAATTTACAACATCACAATTGGAGACCTAATTGTACTTTGTTATGTAAAGAAATTGGGGATAGAGAAAGATGAGAAATTGGGAGTACCATTGGGAGGCAACGTTGACAATCAAAAGGGCCTTCCCTTTGTAGTCACCAAGATTAACATCATTTCCCTTGGCATCCTGCAAAAGTAAAAAACGAAAAAGAAAAAGGGGGTTAATCTTCCAGTTCTGAAATTTAAATAGATATGCGAAGAAAGGGGTGAAAATAAGAAATCATACTTTAACGGTGAAATCATAGATTGATTGGGTGGCCATAGTGCAATATGTTGTGAAAGTGGATGGAGTGGAAAGAAGTGGTTTGAATGGCAGAGTGATAAATGAAGTATGAGAATAACGGGGAAGGAGGAGGGTAGGGTTGGGATTGGATAACAAGGGAAGAGATGAAAGAGGATGAACTAATCTAATAGGAGTTTTTGCCGTGCGGAACAATATGCGACTTGAATTACAAAGGCTTAGCATTTGCGATAGTTTTTGTTTTATTTTATTTATAGCGTTGTTTCTCAGCATACAGCGACACCCTTATTTGATTCTGGAAAAGGAACACGTTCATACGTCGACACGTCTCACGTGTCATGTGTCATGTTTCATCCGCATCATGGCTTACGTCATCATTGTTATTCGATTATAACTCGTAAAAAAAAAACATGTCGACTGTCAAATTATTATATTTTCTTTTTGATAAAAAACATTTTTCTTCCTTAATTTATTAGTTTAATTACGTTTTTTTTAATATTTTGTATATAAAATTACGTTTAATATGCTCTAATTTATTACAAACATTATAGTTTATATCTTTTGATGGAATATGCTGTTTTCATAGTATTTTACTAAAAGGTATATTCCAAAAGACAAAATATTTTATTATTAGTTTTTTTAATATTTTTTACATGCCCTAGTTTTTAACAGTAAAGATAGAAGATCTAAATAACATAATGACAAATTAATTTTTTAACAAGTGAAAACCATGTATTAAGTAAGTAAATAAGGATTCTCTGATAGTTTTACTTAGAAAAAAATCTAATAGTTTATTAAAGATTTTAATATGAAATATATTATTAAAAAATTAATAAGTAAATAATTAAGTTAAATTTAATAAATAACTTATGACAAATAATAGAATAAAATATATATTGTATTTAATTTTATGTATAAAACTAACAAGTTAAGATCATAAAGTGCTTTTTTTACCATTTTTTGAATTGATGAACTCTAAATGGTTTTTTCGTTAAACGTTATAGTTATAAAAATTTTATTCTCGCGAATTAATTGTACAAAAATTCAAGTGGCTATTTTCATTTTTTACAAAGAAACAATATATGATATGGTTTAAAAAATAATCAGCATAGATATTTTTCTAAGACACAACATTTGTAAGAATAGTTTTATATGAATAAAAAATAATTAGCTCATTCTGGAATATAACTAATAAAATGGTAATTACCATTTCAAGAAAGGAAGAATACGTATTAAAGAGAAGCATGTGACTCCATTTAACTAGAAACAAATAAAATAAAAAGAGGTGTGTCTGAAAACAAAGAAAGAGAGGAGAATGAACACAGCTTTTGTCAATACAAGGCTTGAAGCCCAACAGCCCAAGAAGGCCCAACTAGTTGATGAATAAAAAAACCAGGGAACGGTGTGGAGTGGGTGAAGACTGAAGGAGGAAAGATGAAGCTGAAAGTGTATGCGGATCGTATGTCTCAGCCATCCCGTGCGGTTCTCATCTTCTGCAAGTATTTTCCCCCTTTTAACTTTTTTTTTTATTTATTTTTTGCTTTTTCCTTCGCAATTTGAATTTGGTTTCTGCATAGAGTAAATGGAATTGATTTTGAGGAAATCAAAGTCGAACTATCCAAACGCCAGCAATTATCTCCCGAGTTCCGAGGTAATTATTATTTCCACTTGTGAATTTTTTTCCCATCGAAAACACTATCTAAACTTCGACTTTGGTTCTTCCATAGCCAGGTAAACTGAAAAAATAGTATTTATTTATATTTTATTTAATGTTAGTTATATTTTGAAATTATTTGAATTTAAATCCACCGTGAATTTAAATTCTTATAATTGTATACTCACTCAATTTTGACTTTTTTGGAATTTTCTTTCAGCCGTTAACCCTTTAAGGAAAGTCCCTGCTATTGTTGATGGAAGGTTCAAGCTATTTGAGAGGTGCTTCAAATTTCATTTCATCTTTTGTGATTCCCATGAGTTTGTGGGGTTATGTGGAATTATCTTCTTTGATATTGATGTACGTGTTCTTTTCTTTTCTGCAGTCATGCAATTCTTATCTATCTTGCTTCTGCTTTTCCGGGAGTCGCAGACCATTGGTTAGTATTTTCCCCTTTTTACAAATTTAAGTGCATGGGAGTGATAGAAACATACTATGAGTTATTAGTTAATTGAAAAAAACACGAGTGAGATTTATTAAATTAGAAGTGAAATTGACATAATTTTTTTAATTTTTAATAAACTTTAGTAAATAATAAAAATGTACTAGTGTGTGTTCTCTCTTAATTGCATTACTCTCTACAAAATCATGACATGTGAATGAACAATCCAATAGAGGTGTTGGGTTGTGTTCATGCTTTGTTGGTTAAATGCTTAATGCTTTAATTGCTTTGTTTCTTAACAAAGCAACCTCAGTTAGTGGAGTTCTTTGGCAACTAATGTTATTTTGATAGTTTATGTGCAATCTTGCCATAGCATGAGATTCACCTTAATTTAGTAGGAACCAAAATCATGAAATATGAACAAATGATGCTTCTGTTCCTAAACTTAAAGGATAGACATGCAGATATCCTACTGCAAGATTTACCTTTGAGTATGTTACTTATTATATACTGCAGGATTCTTTCTGTTGTGTCTATATAGATCCCTTATTTAGTTCATTGCATACACTCCTGTTGCCTTTTTTTTAACATTATCTGTTCCATTCATCCCTTTAGGTACCCGGCTGATCTTTCCAGGAGAGCAAGAATTCACTCTGTGTTAGATTGGCATCACCAGAATTTGCGTCGTGGGGCAGGTGCATCATAGCTCAAAAAGTTCTTTGTTGTCGTGGAAATGAAACTACTCTGAAATTTGTGTAGTTCATGAGTTCTTAGTTAAGTTGGCCTCCTTTCATGAATCTCAATGTAAAGAAATCAGGGATTAATGTCGTCTTTTGCTTGCTAGCTGGATTGGAAATTTTTATATTCTTGGACTTTTAAGGAGTTTGCTTTTCCACTTGCAAAGTATGAAGTTGAATCAAGTTAATATCATAGCTTGAAGATAATGTAGTTAAGCTTCAAAAAATATGTTCAAACACTGTACTCTGGACAATTTAATTGGTTGTAGATAACAGTATACATGTAATAAGCCTTTCTTTGAGGTTTCCTATCAATTGTGAACTAATTTGCATTAGTTTTTTAATTTGGGTATTGCTGTGCATTTTAAGGTTGACTGGCATTGTTCTTGTTCATATATATGTTAATGCTATGCTTTGCTTTAATTTCTGCTGAGTAATTTCCTTTGAGCACGGGTGAAGATGCTGTTTTTGTTTTGCATGCAAAATTTTCCTGCTTCCTCTCATTTAATGTCATAATCTTCTTGATTTTGTTTCAGCCACATTTGTTCTAAACACTGTACTAGCACCACTATTGGGTCTACCACTAAACCAACAAGCTGCTGCTGAAGCTGAGAAAATTTTGATTTCATCTCTGTCAAAAATAGAGAACATTTGGCTTAATGGGGATGGACGGTACTTGCTCGGTGGCTTACGACCATCCATAGCAGATCTCAGTCTGGTTTGCGAAATTATGCAATTAGAGGTAAATGGGGAAGTTCATATATATGTACACACACACATAAGAGTTATCTTAATGTCATGGCTTGCAGGAGAGTGGGGATGATTCTATTTTTTAATTAATATTTTATCTTATGAGTTTGAAAAAATAAAATTGTAGACAGCTTTCTGCTTCAGTTTGTGTTGTGTTTGTGATAGGAGTGGACATGTGGGCTTGGGTCATGAGGAAAGGCCCAAGGCATGGAGGGTGTATGTTAGGAGAAATCGGGCTAAGAATAGAAAAGATGATGTGGCAGAAGTTGTAACAGAATTGCCAAACAAGGGGGAATGAAGATTTGGGGGAATATAAGGAATGAAGAGGGGAGAGAAAGATCACTTTTTGGATAGGGAAATTCTGTTATGGGCAGGGAGCTGTAGTCTCTCTGTATGAGCGGTGCTCTGTGGCAGTGGGGTTGTTTATTTCCTCCTGTTTTGCTTTCCTTTATATTAAATAATATAACCATTTCTAGACTTTTTTTTCAATTAATTCTGCAGTCTAATATCTGGTCCCTAACAGTTTGTGTGATTGAAAAGTTCTGAAAATACACACATGGTCTGGCATGTTTGGTTTGGCCAAGGGAAGGAAACCTAACTTACCCTTTATATTGGTCTAATTAAAAAACTGTTTACCTAGAAATGTTTCATGCAGGACAGAATGCTGATCCTCTCCTCAAGGGGAATCACGATAGTGATTTATTTACTTATTTTGGATTTGGATGCAGCTTTTAGATGAGAAGGATCGTGATCGTATTCTTGGCCCACACAAGAAAGTTCAGCAGTGGATTGAGAGCACCAGAAATGCAACGAGGCCTCATTTTGACGAAGTTCATAATGTCCTTTATAAGCTCAAAATGAAGCTTTCCATGCAGCAATCTAATCAGGCACATGGCGGGATGGAACCTAGGACTAAAGCGCAACTAACTTCAAAGATGTGACCATACAATCATGTCAGGAACGTACTTGTGACAACTTTCTTGATATATTTGTTGGTTGCAATTATCTGGCTTGAAACATCGAAGATGAAGTTTATGTCTGTATTGTGACCCTTAATCGGACTACTAAGCTGGGCAGATAATAAATGTGATTGCCATTTGAAGATTCAATGTAGTCCTCCTAAGTGCTGATTGGACATCATATATGTTAGTCTTGTCTGTCCTTTAAAAATTTGCCATGAAAATATTGTCGAGGAGCTGTGTAGTACTGTAGTATTTGTCCATGGAGAATTGGGTAACACAAACTCGTATGCTGCATCCAATGATGTGGGAACAGATCATTGGATGATAGTTATGCTAACATTGTATCAGAATGGTTGATACAATTCATCTCTGTATACTAAATTAGAGTTTACTTTCCGTAGATTAGTTATATTTCTTACTTCAATTTTATATTAATTTCCCTCGCTGATAAATTTTCTTTCTTAATTTATCTCCATTTTAATTTTATATTTATTTTTTCTTTGATTATGCATTTATTGTTTATAATTTAAAAAAATATGTATCTCAGTAGTTTTAATTTTTTAATTATGTATTTTTATATTGAATAATTTTATTATGTTTTTTTTTTCTTGAATTTAAAAATACTTGTGTAATGCCTAAAATTACTGCTATCGAATTAAAAATATTGACATAGCTGATGAAGATAATTTTTGTTACTAAAAAAAGCTCAAGCCTTGTTGCAAACCATAATCCTTAGCTCTCACCAGCGATCGTTATAGTTTGTTTTAGCCTTCCTGATATATTTGTAGTCTACCCTTGATGGCCGTACGTAATTTGATTCTACGATCAAGTCCTTTCATCGTTTTCAAGTATATCTTCTTCTTACATCAGACGCTTCCCACAAAGGGAGACATTGGTATATTACAACCTAATGTTAGATGATGTTAACATTGATAACGTCCCAAAATTGAATTTTTTGAAATAATTAGGCGTTTCGGTCCTTGCTAACCATAATAATATCTTATACAATTATAATTATTATTACAATTTAAAGAGATAGGAATGTGTAATTTTTTTTTTCATTGCAGTGTCTGCATGAAAAATTGAAATTCCCTTCTAACAGACTGTGTCTTTGTTTTTATTTATTTTTTATACGTTTCTACATAATGGAAAAAAAAATGTTTCTTATCATAAATCCTGAAATATTATTAGTTTAAGAATATAAAAATTGATTGTTATACTGTATCTTGGTAAGGCACATGAACCGATACAAGTTGATAAGAGAGTAAAGTCAAAGCAACCGCGTTGCTTTGCTGATTGGTGTGTTTACCAAGCTTGGAGTTTAGTATCGGTTCTAAGTTTGGAAAGATGATGGCAAATCTGAAGGTGTATGCGGATCGTATGTCCCAGCCATCTCGAGCAGTTCTCATATTCTGCCGGTAATAATTATTTCTTCAGTATTGATCTGTTAGTATCATGATTAATTGAAAACACTAACATCTTGCGTGTGTTCGAAAGGTTTAACGGAATTGACTTTGAGGAGATTAAGGTAGACATTTCCAAACGTCATCATCTCTCTCCTGAATTCAAAGGTATCTATCTAAGATAAAAAAAAAAAAAGAAGAAGCTTATGCACGTTGTAAGTATTCACTAACGATTCTTTACTTAAGAAGGTAAGATAATTAGATATTAATAATATTATAGTATTTTGTCCTGGCACTCACTAAGTAGTAGATTGAAAATTTAATAGCATGTATCCATTTATGATTGGTTCCAAAAATGTTATCTTGTTAATATCTTTGAATGCCCCCTGTCATTTATTGCAGAAGTAAACCCTCTGCAGAAAGTTCCGGCTATTGTTCATGGAAACTTTAATCTCTCAGAGAGGTAATTATTGATAATGGCCGTGTCTTTTAACCCACCTCTATGATATTCATGATTATTGTTGTACTCTATTGCCCTTGTTATTGGAGAGGAATATAGAGTTCTTATTATGTCGATGACTTTTGTGGGGATGCGTATCAAAGACTTGTTAGGTCTTGTAACTTCAATCTCTTTGACCTAGTTGTATATGTTAATAATATTATTTTATGCCATGTAATCTAAATCTTGGTTACTGCCGGGTGGGTTGTGATATTGATTTACTAAGAATTATCAGTTGCTTATGAAATTAATTTCACTTTATTTGTAAACAATCTCTTATTCGAATGATTGGATGGTTTATATATGTCAAATGCAGAGTGGTATCAGAAATGATCAATGTGAGTGCTCCTTTGTTGAGAAAATATTATTTTTTTGGTTTAAATTAAGTTTGTGCTTTCTTATGGGCTATGTGCATCATGACTTAGGAAAGTGAATGAACCATACGTCCATATTGTGCAATCAAATTTTTTTTTTTGTAATCTCTGTAAATCCTGTAATGTTATAAGTTTGAATTTCCTTGTTAGGAATTATTTTACCTTTTGATTTTGTTATATATTCTTAATTAACCTCGTTTTCTTTTGGCAGCCATGCAATCCTAGTGTATATTGCTTCTACTTTTCCGGGAGTTGCTGACCATTGGTTAGTAGGGAACTACTTCTCTTGCTTCTGAAATCCTGAACTGCTTGGTTGTTTTAAAGAAATACTTCAAAATATCAGAGCTGAACTTTTCCACTATGCAGTAGTCGAATATGATCCAGAAAGGGCTTAATCATGATCAGAGTTCCTTGTCCATTTCTAATGCTCTTGTTCCTCACTTTTGGATGTTTATTTGAAAGAACATATTAGGATGAAACAGAATATAAATATTTTTAAAGCATGTATTCATTCCAAGTCCAATTTTGTGCTTCCAACATATACATTTTCCACAATGTAAATTACATCCTAGTTACCATGCATTGTGTATAGAAGTGTAAAAATTTTGCATCCAAAATTTATAATTATTAGTTTAGTTACGACAGCTTTCCCTCTTGATCTATCAGGTATCCAAGTGATCTTTTCACGAGAGCCAAAATTAACTCAGTATTGGATTGGCACCACTCTAATTTACGACATGGAGCAGGTGCTTTACACAACTAAATCCAGACATCTTCTAACCACTTTGAGTGATGTAATTTGCTGCAAGCAGTTGAGTTTGTTAAACTTGTATACTTGTTAGGGATTGTAACATCTACAGACTTACTAACTACTAAAAGAAAATTCTATCACACAGTTATTATCTTCTGCATTCTCACTATGAGCAGTAAAGTTTGTTGTCTGAAATATGAATACTTGACTGCAAGTTGGCAAGATCTTTAATAATTATTTACATGGATCAAACTTGGATTAAATAATTGCTCACTTGTGTAGAGCTTCATGTCATTAAGTTAGTTCTGGAAATTATGCAACTATTGACTGTGATTTAAAACCATAGAATAGACGTTACCATGCTGCAAGCAATGGGTTAAATCACATGTTTGTAGCTAGAGAACATCTTTTTTTCTCCTATTTTTTTTCTTTTATATAGAAAGAGCACGTCCTTGTAAAATACAACTAACTAGCAGAAGCCCACCACCGTTTGCAGTGAACTATGTATTAGATACTGTTCTGGGACCAGCAACAGGCCGTCCACTGAATTCAAAAGCAGCTGCTGAAGCAGAGAGAGTTTTATTATCTTCTTTATCAAAACTAGAGGATGTTTGGCTCAATGGAGATGGACGCTTCTTGCTTGGTGGCTCTCAGCCATCTATAGCAGATCTCAGCCTGGTTTGTGAACTAATGCAACTTGAGGTAACTAGATGTGACTTGTTAATTATTTATACTGCATCCATCCAAATTGGCTCAGTGTCTTGAAATTTCCAATTGAATCAGAATGGTGGTTAGTAGTATAATTGTTTTTTACATGAATTTATAAAACTATACTATGAATAAACTTAGGTTTTGGAAGAGAAGGATCGCAGTCGGATATTATCCCCATACAAGAAAGTTCTTCAGTGGATTGAGAATACAAGAACTGCAACAAATCCTTACTTTGAAGACGTGCATAGTATCCTTTATAGAGCTAAGAAGAAATTTGAACAGCAGCGTTCAAAGGTAGCTGAAAGTGGGACTGAGCCTAGAAACAAGATGGGGAGCCATTCAAAGATGTGAAAGCCATGCCTTCATCTTTGTTGGAAGATTGACAACATAATCATAGCCTTTTCTTTCAGTAGGCTTGAGCCTTGCGTTTCTGGCTGTGCTTTGTTGACCTGAATAGCTGTATGGCTTGTTCTTCCTATTAAGACAAAAATATTCACACACCCATAAGAAGGTTTTGGCAGTGAAGTAATATGGCTGTACATGGCAACTGCATATTCTGCTTCTATCTTCACTCTTAACCAAATGGCCAAATAATTGTGTACATTCATTCTGTAATTTTATTAATCACATTTTAAAAAAAGATTCAACTACTTAATTTTATTTTGTGGAACATTGATCAAGTGTATTTGAAATTAGGTAACTTTGAACAAGAGGTAGACAACACAGATAGAAGAGGCTACAATTATGAAAATTAACAAAATTCTATTTACACCAAAAACCTTACATCATTTTTATACTTTCTATATTATATTGAAATATGTACTTTTCATATTATATTATAGGTTTTGTTAACTTTAACTCCAAGAGTTGACTTTAAGCATCTAAAAATAATAATTTTTTTTTACAGAAAAAATACATTTATGTTATTAGAATTATAAAAGTAAAATAAATATTTTTTAATAAAATATTAATATAATTAATTGTTGAAACTTATTTTTAAGGTTGAGATTACTCCTTTTTTTTAGTTTTACAAATATTATATAAGAAATAATGTAAATTTTTCGAAGTAAAATATCATCATTTAAGGGGAAAAATATGTACGACTTGAAGGATTTTCTTTTTGTACATTATTCCAACATCAGAAAAACTTATTTACAACTTTGAAGGATGTACGTGCAAAACATAATGTCTTCCAAACAATATTTACAACTTCATTGTCACTAGACCCTGAATAGTCGTGCGCCATATTTGACATCACTGAATGCTTATGCCCCGTATCTCAAGGTTGTCTAGCCCCTTGGGTCTCCTATAATACTTCAACAGTAGAGAACAGCAAACAACACTGACAGAAGAGGCAGCCATGGCAGCACCAGCAATCCATGGTGGCAAACGAAAACGTGTAGAAGGGAAAAGAGCACCAGCAGCAATTGGAATGCCAAGGAGATTATAGCCCAAAGCCCAAATGTAGTTAAGGCGGATACGAGAAAAGGTTTTTCTAGAAAGGTGAATGGCAGTTATGACATCCTCTAAGTTGCTCTTCATCAGGACAATATCAGCAGCCTCAATAGCTATGTCTGTGCCAGCACCTATTGCCATTCCTACATCTGCCGCCACAAGTGCTGGAGAATCATTAATACCATCTCCCACCATAGCCACTGTGTATCCACCACCCTAAACAACCAGAAATGCACTCAATATGTTAACAGCACGTAGGATATTTTGAGGTGCTATGCAGCATAAAAACCATTCATCTATCTTTATCCAATAGTAAAAGCCTTAAAAGCCCTCGATTTAGACTCCAAAAAATATTTTATTGAATATTAGCCTATTAAATATACTTTTTTAGGAAAACCCTTGTTCTACCTATTAGGATTTTCTCTTTTCATAAGAAAATTTTTATTTTTTCGTAATTTTTTTCACTAATTAACTCCATTTCTTTTTTTTTCCTCTCATACTATCTACATTTGTATTTTCTTTTCTTTCTCTTTTTTTTATTGAATAAAAATTTTGCCCCTTTTAATTTAGGGTTAAAATAATGCTAAACAAAATTTATTTTAATAATTTAATAAATAATTTTTCATTTTACATAAACTGAAGGATAGATTATAAATGAAATTATAAAAATTTCTTTTTTTAGTTTAAAGAAGTTTCATCTTAAAGTTTGATTCAGACTTGGGTAGATGTTGCGTCGGCCTTATTCATGACAAGGCCTACATCCTCTTCAACCAATTGCACTGTCAGAGAAAAGACGAACATGTCTCTTTCTATCTATTGTTGGATAGTAGAACTACGAGAGAAAGTTTCATGATATGGTATTCAATTCTCAACTCAGTAACCAATTAATCTAGAGTTTGATCTTAGTCACTCTTGTTTTTCATTCTTCTAATTAAAAGTTGAATAAACGCACTAGGTAGGTAGACAAGTGCAATTATGTGTCATTATAGCTTAAAGCTATATCTAGACTCCAAATTGAGAAAACATACCTGCAAGTTCTTCACTTGCTCTGCCTTCTGCTCCGGTTTGGCCTCGGCAATAACAGTTTCAATTCCAACTTCCTTTGCTATAGAATTTGCAGTACCCCAATTGTCCCCCGTCACCATAATGCTCCTTATTTTCATAGACTTTAGAATGGAAATGACTTCTTGGGCACTTGGTTTCAGTGGATCAGATACTGCTACAACTCCAACTACTTCCTTATTTATACATACTAATATTCCAGTTTGAGCCATTCCTTCTGCTTCTGTCAGCATCTCTTCAGCCTCAACAGGAAGTGCAATATTGTGGTCCCCTAACAAGGTCTTGTTACCCACAATTATTTCCTTGTTCCGAACAGTGGCCTTCACTCCATGTCCAGCTATGGACACAAAATCGCTTGCTTCTGGCCAAGTTGGGTTCTCTTCATCTCTCAATTTTTTTGCATACTCAACTATGGCCTTCGCCAGTGGATGCTCACTGTTAACCTGACAAAGCCAATTATACAATGTAAAGTTATTTGCAATTATTCAAGAATAAGCATGTGAAACTCTAGAGTCCATGTTATGTAATCAACCCTGATTTATAAAGAGGCAAAGCCTTTTATAATCAATCAACCATCGATATAATTTTGTCACTAATTTAGTTATTCAAATTTATAAATTTATCATCAAATTCGTATACATGACAAATTAAAATAACAAAAAATATGAATTTGATAATAATTTTATATTTTAAAAGATTAATTTAGTTAAAAGAATTTTGATAATAATAGAATGCCTACCTCAGCTGCAGCCACAAGTTCATAGAATTCCTGGAGTAACATATTTATCAACAATTTTGTATTTACTACCACAGGCTTCCCAATAGTGAGAGTACCTGTCTTGTCAAATACAACACAGTTCACCTACAAGACAAACCATAAACAGATTCATACGTTGTAAGTATATATATATAATTTTTAGAATAAAAATAAAAATAAAATTCATAAATGTAATTATTTATTAAGTCATCTATTATGAAAATATTTAAAATTATTTATTTAAATAAATTTAATATATTAAAAAATAAATGTAATACTATCATCATGAAAATAGTAAATATTATATTTAATATTATTAAAATTTATGAAGGTAAAAAAAGTAACTCGTGAACTTAGTTAAAAATAAATATTTACAAATTTAAATTTTAATTAGTAAATTTTTTTATTTTTTAAATATATTTTTTATATTTAAAATATAATTTTTTTATTAATTTTAAAAAATAATTTAATAAAAATGATAAACAAAAATATGTCTTTTACTAAAAGATAGTATAATATTTATTAATGATTCTCTAAAAAAATAAGCTAATTCACCTTTAATATTAATCTACTTTTTTTATATATTAAAGATTAGCCAAAATAAATTTACTGTATACAAGACTTTAAAAAATTAAAACCGTACAGTGAATTATGTAGAATGTGCTGTGAGCCTAGAAACATGTTAATAGCTCTACCAGAAGTCATTTCATGTTACTTCCACCTCCATTGACAAAGCAAATCTTGAATTTGAGTAGCTATGTTATTGTCTAATGGGAAATGCTAACCTTATGAGCATTTTCTAATGCTTGACCTCCTTTAATCAGTACACCCTGAGATGCACCTACTCCAGTGCCAACCATAACAGCAGTTGGTGTTGCTAAACCTAAGGCACATGGGCAAGCTATGACCATGACAGAAATTCCAAACTGCAAAGCAAGCTGAAAACTGTCCATGGACGATGGTATCCAAGACTTGGGGTAAGCATGAAATCTTCCAGCTAGATACCAAGCAAGCCACGTTGATAAAGAGATTAAAATAACCTACAAAAAGAAATCCTTTGAATGTGAATAGTAGTGTACTATATAAACATAAGGATTTAATTAAAAAAAAAGTTATCAGAAAAATAACTTGTAAAATTTCATATAATATATAACTAACTACCAGAGGCACGAAGTATTTGGAAATGCGATCAGCAAATTTCTGCACAGGAGCCTTGGCCATCTGCGCTGACTCAACAAGTCTAACAATCTGAGAAAGAGCACTCTCTGATCCAACCCATGTAGCCTTAAAATGCAACACTCCATTCTCATTCACAGTTCCTCCAATAACAGTGTCGCCTTTCCTCTTTGCCACAGGACGTGCTTCACCAGTTATCATGCTCTCATTCACGTGGCTTTGACCCCAAATAACAAGTCCATCAGAAGCTACTTTTGCACCGGGAACAACTTTAATCACATCATTCTTTTGAATCAACCTGCTATCAATTTCTTCTTCCCCAACAACATTTCCTTCACTGTCCAGTGTCAACAATATAGCAGTATCAGGTGTCAAGTTCATGAGCTTGGCAATTGCATCGGATGTCTTCCCCTTGGCCAAAACTTCAAGGTACTTCCCCAACAAAATAAAAGAAATAAGCATAGCACTAGTCTCAAAAAAATCAGTACCCTTGAAATCTTGTGCTGTAGCAGCTCTCAGGACTGAATATACTGAATAGAAATATGCTGCATTTGTCCCCAGAGCAATCAAAACATCCATGTTAGGAGAACCATTGCGCAATGCTTTAAAAGAACCAGAGTAAAATCTCTTGCCTATAATAAATTGCACTGGTGTAGCAAGCACCCATCTTAAAACTTCCCCCACTGTAAGCATGTTCACAACTTTGGCATCAAGTCCATGCTTTATTCCGGGGATATACATAAGCACCATAGAGGTTAGAAACACAGGCACAGTAAAAACCAAACTCCATAAGAAGGATCTATAGTATTGCTTAATTTCCTCCCTCCTATGACTATTTCTTCTTCCTCCTTCTTCAGGGAAAATTTTGGCCCTGAAACGCCTAGACCCGGTTTCTTGAATCACATTAATGAAATTTCTTGGTCCAATCATGTCAGGTTTATAAGAAAGAGATACTTTGTTCAATTCAGGACTTGTTTCTACACCTTGGACCCCTGGAAGGGCATGGAGAGAATTTTCAATGATTCTCATGGAATGACCAGTTCTTACACCTTCAATCTGAAGGTGTATTTTGCTCATGTCTTCACCTGTGCTAATGAGTGTGGCTTCAAAACCAGCGTCTTGTATTGCTTCCAATATTTGATTGTAGCTAACAACATTTGGAGTGTAGTGAACTTCAGCTTCCTCAGTTGCTAGAGCCACTTGGGCTTTGACCACTCCTTGAATAGATTGCAAAGCAGATTCAACACTTGAGGAACATGAGGTGCATGTCATTCCTTGGATTCTTAAGCGGCATGCCTGAACAGATGTCTCATTTGTGTCATTTGTGACTAATGTCGCTTCAAATCCCGCATCTTCAATGGCCTCACGAATGGTCTCCTCCTGATTAAGAATAACATTGAGACATCAAGAACCAAGAGAGCCAAGTAAATCAGTGAAAATTAGTCTTCTAAAGTCAACAAACATAGTGAAATGAAACCCATAATGAGTTAACTTATTTTTGTCACCTTACTGATAGAGCTTTTAAAAAATATGCCACTATTTTTCTAAATTTAACCGTTTCTAAACATGCACTAAATCTAACGATACAAGAGCAGGAGAAACTATGAGTAAGCAAAAGCGCAATTTCTGATAGTTAAAAATGAAGAGAAGCCATATATATAAGGTGAGACAACATGTTTAACAGAGTATTCATGCGAGAAATTTATGATGCCTTAACTAAAAAGTCAAGATAATATAAGTGAGAAAAGTTTAAGAATTTAAATCTAACTACACGTAACCCGGCACGTTGCGTGATCAAATTAAAAAAAGTTATTTTGTAACCTTGTTTGATTAAAAAGCTTGCGTCAATTTACTTACAATGAATATTATCTGTTTGATTACACAAATGGATATCATCCGAAAAATTGATTTACTGGTTTTGTGTAATAAAGGTAAAGTGATATGATTTGTTTAGGTTTAAGACACAAAAGGAAAAATGTTTATTCTCAGAGCATCTTTATTTGTGCTCTTTATTTTTAAGAAAATATCTTATAGAGACCTCTTAAAGTCTTTATACCCTTTATATGTATGAATAAAAATAAATAAATAAAATATATATATATATATATATATATATATATATATATATATATAAAATAAATAATGTGATATAATAAAAAGAGAGAAATAAGGAAAGATAAAGAGTGCTAAATGTATATTGATACTAGTTGAATGCTTATAAATCAAAGTTGTTCTTTTTATTGAAACAAACAAATAATAGTAATAATAATTAAAAACTCACTTTTCTTAGTTATGGAACGTTACACGCTACGGTTTCTATGCGTGTCCAACAAAAATTTTACCACAGTGAATATAAATTAACAATCAACAGAAAATTTAGAACTAAACGTTGAGAAGTGAGAATCAAGTAATGATAAAAAAAAATGACAAATTTTTTAAAAAGGAGAAGAATCTTTGATAGGGTAAAAATGCGAAGAACTTATGTAATACGCAATTAATTATATTGCATTTAGAAACAAAATAATAGCAAAGCTTTGAATACAATGAACTAATAAATGAAAAGAGTCGAAACGTAAAATTGAACCAGAAAGTGACACCATATATTGTATACCTAACTAACACCACTCCACCGCTCGCCATACACGAAATCAAAACAAGCATTTCACGCAGAAACCCACCCGAAATGAAGGAGACTCAAACTTGTGACAATGGAAGCAGTAGTATATACGGCTCTTAAAAAGCAACCCTTAAATAAGTTTCTTTTTATCTTCATAAATGTTGCTGTTTTTAAAATTAGCTTTTATAAAATAAATTGTTAGTATTTAATTAGGGAGCATTTTAAAGAGTTTAAAATTTGTCTATAAAAATAATTTTTTGATTCTCATAAATTCTTTTTAACGTTCTTTAATAAAATCAACATAGCTTAACAACATAAATTATTTTAATACAATTTATAGTTAAAAATTATATAAATTTTTATTTAAAAATACTTATTAAATAAACATTTAATTAAATTGTATATTCAAATGTATTTTTACTTTCGAAAATTTCAGAGGTAAAAAATTAATTTATTTCATAAAATAAATTATAAAAAAAATTGTTGAACCCACCCTTTAAAAATAGGTTTAAATACCTAAAACTAACGAGTTATTATTGAAATATATATATATATATATATATATATATATTTATCAGATGAAATTAACGAATATAATAAATATTTAAAAAAAATAAAAGAGTATCACTTTTGAAAGTTGAAATTCCAATAAGAATCAAAATAAAAAATTTTCCAAAAAAAGAAGATACATAAGATGCATGATGGAGAATGATGGTATGGTATGTAACAGTGTCATGGATAGCATACTTACGTTAACGAAGGAAGGGTAGAAGAGGACTTGGGCTCGGTTGTTGAGAGCATCAACGAGGGCTTCGTGAATTCCGGGAAGGCGCTTAACGGCTTTCTCGACCGAGGCAGCGCAGGCGGAGCAGGTCATTCCGGTGACGGAGAAGAGTGCTTTTGCCATAACCATATCGGTGTTGGCTTCTTCTACAGTGACGCCTCTGGGGTACCTCGGCATGGAAGGGTAGTGAGGTCGCGGCGATGCCACATTTCGCAAGCAACCAAACGCTAAAAACTTGGTTCCCATCTTCAACTCCATTAACACTCAACAACAATACCACCGCTAAGCCTCTTATAGAAAACGACTTCCACCCTTTTACGCCTCTTTTTACCATTTCCGTTATGTTACAATACATAGAAATATATAAATTTATTTCTTTTTTATTCTTTTATCTTTTATTGTTTGCTTTTATCTTTATTATCGATTACAATTTTTTATCACATTTTCTGTTGCATCTTTTTTTAAAAAAAAATTTCACCTGCTTAAGAATTATTTTTATAATTTTACGTAATTTTTTTGCATTGTATTGGCATTTTTTTAATATCTAATCTTTATTCTTTTACTTATTTTTGAAAAAAAAAACGATATAGTGTAATTCTAATTTTATAAATTATATTAATTTAATAATACTTCTATAATTTACAAAAAGTTTACTGATTTGTTATAATTCTTAGTATAATAAATGAGATAGTGACTTATGTTCTGATGTCACTTGTCACTTTTTAATATTCATAAATTTAATATGATATCAAAACACCCCCTTTTTTTTTACATACCGTATCGTTTAGTTACTCTCACACTCTTTAAAATATGAAGTTTATTTTATTTTTATTATTTTTCGTGCTTTGTCAACCCTCCAATATCTTCATATCATTTTCTTACAAATTCAATAATCTTTTTGGTTGTATTTTTCATTCCAATTGCATTTTTTTTTCATTTTAGCCACTGTTGTTTTTAATGTATTCAAATAGTATCTTACTATCATCATTATATTATTTTGTTTTAAAGTGTTTGCTGTACCTTTTTTTTTGCTCCAAATTTAGAAGTTGTTAACCTGAGGAGAAATATTAGAATACATTAAAATATCTAAAATTATTTCATTTAATTTTATCATATCTTAATTTATCTTCTGCAATTATTTTTCTTATTTTCCCATTATCTCTTAGAAACTAGTTATAATATTTTCTTATATTATTGTGATTTGTTTTCTTAATTAGTTAGTTTTTTATTTTTTATTTTTTTGTTGCAGTAGTTAGGATTGTTAGCATACGTAGGAGATAGTGATTTATGTTTTGTTATTGTAAAAATATCCGAATGCATTGTAACACATCTGAAAAGTATATCTCTTCTGTCCTTCTTTCTGTTTTATACTTAAAACATTATAATTTCAATATTGATTCAAAAAGATATTATAGCATAATAATTGTATTGATTTAGCATAATTCGATGTAGATGAAATATGACTGGAATGAGTTTTTTTTTAAGACACTTTTTAAACAATTATAAACATTTTTTTAGAAAATAAGTTAAATAAAATAACAAGAAAAAATAAGTTTATAAATAACATAATATAAATAGAATTATAAAATATACACACAATCAATTCAAAATGATTTTTCTACAAAATTAAAGATCAAATAAGTCATTATTTAAAATTAAATTAAGATATCATATTTCCCTTAATAATATTTTAACCTAATATATAACAATAAATATTTTCACAGTTAAATTTTATATTATTGTGTACCATATTTAAATTTCATTTAAGAGGGATAATTTGTTGATTGCACGAGTAAGTTGGGGATACTTAACTAGTTAATCATTTATAATAGTACAAAATTAACAAATATAGTTGTTATAATAATTATGCGTATAAGATTTTAGATAAATTAAATATTAGTAAGTACTCACCTATATACTTTAATTATCTATCAAAATATTTTATAATTTGTTGACTTATAATTATGATTATGAAGCTTGTCTCATTTATATATTTGTAGACAATCAAGATGAATATTGATTGGAAACCTTAATTCACTTTTCTTAATGATTTTTATATTATGGGATTAGTTTTTTTTTTAGTGATTTATCTATTATTATAAAATTAAGACTTTAGCCTTTTTAAAATTTGTTTACTTGTAAAAAAAACAAAAGAAGCTTAAACATTTCTTTTCACCATTAACATTACTTGTATTTCATATATATATATATATATATATATATATATATATATATATACAATTTTGTTATTATAATTAATACTTATTTATAAGTTAGTTTTTATGTTTTAAAAAAATCAAAATACTTTTTTTATTGTTCCAACATTGTTAAGAATATAAATCAAAACATAACAAAACACTACTAAAACGTAAGTTTTTTAAAAAAATATATGAATTAATTCATAGAAGAATGCTGCCTATGGAGACAAAAATAGGTGACTCTATTTACATAGTCTATAGAACTTTACCTTGTTTAAGTAATAAATTTAATTTAAATTATTAAATAAATTATAGTTGAACTTATTGAAAAGGTTATTAAAACTAATAGATTGATCTATTTAAAATTTATAAAATATATTAAATATTTTTATGCAAAAATTATAATATAACGTTATATTAAATAAATTAATAGAAATACTAATATTTTTTTGTTAAAGTTAGAATGTTCCTATACGTGCCTCTAAGAAAGAAATTGCTCATTGTAATATTTTATTTTACTGTTATTTGATGTATTTTTTTTATTAATAATCTTATATTTTATTTTAGAATGATATGGTTATTTATATATTTTAGATTTTTTTGTTATATTTATTAATTTTAAGTTTAAAACTTATTTAATTATATTGTGCATGTTTATTAATTTAAACTGTGAAACTTATGCTATTAAATTAACTTAATAATTTATAGATTAATATTCATTCAATTGTGTTGGTTGTATGATTAATAATTTACTTATTTAAATTAAATATATAGTTTGAAAGTGATAAATAAAAATTTATTTTATTATAAATATTAAAAGTATGAAACTTTTTTTTATGACTTATTTAAATATAAACATTTAATCTCTACAGAATTATGTCTATTTAAATAGTTTAATAATTTATTTATAAAAAATTATAATAACTGTTAAATGTCTCAATATAAAAGATAATTAAAAATACTCTAAATCAAATTTTTAAAAATGTTAAACTAAATTTAATACAAAATTATGATAGATATTAAGTCAAATTCATGCTTTAAAATTATTAAATATAATATATTTATTTATGTAAAGTCTAAATTCTAAAAATAAAAAAATTGATAAATTTATTAAAAATTATATGTGAAATAAAAAATTGTAAAATTTTAAAGGACTTAAAAATTTATATATACTTAAGTCAAAATTATACAAAATTATACATACTGATATAAAATTTTTATTAGTTTGATAAATAGATATATTAATAAATTTTAATTAATAAAAAAATAATTAATGAAAATTTAAGTCGATATAATAATAATAACTTATTTATATTGTTATAAAATAATATAAACAATACATTATCATAAAAAAAGTATAAAATAATGTAGTATTTATTCTAAAACAAATAACAATATAAAATAATAGTATTAGTGTTAAATATATTATAATTTTTAAATGAACATATAATAACAGTTTAAACGAAATAAATAAAAAATACTTCATTGATGTGAAAGAATTAAAACACTTTTGCATATAATTTATATTATATCCATAAATTTGACTTCTTTAAAGAAGGAAATACACTTTAAATACTATAATAAACTTATAATTATTGGTTATAAAAATTATTAATTGAGATTAATAGTAACTTGTCGGAATTTTTAATCATTAAAACAATAATATTATTTTATGTCTTTGAAATAAAACGTAGATGTGGGCCATGAAATTTCTTTGACTTGATGATAGATTAATTTCACGAAAAGGTCGAAAAGAACAGACAAAATGGAGAAATAACAAAGTTAGCTGTGAAAAATAAAAAGTAGTGTGATGTAAATCAGTCTCTGACTAAAGAGATTTTTTAATGTTTTATAATCGCTGATTGCTATGTAACGTCATCACGAACATACACACAATTGTAAAAAATTTAAATTATAAAATGTGACGTAGTTTATCATTAATTAATTCCACATTCATGATTCAAACGTAAAATGACTACGTTCATTGAATATGATAAAATCATTTAAAAATTATTAAATACAATTAAAACATGTAAAATTGCACTGAATTATATATTTTATTGAAATGTTTTTTTTTTAATTAAAAAAGTCAATTTTGAAGTGAGAGCATAAAAAATGAATTCGAGAGGTAGTAGATTGCTATAAAAGCCTATCAACATGGGCAACTACCCTTGCCCAATAAAGCCCCATTGTACATATATTTGGGCTTTATGGATCTTATATGAGCTCGTCTTGCTAGTTCACTTCTTTGAGGGCAACTGAAAAAATGAAATATCAAACACAAGATCATTTATAGTCATAAATATGTTTATATTTTAATAAATGATCCAAATAGGTCACTTATCACAACCACTATTTATGTACACTACAAGCAGCACCATCCATCGTCAAGTCTCCTCTACTAGAGTTCAAAGTGAGAAAAATTAATGAACAATACAAAAAATAAATGTATGTTACTTTGTGTGGATATATAAAAATGAATCCTTTATATATACTATAAATTATCTCCAACTTCTGTGTTTATAAATAATTTTGCGTTCATTTAATTTAAAAATAAATAAAATAATCTCACTATAAATTTATTTCAAGTTATCAAATATGATTAAAGGGTATACACAAATTTTTCTAAATCAATTATTTATATTAAAACAAATATTTTTATTAAAAATATAAAATTAATCTTCTAACCCATATAACAACAAATAAGGCCTTCATGTTTATTGTAGTTTGCAATTCCAACACGAGGGAGGGTCCACTTAAGTGGATATATAAAAGGATAGAAAGTGGAAATGAGAGTGAGAGTGAGGAGGATAGCCACCAACCACTAACCAAAGCTGCTAGCAATCTGCACCCTTTTTCAACTTAAGTGGTATGTTTCGGATCTTTCGTATATTTTCTTTGCAGTTATTAAAGTTGTAATGATTACTTAATTGATTCGGATACTTTCTTTTGATTTCAATTTCAGGAATATTTGTTTACTCCCAATCTGTCAAACTTCTAGAAGTTGACTTTATAAACAACATGCTCCTTATGCCATTTTAAAAGAATTGAGTGTTAGTATAGATAAAAACTCTGTTTTATTGTAATACAAATTCAGACAATAGAGATAGCTCAGCTTATGGATTTCCTGATTGGGTTTCCTTAAATTTGACTTGGAAGATGCTGCTTGTACTTTACAGTTTGATCTTTTTGAGATACCCAGCATGCAATTCAATGATTGCCAAGTTGGTTGTAGTTTAGCAAACTTAGATATAGTTTGTATTACCTTCTCGATAAGTAACATAAGAAATACATTAAACTTAAGATGTATAAGTTAATTTTAGTTTATGATTGAAGTTTAATTTGTTTTACCTCTTTATTTTCTTATCATATAAATACTTCTTAAATAAGAATCACTTTTATACCACGAAGCATCCTCAGTATGGAGTTTATTATTTTTAGTTAGCTACAACATGTACATATTTAATATATGGAAAGTATGTTGTTTGGTAATCATGGGACACATTACTAAAATTATTTTATCTGTCTTCATTCACTTCCATGACCAATTATTTAGATGGAAGAAGAGAGCCAAACAACAAAAGGAAAATATGCTGCGAATATTTCCTCCATAAAAGAAGCGCATGCCCGAATAAAATCTATGGTTCTTAAAACTCCAGTTCTGTCCTCCAGCTCTCTGAATGCTATATCAGGAAGGCAGCTCTACTTTAAATGTGAATGTTTCCAAAAGGGGTGAGAAATTCATATTTTATGACTTGCACAAAATTTAGGATGGTATGTTTCATCTTTTTTCTTTTTTTGAGCTATTGTTGTACTTTACATTGTATCACACTTGTGTAGAAAATAAAGAAAAGATGATAATACACTTCATTCTGTATTCTATGGCCATCAGTGGAGCTTTTAAATTTAGAGGTGCCTGCAATGCTGTCTTCTCTCTTAATGATGAAGATGCTTCCAAAGGGGTTGTAACACACAGCAGGTTTGCTATGCGCTGTAATTATAGAACTTTTTTTAATCAGATTCTGTAAAGCTCTTCTGATTGTGTTATACAAATTCAGTGGAAACCATGCTGCAGCATTGGCCTTGGCAGCAAAACTTAGAGGGATCCCTGCATATATTGTTATTCCAAAAAATGCACCAGCCTGCAAAATTGAGAATGTAAAGCGGTATGGGGGTCAAGTTATTTGGTCTGAGACCTCTATTCAATCGAGGGAAGAAATTGCAAACAAAGTGTGGCAAGAAACTGGTGCTATCTTTGTACATCCGTATAATGATGGGCGCATATTGAGGTGAAATGTTGATAGATTCATTTTTTTTTCATGGCAATTTACCAATTAGATCATGTAGTGTAGAAGGTAGCATTTGGCTGTTTTGGCTTTTCTTCTTAAAAGTAGAAGCTCCTTCAATTAGCATCGCTCTGTTTATTTATTTTTATGCACCTTGCTATAATTCATTAACACTCATGCATCTAACATCTATATCTTCTATTAGACTACTACTCTTCAATCTTTGTTTCTCAATTCTGAATTGATTGCTGAGCTGTAAGATCCATGATATCATGTCATTGTTTGTTACGTTCAACTTGAAAAACTTGACATGTTACATAGGCTAATGCTATGCAAATTGGTGACTTGCACACAATTGCACTTTAAACATGTTTGATTGTTCTTGCAGTGGCCAGGGTACCATATCCTTGGAGCTTTTGGAACAAGCCCCAAAAATAGATACACTAGTGGTACCCATAAGTGGTTTGTTCACTTTTTGTTATAAAGTTGTCAGCCAAAATGTTTAAAAGTTTTCAATAGTCTCAGTATCTGCTTCCTGATTTTCCAACAAATGAAAATTGCAGGTGGTGGTTTGATATCAGGAGTAGCACTGGCTGCCAAGTCCATCAACCCAGCTATTCGGATTTTTGCTGCTGAACCTAAAGGAGCGGATGATGCAGCACAATCTAAAGCAGCTGGGAGGATAATCACATTGCCTGAGACCAATACCATAGCTGATGGACTTCGAGCATTTCTTGGAGATTTCACATGGTAACAAAATCTCTAGTATGCAACAGTATGATGAACTAAAAATGAAGTTTTTGCTATTTTTTTGTTCTTTTCTTCTATTTATCATTATTTTCTTAAGGGGTCGGTTTTTAACATAAATTTAATTGAAATACAGTGGCAATAAAAGTTTTTTATACTATCATTCAATTATAGATTGTTATATAATTAAAATCGCCAAATTTTTTGTGATAAATTAAATCATATCTAACATGATTTCTAAGTGGTTGATAATAAACTTTTTTAACATTCCTCTTGTCACATTTACTTTTATGAGTTTATCCTTCTATTGATTTGTCAATTTTACTTATTCACCATGTTATAATGGAGCAGGCCTGTAGTAAGAGATCTTGTTGAGGACATTATAACTGTGGAAGACAGTGAAATAATAAAAGCCATGAAACTGTGTTTTGAAATTCTTAAGGTTGTTGTAGAACCAAGTGGAGCAATTGGCCTTGCTGCTATTCTATCCGATACTTTCCAGAAAAATCCTGCTTGGAAGGATTGCAACCATATAGGAATAGTTGTTTCAGGAGGCAATGTTGATCTCGCCATGCTTTGGGATTCTTTGAACAAATGAAACTGTCTTCTTTTATTTTGCTTATGCGAACCTTCATTGCTTTTAATATGAATGTTATTTGATTAAAGGATCTAATTCATGTGGATAAGATTATTCCACTGCTCTAGTTAACTTGTTGGGTTGAAATCCTTAATTGTCAAGAATTATTTAAACCTTTTTTTTTTTTCATATTTTAAGTTACTAATAAAGCTGATATTAACTTAATCAGTGTATAGTGGAAGCAAACAAGGGAATGAGTAGTGTGCTTCAATTCATGGCAGCTTAATATTCCTATTTAGAATTTTTTTTTACAATTTTATATTTTGTTTCCATAAAAAAGTTATAAATTTTACACCATTCAATTAGTTAATATATTTCACTTGTGATAAGAAGTTTTTATTATCTTTTAGAAGTGACATTATATAATTTACAAAAAAGTAAATTAAATTTACAAGTTCAGGGCTGGCCCTTCAGCAAATTTTTTTCCTTTTTATATAAAGTTCTCCATTCACATACTTATATCCCTCCACCAGAAAAATTTCTATTTTGGAACAAGTCAGCGAAAATTAACATGGAATAGGATGTGAAGAAATCTCATCTGTGTAGTTTCTATTCCCCTGGTCCTTGGAAGTGCTCATTCCCAGGGTGATTGCTCTTTCTTAATAAAACAATTAATTAAACAATCACCATGAGAAGTTGTTATTATTATTATTATTATTATTATTATTATTCAAATTGATATATATATTTTTATCATGTAATGGAATTGTTTGTCAGTAAATTTTAAAATTAAAACATATACAAAGAAAGTATGAATTTGAAACAAATACATTGATGTTTATAAATAAATAGATAAAAAAAAGAAAGAAAGAAAATTAAATTGAAAGCACAAAATAAACTTGTGGATACATGGAAAGGAATCAAAACAAATTGCAACAGACCCATCCATTAATTTCTCCTCCAAGTTCTAATCTTCATCTACTATCTTAGTCTTCTCCAAGTTCCACCTCTCGTGCTCCAAAAAACAAGGATCTTCATTCGTTATTTTCTCTCATATAGTTTTCATTAAGTCTGTTACTCTCATTTTTCAATCTTTATTGCTCTCCTCGCTTTCCTTCAATTACATTTTCCCAAGGTGTTTTTCTCTCGTTGTTGCCAAAATGGTATGCTTTCTCTCTTTCCCTTCTTGTATACTTGTTCTTGGTTTTATGAATAATCTTGAAGAGAAGCCCTCTTCTTACTTTTCCAACTTCTAGGGAAAAATTAAATAAAAATAGACTATAGTAGTATATAACTTTTGATGCAACATCTTTAAAAGAACATTCTTGTGTAACTACTGAAAATTCACATTTCATAAATTAGAATGGTTTTAGATGGAGAATAAATTCAGGCTTCAGAGATCTTAAAAATCTATTCTATGAAATTTCGCTATTTTAGAGGTTGCATGGCTCTTCAAACTCAACATGTTATTCTAGCATTTGCGTTTAAATCACTTTTTCAGCTATCATTATAATTGGAAAGTGTATGTCATTGCACAACAATTTATTAGCTTAGTGATTGAAATCTTAAGTTCATGACATTAAATTTTGGGGCAGGCAAATGCAGCATCCGGAATGGCTGTGCATGATGAATGCAAGCTGAGGTTTCAAGAACTTAAAGCAAAGAGGAGCTACAGGTTCATTATATTCAAAATTGAAGAACAACAAGTGGTGGTTGAGAAATTAGGGGATCCCATGGAAAATTATGACAACTTTATGGCCAGTTTTCCACCTAATGAGTGTCGCTATGCCGTCTATGATTTTGATTTCACAACTGATGAGAATTGCAATAAAAGCAAGATCTTCTTCATCGCATGGTACTTAATTTACATGCATACACTAAACATTGTTTTGGTTGAACTACGTACTCACCACAATATGTAACCTTACAAATTATTTATTTTAATTCAAATTTATATGTTTTTACAATGATACAAGACAATTTAAATCAAGAACAACGTTAGCAACTCTTTCTGTGGTTGGTCATATTTTTAAAAATCAAAATATTTTTCAGAAACAAATCAATTTATTAGTCACATACTTAATATTTTAAAAATAATTTTGTTATCCTTAACTTTAAAGAATTTAAGCATTTAAAAGTGGTAAATGTTTTATAATTACTACTTTATTTTTATTTAGAAATATTATTTTTTATGTTTAAACTCATTCTTTAATATTAAAATAATTTGTTAACCTAAATAATATCGTATGTGATATAATATTTTTTTTATTAAAAATTGTAACATTTAGTCATATCAATGCATTGAATTATATTATCTTTTGTAAATTTTAATAATTAATTATTATATATAATTTTTTTATCTTGTATATATTGAAAAATAAGATTAAAATTAGCAGAATTATTTTAAAAAATAGATTAATCAGAGATAATATATTGACTAGCAGTTATCTTTAAATGAAGGATTTGATTGTTGTGTAAATGATATGTGGAGTGCAGGGCACCAGATGCATCAAAGGTGAGGATGAAGATGGTGTATGCAAGTTCCAAGGATAGATTCAAGAGAGAATTGGATGGAATCCAAGTTGAACTGCAAGCAACAGACCCAAGTGAGATGAGCCTGGACATTGTGAAAGAGCGAGCTCTCTAAGCCCCTTTTATTGTTATATTAGCTCTCTTTCTCTGTTATGGATTAATTCCTAAGTATTGTTTTGCCTATTGTAGCTTTGATTCAAAAACCAGAATCCAAAATGCCATATACTCTACCTTGTATTCAATCCTAGTTCAATTTTCTAGTAATCTTGGATTCATGGCTTGTTTGAAGGGCCATCTGTAATGATGGGTTCAAATTTAGTAACATCTATTATATAAAGGTTGGTTCTCTACCAAGTTCCCAATTTGATCACTTGATTTTCATTTAAGGGTGGTTTTCATGCAGCTCCCTAGCTACTCAAAGAATGATCACACTGATATATGCCTAATGTCCCTACATTCTTCTACGTGATTAATGTCTCTGTTTTTTTATATTACTTTTTTTAAAGTAAATGGTGCTTAAATGATTTTATTAACATCAGAATATAGTGTTTGATGGGAATATTTTAACTGTAATCATTTTATAAGAACACCATACTAATATATCAATATCTCACTCCATCTGTCGGATGACAAAATTGGATTTTAAGAGTGCTAAAATCAACATAACTAATACAAAACTAACTGTAAATAATTTTATTATTTAAATATTAAATATATAATATTGCATAAGATATTATATATGATTACATTTATTTATTTTCTATGTATATGTCTTAAAAGTATTTGTTTTTATAAAATTGATATATAAAAACACTTTTGATATAAGAATGTGCACTCCCATAACATAGACGGTTATATAAATAGTTGACATAATTGTAAAAAGATTTTTTTTTAAATACAATTTAAGCATAGATTTTAAAAGAAATTTCAATGATTTCAATTTTTCTTTTGTTAAATGAGTTAAAAGAATTGTCAAACACATTTATTTATTAACAAAATTTGTATGATTTATTAAATGAGATTTGAACTCCCACTTATATTTTTGGGGTGGGCAAAGAAATTATAAATTACTCACAGATATATATTTTTTGGTATGGTAAACTTTCTTACGTATAAATTAATTTTTTAAGTATAATTTTTTTTTTACTTTTTTTAATGATTATCTAAACAAATTTGGTGGAATTTTTTTTATTTTAAAAATTTGAAAAAATAAAATAATCTCAAACACTAAATTGCATTTAACGAAATTATAATTATTATAGACAAATATTAATTAATACTTTAACAGCAATGATTAAAAGTTTAAAATTTAAAATTTTGTTAATATATTTCTTAATTTTAAATATAAGTTTTAACTTAAGTTTTAATAAAAAAACATATATTAATATTTTAACTAAGGTAGAAGACTCATTATTATTTTCTTCTCATTATTTTTAGTTTTAGTTTTTATATTATTTTTTCAATCTATATACTATTATAAATAATAAGAATTTATATATAATATTTTTTTTATAAAAATTATATAATTAAATCTAAATTAAATCAATAAATTAATACTATTAAATATTGTAATTTTTAATGCTTATTATTTATTATATATACTTTTACATAGAAAAAAAAAGGTTTTAAAAATAGCGGTAATTTGCAGTGCACCCCTTCCTTGTCTAGGGTTTAACGATCAATACACACATACTGTTGTGCTAGCGCCTCTCTCTCTCTCTCACTCACACACACACATCGCATGTGAATGATGGAGGAACCTCCAATTTCAGTTTCAGAAACAGCATCACCATCATCATCATGCTGGAGCAACGTCGTGAAGAAGCAACCACCTCCTCAAGAGCCCCTTCACGCCGACCGAGTCTTGGAGGAGACCTGCAAATCCACCAATTCTATCTCACTCGCCGTCGTCGATGCCAACGCCGTCATTGAATCCGGCGAAAAGCTTCACGGCCTCGCTGACAAGTTCGTCTCCGTCCATGAAGTCATGGAAGAAATCCGCGACCCTGTTTCGCGCCACAAACTCTCCTTCCTTCCATTCTCTATACAAACCATGGAACCCTCTCCTGAATCCATCAACAAAGGTATCCCCAATTTTCCAAACTCTTAATTATTGTGGTATCTAACATCTCTTGAAATTTTTTATTAGAATTAATTCTAACTTGAAATTATTTTTTTAATTAATCAATGGGACATTGTAGTTATCAAATTTGCTAGGGCTACTGGTGACCTACAAACTCTTTCTGATGTTGATATCAAGCTCATTGCTTTGACTTATACATTGGAGGCTCAGATTCATGGAACGAAACATCTCAGGGACACCCCACCTCCTGTGCAAATGCTAAATGTGAAGAGGTTGCCTGAGAAGGACATGCCAGGATGGGGTAACAATGTGCCTAATTTGCAGGAGTGGGAAGCGTTAGAACACGAAATTGAGGGGAATTCCAATTCCAGGATTCTTCCTCTGCAGGACTTGAACTTGAACATTGTTTCTCAAGATGACAATTCCGTTGATGGTTCTGTGGAGCGGGAGAGTGAAACTCCTTTGGGAATTCAAGAGGGTGGTGAGCGTGGTTCGACGAAGCCTAGGAGATATCTGCCTAAGAAAAAGGAGATAAACATTGAAGGGAAGACGATGGTGGCTGATGGAATTGATGCATCTCAAGGACAGGTTGATGACGCTGCTGGTGATTGGATGCCTGCTGTTAGTCGAAGTACTCATAGGAGGTATCTAAGAAGGAAAGCTAGACGTGAGTACTATGAGTCATTATCTAGTAATCAAGATCAGCAGGATTTGGGAGAAAACATTGATGATAGTGTTGGTGAAGATGCTAGAGCTTCAGATGAGCTTGTTCATCAAAGGGATGAAGGAAAGGATGTTGAAAATATTGTTTTAGAGGATGATCAGATGACAGAAGGGAACAAAGATAATGAATGTCTCTCTGCAGTTTTGAAGCAAATGAGGCTGGAAGAAGGTTCACCTGAGGTTCTAGACGAAGAACAGAGACTAAGTTTGTCTCCTGAAGAACTCCAGGCAAACAATGCTAGTTTGCTGGAAACTGCATCTGATTGCAATGCAACTATGGCCACTAAGCCATGTGATGAAGATACAGTCAATAACCAATTGAATCACTCGGAGATTGCAAGCCAGGCTAGTGAACCTACTGATTTTTCGTACGCAGACGAGGATGGCAGTGAGCAAAGTTGGATGCTTAGATCTTTGTCTGAATCAAGTGTAGCCTGTGTAACGGGTGACTTTGCAATGCAAAATGTTCTCCTCCAAATGGGTTTGCGCTTGCTGGCACCTGGAGGAACGCAAATACACCAACTGCACAGGTAACTGTCAGAAGTTTCTTTGATATTCACTATGTTATTACATATTACACATCTTTGTTATGTGAAGATAATTTTTGAATGCATGCAATCATTATCGTTTATTGACATCTACCTGTTGCTTCTAATCTATATGATTCCATATTTCCGTTCTGTGTGGCATGATATAACAATTGTATTATATGTGCTTATCTTTTAATTATTTGCATTCCAGATGGATACTCAAGTGTCATGCCTGTTATACTGTTACTGCTGAAATTGGGAGGATTTTCTGCCCTAAATGTGGAAATGGTGGCACCTTAAGGAAGGTCGCCGTCACTGTTAATGAAAATGGTATAGTATTAGCAGCCCGTCGACCACGAGTTACATTACGTGGCACAAAGGTGAGTATATATATGAGATCAATTCGTTTTTCTCATACCTTTTAGTGTGCTAGGTGTGTGTTGTTATTGCAGTCATTGTGATGTACAAGTTTTGAGTCATTTTCTTTTAAGAATTGTTGAATAATGAACACTTAAGTAATAAATTATAGGTTTGGAAATTGGAATCAAAATATGATGCATTTTAGGACTTTTAATTGGTCAGTTTGGATTGAGTTTAGGGGGGAAAAAACCCAAACCAATTGAAATAGAATGGGTTGGGTTTAGTTAATTTGGTTTGCAACCCGAATTGAACTAACCCTGAGAAGAATGGATTGGACTGAGTTGAGTAGTTGGGTCTTAGAAAACCAACAATAAAAGAATCCTACACATGAAATTGTTTATTGTGTGTCATGCACACATGTAACTGTATTTGTATGTGATTTTTTGTGAATCAAAATAATAATAATAATTGTCATCGTTGTCACTGGGTCCATTGGATTGGAGTGAAGGATGACAATCTGATGCCAGCCTGAATTGATCGGTTAACATTTTTGCTAGCTGATTTTACCCAAAAACCTAAATCAACCTGTTCATTTTGTCTTGGGTTTCGTTGCTTGGGTATACCCGACCTGTGAGCACATTGCATATGATACATTTCCTGGAGATTTATAAGACTTAATGGAAATTTTATTCAACAAATTCTAATTGACAGATGTTGATTTTATTTTGTATTAATAATGTAACTCAATAATCATTTTATAAGTAAAAAAAGTCTAGTGGCATATTGCCATTCACAAGATGGGATGATGTATATAATATCCCTGAACCCTGATATACACATTTATTTTTTTTTTATCACTTAGTTCTTGCATTTTAATATGACTCTATGTGCAGTTTTCATTGCCTTTACCCCAAAGTGGAAGGGATGCAGTCACAAAGAACCTCATTCTCCGTGAAGATCAACTTCCTCAAAGGGTACTTTACCCTAAAACAAAGAAGAAATCCAACAAGCAGGTTGTACGTCTGTGTGCTTAAACTACTTATATATAGCTAGTTGATTCATTTTCCATGGGAACATTATGTTCGTTCTTTTTGGTCTCTCAATCAATTCAATTAGTTTCGCACTAACTTGAGCTTACTTAATTACACTTTGTAGGATGATGACTTCTTTACACCAGATCATGTATTTTGCCACCACACAGATAAGAAAGCTCCTTTCCAGCCTCCTATAAGGAAAGCATTGGCGGTGTTCAGTGGGAAGAGAAATCCAAATGACAATCACTTCTCACGCTCAAAGCATAAGTAGTGGATCTCCAAAAGTTTGATTGGCTTTTATTTCCCCACAATTTTGTTTTTATTGCTTGACTTTGAAAGTTACCAGGAAATTTTGCTTAAGTTGTAAAAAACTTGATTAAAAGCGTGTCTTATTGTCTCTAGATATCTGACTATCCCGATTAGTTTATGTGATATATGGAAGAGTGGATGATTTAATTTCATGAGAATGGAACGCTCAAAAGTAACTTTTGGATATCATTTGCCAAGTAGTGCTATATGAAGGCAGCATTAATTTTGAACTTTTGCTGATTGTTGTGCCATTCCATAAAAGCAGGAATTACTCGTTCTTTCTTTTTATTTGTTTGCTTATAAATGAAATTTTGTTTTTTATTTAACTACTTATTAGTTTAAGCCAACATTATAATTCTTTCTTAATCTTGTCTTTATTTGCGTTTAATTTTTAAATATTTTATATACATATTATAAATGGGAGAAAATAATTATAAATTTTATTGTGTTGTTTTTCAAAATAGATAAAAAGAAAACAAGTTAGGACTTTAGACTTACGGCTATGGTTAGTTACTATTTATGAAAAAGAGTAATGGGCACACATTCATTTAATAGCGTTTCGCTCTTTTCTATTAAAATGTGTCTTTCATTTTAAATTATTTTTATACACATGTTTTTAGATGATTATTAATTCTATCAACTCTTATGATAAAATAATCTTTCTTGAGAGTTACTAAATTAAAAGAAAAGGAATTTGAAATAATTTTTTGAATTCTCCGAGTGAGAGTTTTATGGAAGCTTTTTTTTTTTTGTTTTTTCTTACTCTTTCACGATTAGAATTTTATTTTTTTAAAATGATAGTTTTTCAAGTATAATTTTTATAAAAAAATTATAAAAATAAAATATTAATTTTTAGAAAAAAAATATACTTTTTTATTTTTTAAATAAAAAATATAAATAAAAGATGTAAAATATAATAATATCATTTATATAATTAAACCTTCTCTCATCCTTCTCTCTCATTATTAAATATCTAAACAATCGAGGAGTTTAATCTCTTTCCTTTCTCTTCCAAACTCTCAAATAAAGCTTAAGTGAAATATTAAAGAATAAAAGTGTTAACAAAAATAATTAATTTTTTTAAAATAAAAAATATTTATAAATTTAATTAAAGTATATTAATGTAAAAAAAAATTATGATCATTTAATCATTAATTGTGAAGTTATTAAATTTATTAATTATTATATATATTTAGAGTGTTTATCTTTCTAGTTGATAGCGTCGATATATACATTGATAATATATTAAAATTAACTTTATTTTATAATGAATTAAAATTTGTAAAAATGATAGATAGTTTAAGTTGGGAAGTGATAAAAAATTTGTAATAGAGATATTTTTATGATTTTTTTCTATTTCTTTCAATCGTTTATTTCACCTTTTATTTTCTTTTTTTAAAAGAAAAATTGTAGAACCATACTGTACATAAATAATTTATCTTTTGTCTGCTACTGTTTTCAAATCCGTGAATCAAACAGTAGTGGTCTAAAATCTGGTGTACATGCAAAGTTGAAATGTCCCAACCGCTGAGTCAACATTCGCAAATTAATACTACGATTATGATGTGAATTATTTGCATTAATCTAGGCTACTGTGGTCCTCTTCACGGAAGCAAGCGTAGGATGGATCTAGACGTTCAAATTCAAGTGCCACCGACGATTTCTTTGTTTCTACAGAATCCTTGCGTCAACGGCAAGGTCTCCATCACCAAATTCCATTATATGTCACGCAGTTAGTTGCATGAGACATTCTTTAAGCTTTTCTCTGTACATACTAATTCTTATATCTTTACCTCGATTGAGACCTAGCCCGGTTTACGTTTTTGTTAAATTGATTCTTCACATAAAAACAATTAATTTGTTGGAAAAAAAACTATTTGGGCAATATTAAAAAGAATATTTTTTCCATTAACATAGATCATACGCATTGGCTAGAGTCATGCTGCTTTTACTAGAAAACATACAACTAAAATAAAAGATTGGAACAGCCGCAAAGGGACGTTTTCGAAGCGTCCAAAAACCATTATTGAAGTGTTTGGAGGCAACGTGTCTGATCATGGCAATGCCCATCTAACTAGCTTAATCATGCATTGCCCATTGTCCATATAACTGTCCTTTTCATATGTGGACATGAATATGGAGAATAGTAGAGAATTAGAGCAAGTTTGTGCTTAGCCAAAAAGTAAAGCTCTGAATGTGTGAAGGGCCCAAGAGGAGGAATCACCAAAAGCTAAATATTTACAAAAAGAAAAAAATAAAAGGAAAGACAGAAAAAGCTAAATATATACAAAAAGAAAAAATAAAAGGAAAGACGGTTGTCCACCTCAATCTTCTTCCATTCATTTATCAATTTCTGGACTTGGACTTGTCAGCCACCGCTATACAAGGATACCTTAATAATGCATCAAACCCTTTTTTCGAACAATCATATACAGGTGAAAAATAAAATTAAATAGAAAAAGATGAAAAGCAAATCAAAGGGTAAAAGTAAAGTAGTCAGTAAAATATTCTTGGCTATAGGTCTGCTTCAGTAGTGTGTGTTGTGTGTGTTAGTTAGTATAATATTGATTCAATTATGATGAAAGTGCTAGTTCAGCCCAAGCCAAAGATGATGCCTTGAGCTCCACGCTAATGGATGTGACTATTCTGCTCTCAAGCATGCTGCATAATTCTCGCATTGATGGACACGCAGAGGGATCGGGACTGATACAAAGAGTTATCACCTCACATATTACTTTGAGGTCTTCATATCTAAAATGTTTCAACTCAGGATCCACCACATATGACATTACTTCTGGCATTTCAAGATACTCCCTGGCCTGCAGCACATGGGAGTTTAACATTAAAAGACTTGATGCTTCAATGATGCCTTAAAAAAATATGACTTTTTTACATCAACCTTCAAAGTTAATTTTAAGCATTTAAAAATGAAAGATTTTTCTTGAGAAAGAAATCATTTTTATGCTTTTGTATCTCTGACATAATAAGTGGCGGTGCATTTCCTAAGAAAACTATCCATTTATAGTTGGTTAAATTACGCTTTAAGGATTGATGTTAATAAAAATGGGGAAAAAAAAAAAACTATCCAAAATTTCAGGAAATTTCTTACCCAATCCACCAAGTACCCTTTTTCCTTGCAGTATGGAGGTCTGCCACTGATAATCTCCAGTAGTAGTATTGCAAAGGCATAAATGTTTCCTTTGGTATCAAGATGGCGTGCTTCAAGGGAGTTTGGTAGAAGACAAACAGCACCTTGGCTGCTAACAGAACCAGAATTTTTTTCTGATCTTTCAAGAATTGTCTTCCAACTTTCAAAATCAACCAGCTGCAATTTAAGGTTCATTACAATGAGAAAATAACATACAGTTGCATGTTAAATGACTCTTATCCTCATTCTTCGCTGCAATATGATACTCAACACAATCATAATAGGCATGTTAGAGAAAACTTAAACTAGGTAGCATGCACACCTTAGGGGAAAAATCTTCTGTAAGGTATACAGCATTGGAATTCAACTCTGAGATAGTGAATGGCGGCTCAATTTCAGTGTGCAAATACTTGAGTCCACGTGCAATGCCAATGATAATTTTCATACGCCGTGTCCAAGACAACTGGCACCCTTCTCCATCTGCACCCGTGATTTTATTCATGTTTCAAGAAACTGAAACACAATAAGATACATATGCCAAGATACCTGAGCTAAGAAATGTGACTTACAACAATGTAGGTGTTCATAAAGTGTCCCATTTGACGCATACTCAAAAACCAGCATTCTTGTAAATGGAGTGCTCTCTCTACAATATCCTAGAAGCTTTCCCGTATTATCGTGATTTAACCTTGCCAAGTCTGCCACCTGAATTGCATCAATAGCAGAAAAATTTACAGAATTGTTTAATTATTTGTCAAATCTTGCACACTGTAGGCATTGGAATGTTTCATTTACCTCTCTCTGAAAATAGAGATCAAGGTATCCTGTCCAATTCTCTTCCTTGATGCAGAGGGAAATTACAGCAATCTCAGGCCCACCTTTCATTGTACCCTTGTAGACCACACTATCTGGTGAGGACCCAATTATGTTGCTGAAATCTTCACAGGCCACTTCAAGCTCTTGTCTACTATACCGCATCACATCCTTCAACATCTCAGAGTCTGCACAGTGATAATGCTGAATATGAAGAAAACAGCTACACAAAATATTAATAAGTAAATATATACACATTAAAAAGCAGAGAAACCGAACCTATATATATTGCAGTATGATCTTTTTCGCTTGCAGATTTTTTCCATGGAATAATGATAGATGATTTGTTGTTACACCTCTGGAATGCAGTTAGAATGGCTATCAGAAAGAGAGAACCCACCATGGTTCCTGTCACTATTTCTAGAGCTAAAAGCCAAGTAGGTTTTGATGCTCCATGATCCTTGGACAAATGTTTAGTCACAGGTTGATTTTTTGGATTCATTACTGAACGGCCTTGGGCAGGTGAAGCACCAGCTATTATGTAACAGTTCATTATTAGATGTCAAACAAGCAATGAAAATCAATCATAAAGAAAGAGTATGTCATAGTAAATGGATCAAATATTTACTGGGTTCACAAAAGTTTGTATTAAATTTGTTAAGGGAATCAAGTGAAAGCTACTTTACAATGAAGCCTAGATTAAGCTCATTCCATCTCCTCTGTATGAACCAAATTTATGGCAAGTTGAGCAAGATACACCCAAGTTCATGCCTTATATTTTAAACGATAAAAACATCATGTCCTACATACCACATTGCAGAGAAGTCCGCTGTTTTACGCCTTTGGTGTGGAGGCAATTCCCTTGAAAGCTTGATCTGCACGACAGAGTTTATGTTACCTAAGAAAGGAGGCTGACTAGAATTCCAACATGACAAGAAGATCAAAATAATACCTTGGAAGATACTCCAAGCATTTGGGTATGCTACCAACAAAAAAGTTATATGAAAAATCCGCAACTTTTAACTGAGACGAACGACAGAAGCCAGTCAAATTAGCTTTTGAGGCATACCTGAAGAGAAAGAAGAGTTTTATCAACCAGATGAGAATAACGAATCCCTAAACAAACTCCACTTTATCAAATTTCAAAAATTTTACTCACATGCCATGCATATTTGAAGAAAAATTTGAAGTGCCACCTGCAGGAACAGGTCCTTGAAGCTTATTCCTATCCAGCCTAAGTTCTTGCAGGTATTTCAAATTTCCTAGCTCTGGAGGTAGTCTACCAGCCAACCCGTTGGACTGCAGATTTCTACAAAAATGCAAATAAAGTTGAACACACACGAGTCCGTGAAATGAAATTTAAGAGTCAATAATTTTGGCAGAGCATATGGAATTCCTTTTACATTTTTACAACTTGGGTCAAATTTGCAATCTCTGGAGGAATTGGTCCTGATAACTGATTCATTCCCAAATCCAACACCTTAAGAGATTTTAACATGCCCAATTCTTTAGGTATTATTCCAATGAGATTGTTTCCATGCAAGATCCTACAACAATAAGAGCCAAAAATTAGTAACAACCAAGATATTCCAGTACTAAGGTAATGTCACTGCATCACTAATTAAATAAGTAACGTTTTCAGAATGATGTGTGGATAGGAGAGATAAGGAACACACAGTTCTTCTAAGTAGGTGATTTTCCAAAATTCTGGAGCAAGAAACCCCCTTAACGATGACCCTGATATGTTGCTGCAAAGAAGGAAAATGCATGTCATTAATTGACCATCTCAGCCATGAAAGGCATATCAAGTAGCAAGAGGAAATGTACTAAATGGATCCATGATATCTTACAGCTTGATGACATGATCTCGAGTAGCAGTGCAAGAAATACCACCCCAACCACAAGGATCTGAATCCAGAGTATTCCAATTGGACAAAACCATGTGTGGATCTTCAAACACAGCTTCCTTGAAAGTCGTGAGAGCCCAAACTGTGCAAAAAAGAAAAAAAAAAGAAATCTACAGTTAAAAAAGAGGCAATGCAAATGCTTCATTACTGTGAATGCTGAGAGAGTACCGTAGTTAGCCAAGACAAAAGTACAATGAGAATGAAAAGCAATTAAACGATCTAAAAACTTCCAAGTTCACACAAGAAACAGAAAAGGCAAACTTTGCTATATGATGACACTAATATACAAATCACATTATAACTCAGAAGAAATCACTGACTAAGAAGAACAAAAAGGATATCAGATCTGAGAGAGAAAGTAAATACTCAGCCATAACTCTACCTTCATTTGAGGGCACCATATCAGAAGCCACAAAAGAGAGCGTGGAAAACAAACCTAGTAACAACAATGAAGTACATAACTTCATTTTTCTCCCAAAACTTTCTACACTCTTTTGTTTCTTCTTCCTTGTTAACCACCACCTTCTATGATATCTAACCAATAAAGTCCAAGAAGCACTTCCCAACAACAATAGAATAAAAAGATAGCATAAACTAAATTTCACAGAACTTGCTGGGACTTACAAAAAATAACAAACTAAGCCAAGTTCAAAGGTTCTAATATATGCACACTACTGAATACTGATATAGTGTGTATGTATAGAAGTGGTGAAAGAAAGGAGCTATAAATCCGAGAATTGAAAAGTGGCACTGGAATGAGGAAGAGAGAAGAAGCAAATGGTGACACTGACACTGCACTAGACTCAAGTTTGAAGGCAACCCAGAAGAGGAAGAAGCTTGGATTCAAAGAGAGTTTATCCAAGATCGGATTTTGATAGCACTTAGTTAAGCTGAAAAAGAAGGGTCTTTTAATTTTGAATTGTGTTAAAAATGGTGGTATGTGGATAATAAAAAATTATTAATTTTCTTCTTTGCTTCAAACATGAAAGTAATTGCATTGCATTGGAATTGAAGTGATTAGTTGGCGTTTGAAGTTTTGTACTAATGATTGCAGTTGCAGGGAGCAATCGGTGATGGCGATGCTGCTCATTGCTACGCCAATACGATATATTATTGTATCTCCTTAATTATCTTACACGATAATTTGGTACTCCCCTTTTTTCCTCTTCAGTCAAAGCTTGATCCAACTCATATTACCCTCAACATTTAATTTAGTATTAATTGTACAGTTTAATAAAATTAAATTTAACCATTTTTTAAATCATTAAAAAAATAAACAAGAATAACCTTTAAAAAGTATTATAATATAATATTAATATTATTTTAAAATGTTAATACAATAGTAAAGTTATTGTTTTAACATTATTAAAATATAATGTTATATAATTAAATAAAATAAATATTTATTATCAAGCATGTGTATTAATAATTACAAATTATTTCATCTTAACATTTGATTTTATTATATTATCAAGCATGTGTATCAATAATTTTTTTTTGTTAATTTCAATTTTAAAGACTGAGAATAAACAGCTAATAATAATAAAATTTTATTAAAAAGAGAAATATTTATTATATTTTTATAATTTTAATACAATAATTATGTAAAGAATTTATTTGTAAATACTTATACTTCACTTTAAGGACTAAAATTAACAAAATTACAAATTAATTATATATTATGCTATAAAAGTTTGATGTGTATTTATTAAAAAACATTTAAAAATTAAAATTAATAATAAAAAATTTATTAGTATATTATGTTATTTTACATAATAATCTAATTACATTAAAATATATTTTAATATAAAAGTTATAACTTGTAATATTAAATTCACATTTAAATTATTTAAATATACTGTGAAATTTAGGAATGTGTTCACGAATTATATGGCATAACATCCTTGATTCTATGGTAACATTCAGCAATTCTCAAAAATGGAGATGACATATTCTGCAAAAAATACTGCATGTAACATACAAATTAATGCTACTCAGGCAACAGCAGAATTCAAATATCTAACATGACAGTGCCAATTCAAATTTGAATTCTAGACAAACAACTCCAATTTAAAAGACTGCATAACTTTTATGTTTAATTCCATGAAAACTAAATCTATAATCAGTTAAAAATAGGTACACATGTCCTTACACATGATAAATTTTATTATATTTGAAATTTTATTTTATAATTTAGGATACCATAATTTTTTGATAAATTAAATATATATTTTAGTTTTGTAATTCAAAAATGACACTTTTATATGCTTAAAATTTAAAATAATAAAAATGATACGTAAAATAAACAAAAATTATAATAAACTATTGATGCAACTTACTGGTTAGATGTTGTAAACAATAAAAGTGGACGACAAGTTTGACGATTTGTTGCCAAACTCTCGAGTTATCGTGATAGATATCGCGAAAAATAAAATGCCTTAACTTGACTTTTGGCATAGTGTTAATTTACTCCGCAAATCAGAGCTCCGTTGTTAAATCTCAATCACATTTATCAAAATAATAAATATAATGACAAAAGAAATATGTATCATTAAAAAAATATTTTTCAATAAATATGTTTTTCTTTAATAGAAAGAAGTAGAATGATAACATTTAAATCATTTATATTTTGACCAAAACTATTATTTTGAGGAAACATTTTTTTTATGAAATGTAAGAACAATTTTGTTATATAAATTTATCATATATAAAAGAAAATCATGCCTTGTTAAAAATGTTATAAATTTTTTTAATCCTTTAAAATAACTATTTCTTAGTTAGTCAAAGTCAAAGTATTAATTAACAACAGTTGTGCTGCTTGTAGAACAATACTGTGAATATATATTTGTTTATAAAAAATAGTACTATTAACTAAAAATTAATAATTATAATTGTATGGTTGATGGTTAGTTAGGTGATATATTAGCTAAGCAAAAGTGCTTTTTGAAAAAAGGAAGGAAATCCTTCCAAAATTCCACGTTTCACAGTTGTTTTCCATCCAAAACCATTATTAAAGCTAATATCACGCGTCCAATATCTTTTTGGTGTTGATTTATAACAATCTCTGCCCCTACCCTACGTTTCTTTCTAAATTCTGTTTTTGAATTTTAATAAACTATTATTAATACCTGTTGTTGTCAAGCATTTGTGGGTGAATTTATCTTATTAATACTCTCTCCCATTGTCTCCATGTTTATGTCTATACTTAGCTTGTTTTAGTCTTTCATTCATTACATTAAAGGCTAAATCTATCAAATATATATAAAGACCATTTCATTATTTTTAGACGAGTATTGATTAATGTCTTTTAGTTAAAAAAGCTAATATTTATATTAAAAATATTTTTCATATATTTTTATTATGGGAAAGACTTTTTACACTAATATAAGTTTAAAAATTTTTACACTCACTTTAAACTTTTTATTTAACTTACATCTAATAATCATTGAAGTAATAAATTATAGCACGTAAGATATAAATTAAATAAATAACTTAAATTAAGTATAAGAGTTTTTAGATTTATACTAGTGTAAGAAAATATTGTCATTTTTATCATAATTTTAATATTTTTTTAATAAATTATTTGTTTATTAATATTTTAATCAATGTTTTTTAAAAAAGTGTTATTTTTAAGGTCTTTTTACTAATAACAAAATTAACCTATGTAATATTACACTGCATAAGAAAGTATATATAACAATTTTTTATTGAAAATTATTACATTTAATAGTGTCAATGCATTTAATTATAAATTTTTAAAAATTATTATATATAACTTCCTGTGTTGTTCAATTTTGTACATGTTAAAAAAATGATAAAAAATATTAAAATTATATTAATTAATTTTTTAATTAGTAACTTAGTTTGTATTTACTTTTTACCGTATTTTTATTACCGGGATATCAAAAGTCTTTCTTTATATGATAGGGTTAACACAAGACAAATGGAAATATATATTGTTTATGTGGAAGGGCCCTTATTGACATTGCTACTGGTTCCAAGCAAGACCCTCTTAAAAGGTTGGAGTATATTTAAAGGAAGAAGGAACCTAATGATCTTGAACCAGATTGCACAACAAGACGCCTTCAAAACCCAGTTAAGCTTAGGAAGATGACCAAATAATAGAAAAACAATTTTCAAGCACAATATGTTAAAAAAAACTATAGAAAAAACATGAATTTAATGCTGTACATTTATTTTTTTAATTGCATATTTGCATTTGAAGTCAGCTAATTAATTAGCTATCAAGTATTTGAGAAGTAGCATGAAGACAGGTTGGGTCCTCTATGGCAATAACTTTTATAATCTGATATGGTTTTTGTTTTAGCTTTTGTATCAAAGTTCCATGGCATGAGGCTTCCTTTCACCTTGCATGAAGAATCACCCATGTGCATGCTTTGATAAGTGCCCCCACATGCATTTCTTTATTCAAATATACTCTCTTGCATAAGAAAGAGAAATTCCTCTCTACGTACTTTCTCTGTTCTATGTTAGGTTTCTTCATTTAATCGGTTACCACTTACTGTAGTCTCATCAATGCCCTCTTTATCGTCTTTGCTTTACTTTTTTGCAATCCAAGAATTTTTCAAGTTGCCCTCATGGCAGTAATTAAAGAGTATATAGAGAGGAAATTGATTTAAATGTTGGCCGTACTCATATAATTCTTGCACCTTGTAAATTTTGTTTTCAATCTACAAATTCAATATCTTTTTATGCCACATTATAATGTTTTCCAAACATTATGGTATGTGAGACAACATAATGTGTTGGGAGTGGTGCAATTGTGAGACCAATATTTTTGCTTTGTTCTATTGTTTTGGTCTGATGAACAATTTAAGGCTTTTCACATTGCGAGTTAGTTTATCTGTCTACTTTGTAATCAAAATTGATTGAAGAGCAAGAAATTTGGAGTTTGGTTTGTCACGTATGTTTGGTATATTATTGGCTAGATTTAGGAAAGAAAGAACACCACCATTAAAGTAGCTTACAACAATGATTTTCAGGTCTTAAAGTCAAATTATCGTCTCTTTTACTTTCAATAATCACATTTGCTTCGACTTGTGTATAAATTGTCAAAATTTTACAAACAGCCAAAGAGAATTATAGTTGATAATGATAATAAACTTCACGCTTAAGTATGCCTTTTAGCTATTGTTGTGTGAATTGATATATTTTAGGAGTCTTTTAAGTTTTTAAGAAAGTAAAGTTAACAATGCTCTTGTATTCAAGATAATAGACTTTGTAACATTTTATTCTTACTAAATTTTTTAAAATTTTTAATTTATCTTGATCATATAAAAATGATAATAAATTTTGACATAATTTTCTTTTAAAAAATACTATTTATTTAACATTTGAACTTGTTTAATTGTATTTGTTTAACGTTCAATTATCTTTTAGCTAATAATATTTAGCTATAACTATCATTTTAGAATTGTTAATGTGCATTTTTTTCTTCTTCTTTTTTACATCAAGATTTTTTTTAGTACTCGTGAAATATAAAAAATACAAGATAACTCCTAAAATGCAAATTTTTAAAAATATTTTTAAGAAAATTACATCTCAAGTTCGCCTAAACTTGTCTAAAAGAATCTATTGTACATTTGTACCTTAAGAAGTTTTTGAAATCTTCAAATTTTATATTATAAGATAAATTCTCTAAAAATAACATCATGGCAGCCAGTGTTGTGGTGGGCCTTTTAGGTCACGAAGATGATTTTGCTGAAGGTCCCAAATTTTGAATAGTTCCAAATACTTAACATAAGGAGACACTGAGGGTTCTATATGTTAAAACTTAATGAATATACACGAATAACAGACCGAATATATGAAGAAATTGCACACCTTATTCAATCATCTGAAAATGGCTTTATAAGCCTTACAGACTTGACTCTCAAAAAAGAAAAACAATAAAAACAAAAACCATAAAACTGCATGGCAGCAATCTAGGCGTAAACTAAGCAACTAACTAGACCCAGTCAGTCCTATAAAATAGGACTGTTTATTGGCACGCTAAAATAACTAACAATCCCTCCCTTAAGCTTTAGCTTATTTCATTAACTGCAAGTACTCTAAGCATAAGTCTAAGTTTTTCAAATTGATCAAGCTTCAAAGCTTTTTTCATAATGTTAGTCACTTGCTCATTTTTATTGTAGTACTTCGGTGTGATAATTTGATCATTAACTAAATCTCTAAGAAAGTGGAACCTTACTGCAATATGCTTACTCCTGCCATGAAAAACAGAATTCTTGGACAGTTGTATGGTAGAACTATTGTCATAGAAAATCTTAGTAGCTTCTTTTCCTTCTACTCCAAGATGCTCTAGAATTCGTTTGAGCCAAATATATTGACATGCACAATATGCTGCAGCAATATATTCAGCCTCAGTGGTAGATAGGCTTACCATAGGCTGTTTTTTTTTAAGCCCAGGATATAGCTGCAGTTCCAATCATGAACACTGATCTAGTAGTGCTTCTCCTATCATCTGAATCCCCTGCATAGTTACTGTCACTATAAGCTGTGAAACTCATCTTCCTTCCCTTTTGATAGAAGAGACCGTGTTCAATAGTGCCTTGTAGATACCTGAAAAGCCGTTTTGTTGCTGCCCAATGGGACTTCTTGGGATTGGCCATGTATCTACTGATTAAACTGACTCCAAACATCAAATATGGTCGTGTGACTGTCAAGTACATGAGACTACCAACAGCTTGTTTAAACTGTGTAGCATCTACTGGAATTTCTGCATCATCCGTGGATAAAATGGTTCCTGGTACCATGGGATTTCGTACTGAGTTACTATTCAACATATTAAAACGTGTTAGGATCTCACGCGCATATCGCCTTTGGCAGATGAAAATGCCTGCTTCTTCTATATTACTTCTATTCCCATAAAATGTCTCATTTTGCCCAGATCTGTCATGTCAAACTCCAACTGCATTTGGTGTTTAAACTCTTCGCATATAGCTTTGCTATTTTCAGTAAAGATTAGATCATCCACATACAAGCTAACTATTAAAATATTGCCTTTAATATGTTTTGTGAACAAAGTGTGTTTACTGGAGCAACGTGCAAACATTTCTTTAGCAAAGTATGCTTCAATTTTACTATACCAGGCTCGTAGAGCCTGCTTGAGCCTGTATAGCGTCTTCCTTAGCTTGTATACTTGTCCTTTTCTGCCTTTCTTGATAAAACCAGCAAGTTGGTGAACATAGATTTCTTCTTGAATTTCACCATGCAAGAAAGCACTCTTCACGTCAAGCTGAAACATTTCCCATGCATTCTGAGCAGCCACAGCTAACAACGCTCTCACTGTATCAATTCTAGCAACGGGAGCAAAGACTTTTGTGTAGTTGATTCCATATTTCTGAGCATACCCTTTTGCCACTAATCGGGCTTTATATTTTTCTACCTGTCCTCTTTCATTGAGCTTTGTTTTGAAAACCCATTTCACACCTATGGGTACCACGTCTTCAGGTGGGTCAACTAGATCCTATGTATTATTTCTTTCAATTGCTTTCATCTCAGTGTCCATGGCCTCCTTCCATTTCTAACTCTTACTAGCTTTCTCAAAGGTTTGAGAATCCTCAGAATCGGTCGTCAGCATTGCTAGCAAGCTCTTCTCGTCTACAAACAGATTGGTTTCATAATCTGTCATCCACACGGGTTGTCTCCGAATCCTTGTTGCCCTCCTTTCAACTGGAGGATCAGTAGATTCAGAATCAGAAGCTAATTCAAGCGGTTCTGAATCTAAATTGCTACCTCTAGCTGCAACAAGTTGAGGTGTAGAATCAACATTGTCACTCCCTTCTTCGTCTTGACCCTCCATATCGAGAGAAGGAGGTGTACTCTCGGCTATACCCTTGTGCCAACTCCAGTCTTTGTCTTCTTCAAATACCACATCCTTACTTACAATTACCTTCTTTGAAATGGGATCAAAGAGTTTGTAAGCTTTCGCTTCATCACTCACCCCCAAGAGAACACATATGTGACTCTTGTCATCTAATTTGCTTCTTCTTTGATCTGGAATATGAACGTGTGCAACACATCCAAATGTCCAGAAGTAATCAACACGAGGTTTTATTCCACTCTATACCTCTTCTGGAGTTCCATGATCTACTGCAGTAATAGGACTTCAATTTTGAACATGAACACACCATCTCCCTACCTCAGGCCAGAAGGACTTTGGGACTTGCTTTTCATGAAGCACAACTCGTACTACATTCATGATGGTGCGATTTTTGCGCTCTACATCTCGATTCTGTTGAGGGGTGTAAGCAGCTGTCAGTTGCCTGGAAATACCTTAATGAGTGCAGAAATTTGAAAACTCCTTGGATGCGAATTCCCTTCCCTTATCAGTTCTCAGACAAGTAATATGAGTTCCAGCTTCCTTTTCAACACATGCTTTGAAGCTCTTGAATGTATTGAAGGTTTCAAATTTTTCATGCAAAAAATAAATCCACGTTTTACGGGAATAATCATCAACAAAACTCAATATGTACCTTTTGCGGCTGTTTGAAGCAGGTGAGATGGGACCACATACATCAGCATGAACTAACTGTAATTTAGTTGATGCGCGCCAAGAACTTAACTTTGGTATGGTATCATGGTGTTGTTTACCAATAAGACATGTAGTACATACAGTTGTGGAAATTTTCAGTGAGGGTAGCCCGATCATCATTTGCTTCTGTGCGAGTGTATTAAGTCCTTTGAAGTTGAGATGGTTAAATTGTCTATGCCACAATTGTGTTTCCTTTTCTAAGATATCTTCCACTTGGAAACACTGAGAATGTTTATAATATATTATTTAGCTATGATACATAATTAAATATTTATTCAAAATATAATAAAGTTATTATTATAATATAAAAATTATTAATAAATTTTTTATTATATATTACTTTAATATAATTAATATATTATAGAGAATAAAAAATATAATATAAATATTAATAATATTAAATAAATATATTTTTGTAACATGATATATATATATATATTTAATTTAAAATTATAAAAATAATTAAGACTTTTTATCACAATTATAATTAAACTATTTATGAACAAAAGTATCCATCTCTTGATATTTTTTATTTTAATTTTAAAATAATATTTTTAAATGATAAATTAGTTTTATTAAATTTTTTAGGAAACAAAAAATATATCTTTTAAACACTTTAAGTATATTTCTTATTAATAATTAATATACTTTTATGACTATTTTAAAAAATTAAATATCAAATAATTTGTGAGTACTTTTATATTATTAATATAATTTTTATACTATTAATCAATTAAGCTATAAAATTTGAAATAAATAAAGATTAATAATTTTTAGTGATACAATAATGCCTTATTAAATGAGAACATAAAAATATTTATAGTATTAATATATTTTAATTAAATTTATAATTTATTAATTTAATTTTTAAAAATTAATTACCAATAACATTGTTTTTTAATAATAATTTCCTTATTAATTATTATAAATAAGATAAATTTTACTAATTCACATGTGGTGCAAAATATACTGCAGACCATAGTATCTTTGAAATGAATGACTTCAATTCTTTCATTCAGGAAATGAAGCTTGTGGATCTTCTACTTGTGGGTAGAAAATTTACATGAATAAAGGGGATGCTTCTATGATGGGCAGGTTGGATATAGTTCTTTTTTCTGGTTCCTGGCTTGATTACTGGAGAGATGATTTTATTCAGGTTCTAAGGAAGATGTGTCTGATCATGGTCTCATTATTCTAAAGCACAAAGTGATTAACTGGAGTCTGAAACTATTTCGATTTAACAATTGTTGGCTGACTCATAAGCAAGTTGTGGAGGTGGTGGAGGAAGCGTGAAAAAGAGATATTACTATTCTATGTGCTGCCCAGAGAGCTAACTAGAGGTTGAGAAATGTTAAGATTGTATTGAAAAAATAGAACATTGAGTTGTTTGAAAATGTTGATAAAGTGCTTTCTGATTTGACAACTAAGTTGAGCTTAATTGATGATAAAAATTATGTGATGGAACTTTTCGATGTGAAGAAGGAACGTCAACAGATATTGGTGGGTGATATTTGAAAGATTAGGAAGAATAGAGAGAGTCTCATAGCTCAAAAAACTCGTGTGATATGGGGGAAGAAGGGTGATTTAGATACAAAGTTTTTTCATCTGTGTGTTAACAGGAAGAGACAACGAAATAATATATATGCACTTCAAATTAGAGAGAAAAGTGTCAAAAAGGTTGATGAGATCAAAGCGGGTACGGTATCTTATTTTATGGATTATTCTAGTAGTAAAGGTTGGTTTCGACCTACTATTATTGTTAATGATTTACTGAGAGTCTCGGTTCTACAAAATGAAGGGCTTGTTAATGCTTTTTTGAAAGAAGAAGTGAGGATGATGATTTTGGAGTGTGAAGGGAATAAAAGCTCGGGGCCTGATGGTTTTAATTTTGTGTTCCTTAAGAGGTTTTGGGAAGTGATCAAGGGAGAAGTGATGGGTATGCTTGCGGAATTATTTAAAAATGAAAAACTACCTAAGTCTTTGTTATCCTACTTTGTAGCACTTGTGCCAAAAGTGTATTGCCCATAACAGATCTCTGATTTTCGGCCTATCTTATTGCTAGGTTACCTTTATAAGATTGTTTCCAAACTTTTGACAAATAGGTTGAAAGGGGTTCTGGATTCAATAATCTCGGAACAACAATCAGCTTTTATCCCAGAAAGGAACATGTTAGATATTGTGCTTATGGTTAATGAGGCAGTTGATTATGTGCGGAGGCATAACCATAAGTGTTTTGTATTAAAGCTTGATTATGAGAAGACTTATGATTCGGTAGAGTGATGATATCTTTTGTTTATGTTACATAACTTTGGATTCTTAGAAAAATGAGTCAGTTGCATGGAAGCTTGTGTGTATGGGGGTAGTTTGTCAACTTTGGTTAATGGTTGTCCTATATTGGAGGTTCATATTGGATGGGCCTAAAATAGAGGGATCCTCTTGCCCTTTTTTTTTGTGGCAGTGGAAGAGTTAGGAGTTTTTATACGAAAGGCAGTGACCTGTGGGTTGTTCTCTGGTGTGAAGATTAGGGTTATAGGACTGGATATTTCTTTACTGCAATTTGCTGATGACACATTGATTGTGGGAGAGGCTTCACTTCAGAACTTGTGGACTTTAAAAGTAGTATTGCTTTAGCTTTGAGTTAATGTTAGGTATGAAAATTAATTTTTATAGAAGCTGTGTATTGGGGATTAATACTGGCGATGACTTTAAAAACTTAGTTGTAGAGTTCCTACATTGTAAGATTGGTAACTTCACATTAAAGTATCTTTGGTTACAGTTAGGTGTTAACCTGAGGAAGCCTAGTGCATGTAAGGGTGTGTTAAAGACTCTTAAAAAGAGGTTGACGTCATAGAAACATAGATATTTATCGATTGGAGATAAGGTGACTTTGATTAATGTTGTTCTTAATTTTATGTCATTGCACTCGTTATCCTTTTTTAAGGCGTTGAAGTCGGTGATAAAGGAGATTATCACTATCCAGCTGAATTTTTTATGAAAAGGTGTTTAGGATGAATCTAAAATCCTCTGCGTGAAATGAAAAACAGTTTGTAGACCGCGAAAGAATGGTGGCTTAAGCATTAAGAGTGTACAGTGGTTTAACTGGGCGCTTCTTGGTATATAGTTGTGGTGAGATGTTAATTGTTCTAATTCATTGTGGGTGCAGGTGTTGGAAGCTAGATATAACAGATTAGCTTCTTCTATTCAACGTTTATCAGTTCACAACAGATGTTCTTTGTCATGGCGTGATTTGTTAGAGGTTATTCATCAAGGAAATTCATGACTGGATGAGAAGTTAGATAGGAGTGTGGGTGCAAGATTGCACACCTTTTTTTGGAGAGATAAGTGAGTAAGCGGGGTGTGATTGTTTGCGGTGGCAAAGAATGTTGAATCTTATGTATTGGAGAATGATTTTTATGATGGCACAAGGTGGATTTAGGATGTTAGTTGGCAAATAAGACTCTTTCAACATGAGATTTCAATTTTTAATCTTTTATTCGAGCTTGTGGATTCTTCAAGTTGTTATTCAATGTAATCTACGTATTCATTACTATTTGAATTTTTTAGTGGTCCTAATAGTATAGATCAGTATATGACGGACGCCTTGCAAAGGCTATGAAGAGGGAAAGTCCCTCTTAAGTGTCTATTATTTTCTTGGCAATTGTTGTTGAATGTACTTCCTTGTAAAGGTCTGCTAATTAATCGTGGGGTTCAAATTGATGATATAACTTGTTGCTTTTGTCATGGTTTGGAGAAAATTTCAAGTCATTTGTTTTTAACGTACTCAATTTCATTTCAAATTTGGTACTTTACTACGCGTTGGCTTGGATCCTCGCTAGCCTTGCCTTCAGATTTATCGATCCACTTGCTTGGTTGAGTTGGTGTTGGTTGTAGTAAAAGAAAAAATATATGTTTATTAATTGTTTCGATAAGTATAGTGTGGTCTTTGTAGTTACATAGAAATAGAATAATATTTTCTAATGGTATTTTGAATAAGAGAGAAGTCTTAAATTCTATTATTCTGAGACCCTGAAAATTGTTATCACTTGTTAGTAAAGAATAAGTTATTCTGTTAGTTTATTAGTATCTGAACCCACAAAATTGCATCTGTTTTATCTTTGTATAAGTATGTTTCTATCTTTTTATTTTTTTCTCTATGTATATAGATTTTGAATTTTCCTTAAACTCTCTCTAATAATATATATTTTGCCTATAAAAAAAAATTTACTTATATACTATAATTGTATATATGAAAAGAAAAATAATATATATATATATATATACATCCATTGTAACCAAGAGATAAAAGCAGCCAAGTAGGTTAGTAAACTGATGGAAATCTTATGGCTTCATCTACTTTAGACTAAGTCTAGTTTGTCCTGCTTAATGCAAAAGTCAGATTTATTTAAAAAAATATAGATAATTAAATAGATTATGCTTCAAATTTTTATAAAAACTTATTACACTCCATAATTGATCCATTTATTAATATATATAATACTATGTTTGTGTTGATAGGGTTACCGGTCGACTGATGTTGATATTTGAGTTTGTATTCGACCTCTTCAATACAGTAAAGAAATAAAAAAATAATATTAACCTTAATTTTAAAAACTGAAGCTAATAAAATATATTAATAAATCATACCAAGCTTTATAATTAAGAAGCAGGCCGGAGTTAGCAAGGCCTCTGTACCATTTTCATTTTCTGATGAAGCATTATCATCCTCCCAAGTTATTGTTGGCTTATTATAAATTATTTTTATTTTATGAGAAAAATATATAATATTTGTCTATTTGAATATCCTTGTAATGGTTCAGGTGTCGACCTAATTTAACATGTTCATGTTTCAATGAAGAAAACATTTTCAGAGACTGCTTTTGTTTTCTGATGTTAATAGTCAGCATGCAGCTAGTCCACATGTCTATCACATAATTAATGCTTTTACTATAAACAGTCAAGAAAAAACATGAAAATAAAAAATATTAATGCTCAGCATTGTTTTGTCTACTGTTGACATATCTTATATAACTTATAAATTATATTTCAGTTTTCAATAAATAATTATAGCAATAAAAAAATAGTAAATTAAACTATTTTTTATAAATTTAAATCAACTTATGTTTTTCTCTTGTTTAATTTTTTTTAAATTCAAGAATTATATATATTTTTATTTACAAGAGAAATTTTTTATTTTATAATAAAATTTATTTATATTTAAAGGCTTATTCAAACTAAAAACACTCTCTATCTGTAATTTTTTTTTTTTTTTTGGGTACTTTCATACGTACCATTTTATTAAAATGTTTGATTGTGAATATTTTTATATGTGTTATGGGTAAAATAGATTCAGGCCCAATCCAGTGGGTGGTGGTAGTAGTAAGATACCCAAGCTAGTCCAACATGACTAAGGCCGAGTACACGTTTCAGGCTCACTATGCCAGTAAAAGATATTTTAAAAAAAAAATTATTTGATAAAACAGATTAAAATAATAATTTTATTAACTTTAATTTTAGAATTGAGTTTAAACATTTATAAATAATTTTTTTTATAAAAAAACATATATTTATTATATTAAAATTATAAAAATATAATAAATAATTTTTTTAATAAAATTTTATTATTATTAGTTACTTATTTTCAATCTTAAGAACTTAAGTTAATAAAATCTTTTAAAATAAATAGTTACTGATATTTTATAAAATATTTTTAAAGAATTAATTATTATATTTTTTTAATATTTAAAATTTTTAAAATCTTATCACTTTAGCTGTTTTTATTTTTAACTTTTTTATATCACTTTTGTTACTAAATCTTGTTGATATATAACTAAATTATTTAATATTAACATTTAAAAAATATATTAATTCATATTATTTTATTTTATTTGATAAAAATATTTTTAAATGCGAGTAAAGTGAGAATTTTATAATTACTTAAAAATATATAATTACTAAATTTCAAATTTTGAATTAAAAAGTAATTATATTTTTTATTTATCAGATCATTTAATAGCTAATTTTATTCAATACTTTCAATTCAATCAATTAAATTTTTAACTTTAAGCTTGTAACTTTTGGTAACCTATCCGCTGATTTTGACAAACACACCCTTAATCTAAAGTATATGTTAATTAATCGTTGCCGGTTAAATATAATGAAGTGTCAATAAATTTAAATTATATTATTAAATTATTATCTAACTTATATTCATATAAAAAATATTTATGATTTTATTTTTTCTAATATTATTATATTTTTAAATTATATGTTTAATTATTTATTATCAGATGTTATTAAAATTACTGTATTCTTATTTTGTCTTTAATGTTATTTTATTTATTTATTTTATGATGTATCGCTTTTATTGATTATTTATCTATTATAAAATAAATTAATATTTATTATATTGAAACTAATAATTTTAACGTTATACTTAAATTTTTTATTTAATTTACATCTAAGGATTTTGACAAAAGTTGTATGGATGAATGTTACTATTGACAAATTTTATTTATTAATAAATGATAATTTATTTTTATAATATAGTAACACAAAATGCAAGCCAAATATTTATCAGCTTTTAATAGTTTCATTTTGTTTTATTAAATAATTAATTTATAATAAAAATGATTTAAATCATAATAAAAAATAAAAGGAAAAAATAATTTTGTATTATTAAAAAAAGTATGAAATATATTTCATATTGAGTCAATAAAAAAAATTATAAAAGCACAGAATAACAATTATAAAAAAAATTTATATCTTACAAGAAAATATTTTTTATCTCTTAATAAAAATTGCATGATGTGATAAAATAAATATATTTGATTACTTGTATGTTTACAAAATTATAAGTGTGTAAACAAATATTATTACAAATAATAACACAAAATCGAGTAAGAAATCTGTTTCGGGAAGTTTTTGATACCGTCTCTGCACCAAAATATTTCTGAACTTGGAGATTTGAATGGCTGCGCATTCGATCAGAGATTCCCGAAATACAAACAAAAATGTCATCTATCAATAAAAAGAAAATAGTAATTAATCTAAAATGTAATAACAACAATGAATAAAAAAAATCATTTTGATACATTATCAATGTACAATTTTTTATAATATTAAAAAATTAAAATATATCATAAGTATAATTTATATATTAAATTATTATAGAAATAAAAATTAATTATTTTCTGATATAATTTATGATTAAATTAACAATTGAGATATTTAAATTAATTTTATAAATAAATAATTTAATTTATAAACAAATGTGAGTCAACGAACAAAAGGTTATTTTAATTTAATCTGTAATTTTAAATTTGAGTATAGGCAATTGTATTAAATACTCAAAAATATAAGTTTGCTTAAAAAAAGCATGATTTATGAATTATAGATTAATGGACATTTGACCATACGTGAGTATAGAAATTTGCATTAGATTTTATTAACGAAATTGTACAACGAAGCTGCAGTTAATTGATTCAATTTATTGTAATGTAGTGCACAACATTTTCTAGTCCTCTGGTACGATAATCCACCCCACTTTATGTATAAAGTCATAAAACATAACATGCAGATAAGTGAAAGGTGAGTTGAATTTTCCATAAAAACGTTTTTGAACTGTCGACGGCGTATCAGCAGGCCAGGTTATTAATTATTATTATAAGAACACAATTACATAACACGTTTCTGTGTCTGTCCACTTTCACCAGTTCGTCACATATGATTCTCTGTTTCAATTGGTTTTCCACGTAATCCTTATCGAATGATTTGGCATATCATTGTCTTTAGGGTACCCGATAGAAATAATGTCTATTACTAGGGGCCCTTCCCCAATTAAACATGGGAATAATGGAATTATCATCAATTAATTTAAGTTTATTATGCATATCGCTTAATTAATTTAATTATTTATTGTGAAAGACTTTAATTTCTTGTTTGCTTCTATTGACCGTATTTTTATATATTTATACACATCCATTGTATATCTACCCAAATCGATATCCTTATTATTCCTCAAGTTCATAGCTCGCTGTTACTATTTCAAGACACAGTTTTGGCAAAAAAATCAAGTATATCTAAGGTATGTATATATCCCCTATTGAATATTTTTTGCAGGTGTGTTGCTTGTCTGAATGCATGTCATTGCCACCTAATAATCTTGGTATCGAATCGCGATATTTGAGCTTCCTTTCAATTAATTGATTCGTTAGCAAAGCAATACATATGTAGACATATTTTGATTGATTTGGTCGAATATGTTTGTCTACGTACCATACTCAAATTACATGTTGGGACATATCACATGTGCATGTTTTATGCATTGACTAAGTTATGCAGTTCGCATACAAATGACTCGCATTAATAAACCAGAAAAAAAGGACATATATTTAAAAAGAAACATGTGAAATGTATAATAATAATCTATATCGTACCCCCTCCAAAAAAATGATATTAAACCCTAATGAAAAACTATTATGTGAGTAAACTCAATGACATTAGCCTTTTTTTTGTTGTTGTAATGATCGAAATGAGTCAGAGCAAAAGGAAATCATCATTAATGTGAAAAACATTTAGATTGTACATAACTTAGCTAGACTTATTATTTTAGAACGCAAGCTCAAAATGACACATGCTTGATTGAATTTATGAAACTGATTCATGATCATCATACATGTTAAATGTTTTTTAGTTGTTCTAATAAATTTACGATAAAGATTATCTTAATAAGCTATATGTTGAAGCTTATTTGGATAATTTAGAATAAATTTATTTTAGTATCTTTTTTCAATTACAACAATTTTACTTATTATCTTAAACATTTATAATAACACAAGCTTTTATTTAATATTTTTTATTAAATATCTATTTACCAAATACACCCATAATAATTATTTAGAAATCAAGCTAATAACTAGTTTTTATCCCACACCTATACTCCTTAACAAATTTTGGTTTTACTTCTTTCTTCCTTAATTTTATTTTCAAAAGTGAAATAGTGACTAATAATTTAAGATTGGAATAAAATACATAAGCATATATAAGTATAAAATTATTAAAATTTCAATCATTAATTATTTAATCAATATAATTGTAATTTTATACATATAGTATATGATGATGCACTCTACCTTCAGAAAAAAAAGAAGTCAAATCCCCTTCCTTCTTCCGATTCCCTTTAGTACCGCTATCAAGCTAGGTTGACCAAGACCTAAATTAAGCCAATTCAAGGTACATTGATTATGCAAGCAGTGCCTTTTGGTTCAGTGCTAATTATCATAATGCATTACGTTTACCTAATAACACCCACTTAGTTCCAAAGCAAAGAGAGACAAGATAATGATTAATTATGCAGTAGTAGATAAGTATACAATAAACAAGGGTATATCACTTATGTTGATGACATCAACTGCCACAGCCGACCATTAATTTAGCAGATAAATGCACAAGCAATGCAAAGCACTTGTCTGCACTACAATGACATCAAAGGCCACTCATTATAATTGGAAATGAACTACGTTAAAAGTTGTTTTTAGTTTTTAATCCTATCCTTAACTTTTTCCTTCAAAGTTTTCAGCTAATGCCACGAAAGGGGAAGTCTTTATGATAAGTGCTTGTTTAACTATAAAATTTTCAATGAAAGTCAGAAGATAAACTAAAAATCATATGAATAATTAAGCCGTGTTGGCTGCTCCGTGATTAATTAACTTATAAACTCATTTGTGTTATCCACGCCCAATCCAATGCCTAAAACGTGCTTTATTGGGATATGACGACTCTCCATTTCTTGATGTGCGCGCCTCCCAAGTACTCTCTCCCTCCTCATGTTTATATTACAACCTACATATTAGTATCTAATTTCTCATTAAAAATTATTATTAAATATAATATTATATAAATTAAAAATTTATATTGTATATTTATTAATAATTATATTTTTATATTAAATAAAAAAAGAATGAATTTAAAAATTGTACAATTATAAATAAATATTTTTTAAAATTTATTATAATTACATGATCAATTTTAAAAACAGTATCGTTTTTTTTAAATATTACATAAATTATATATTCTAATTCTAATTGTCATAAAATCAAATAGTTAAAATTTGTTTATATATATAAATACACGTGGAAAAGTTTAATTTTCCATACACGCTCGTCCTTAAGCTAACTCCACTTTACCGAATTTGGACACCAGTCACTTTGATTCACCTCAGAAAAATGGGGCAGCGCACGTTATATCAAGTTGGTTAATGTTAACGACGGTTGTCATGACATTGATATTAAAGAAATAAAATTGTATAATATTTGTTAAACAAATATATATGGCATTTAAAATATATTAATATTTGAATGGTTATTGTTTAAAATAATTAAAACCAGAAAACGTATTTTTGACCCGTTCATTAGGAAAATCATATTAAATTAAAAGTTTAAGAGGACAGGTGACTTCTCATTAACAATGTTATGAGTGGAATGAAAAGTTTTTCAACTTTAACACAGTGTCATGACAAAGTAATATCATGCGTTCATATGTGTTTTACGATTACTGTTTCGTTTTTCCTTTAGGTTTGATTAAATTTAATCCTAGAAAGACAAGATTAGTGCAAGATCCACATATAGCATGATTGTAACAAGCAAATTAAGATATAAATAATATAGTAGTAATAAATCCGGGGGTTTAATCCACATCATTTTTTTCAGCCATTAATTAATTATAAGTAGCCCTTCCACGAGTGCCATTATATTAAAATTTGAATTATTCCGAAAAGGGGTTTCAAAGAAACAGCCAACATAGTAGGGCCAGATAGGCATATAAATAAGCTACTCAAGACCATTCATTTCACAGCAGCACACAACAGAACCTCTTTATTCTCTCAAACACCACAATGGCCAAGGTTCACCCTCAGGAACTCACATCTTCTCCGTGCCCAACATCTCAAAGAGAAACATACACTCTATGGATGAAATCACTTGTCTTCCACTCTAATGGTTGCACTGTCTATGATTCAAATGGAGACATAGTTTATCGAGTTGATAACTATGACAGAAAGGGTAGAAGAGAAGTTAACCTGATGGATCTAAGAGGCAAAGTTCTTTGCACCATAAAAAAGGTACTAATTTACTAGCTACATGACTCTCACCAAGCCATTTTTGTATTTTGGCCTTTTAAATTGTTGTATATATGACTAGATCAAATGATTTTAACTTGTCCTTTTTTACCATGTTTTGTAGAGATTACTAGCTTTTGGATGTTGGGAAGGCCACAGATGTAGCAGTTCTAATTGGATAAGCCAGGAACAACCATGGTTTCAAGTTAAAAGATGCAACCAAATGATCAAAGGGAAAGTAGCATGTCAGATTACAGTAGGGTGCCAAAAGTATTGCATAGTAAGAATTAGTGGCAAAGAAGCAGCATTTCGGATAGTAAACATAGATGGACAAATAGTTGCTGAGGTAATAATTCATCTTTAGTTAATAATAATATGTGATTTTATAATCATTATGATCACATGGGTAATTAATTAAATTTTTAGTTTGGTACTGATGCTAAGGTTAATTTTGCTAAATTTTGCAGGCAAAGCAAAAGCACTCACCCTCAGGGGTTGTTCTGAGTAATGATGTTCTAACTTTGGATTTGGCTGCGGGCACAGATCATTCTCTTATAATGGCTTTAGTCACTGTGTACGGATTGATATGCGGTATGATGTAAATAATACCCAGTTGGTCCATTCCTTACGACATACACAAATTTATTCGGAGGCTCTGATTCAGGATGCCTTGGTTCGCCTGTGACTGATTATTATGTTGTTTCCCTCTTTCACTTTTGTAAATTTTCTTAGTGACAAGTTTTGTAATCAGAATTTTGCCTAGTTTGTGTAAAGATCATGAGCTCCAGCAGGATCATAGAGTTAGGGATATATCTATGTACACATATTGTTTATAGAAGAAACATGATACATTATACCCACATTCGATCTTCGATAATTTACCAAAAGTGTGATGCAAATGATAAGCTTAATTATTTTTAAAAAGACTATCATCTACTAACAGAAAAATATGTTAATAGTTAAACTTAGTAATCTTTATCTAATGAAATTTGAACTTTAGAAAAGACAATATGCGTCTATACTAATTTATATGATGTATAATGTATAAATTTGACAAATCATGTCCGTACATCGTACTGCTAATGTGATGTATCATACGTTGCTAATGCAGGTCTATAATATCTTTATTAATAATTTAATCTCCATTATACAAAGAGTATATCAACAAAACAAAGAACCGAAACTAGAGACCCACAAACCCAATCTTCACAAATATGCCAACCATCAATTTCTACCTCTCCCATGAACCCCACGCTTGAACAGCCAAGGTCATCACCAAGGCCTCCATACCAACATGATTAGACATGGCAACAAGGCAAGGCAAGATGGGGTGGGAGTGTTCTTTTGTTCTTCACGCCCCCACAGAGGATGGATGTAAAAGTTTGGGGTGGGTTTGAAAGGAAGTAGGGGTGAAAAAATGACATTGAATCCATTTCAATCAGGATCAAAAAAATCCACAAGAAACTTGCACTTGCTTTTTTTATCTCTTAATTTTATTCACTTTACATACACATGTATCATTTACATTCTAAATTAAAGTAATATATAAAAATAAACCAACAAAATTACTAAATGGAGAAACTTAAAAACTAAATAATCATATTTTTACTAAAATATGAGTTCAATTTTATTATTTAACTATTATTACAATTTAAATTATTTGATGATTATAATAATTAATATGATTTTTTTATTAATTAATATTTATGAAAAATGAAAATGTGAGAATAAATGCATCTACTTTTAAAAAAAAGTGTGTGTAATTTTATAACTACTGGGAAAAGTTTGGATTTGAAGCGAGGGCAAGATGTTTACATCACAGCCTGAAATTACTCTCACTTTTGCAAATCAAATAAACCCAAATTCAAGTCAAAGCATGGTTTTCATGTAAAAGTCAAGTAGGGTTGGATAAGTAGGTATTCATAAATTTGATTTTGATTGTCATCCCTAAATTTAAAGCATCAGCGATGCACATTTATAATGAATTATTAGCATAATATATACATTATTATGTTAATGTATATCCATGACATAATCCACATCGAGATACTATTAAATTAAATGTCAACTTGATTAGATTACGTTAATTAGAAGAATTAAAAATAACAATTCATAAAAAGTAAGAACTATATTCTAATAAAATATTTTATTAAAATTAATAAATTAAGTAATTTCTGTAAATACTAAATATTTAATTAAGTTAAAAAAATTTAATTTTATGATACAAAAACCGATACAGACAATCTTAATAACTAACATTTTTTAAATTAACGTACAAATTCTTTTTGTAATAATTGTATTTAAATTAATTTTCATTATACAACGAATTGCATTTAAATTTTGGTAAAAGAAATGGGATTACGTTTGACTGTTTTATTGTTAAATTTTATAATTATTGTTTGATTAAATTTATCATATCATTAAATAGCCACCTCTTATATATCATGCCAAATTTAAATAAAATTCACCGTTAATATGGTAAAAAAATTTAAGCTTTCTGGATGAATGATTATTTGCCGTGATATGTGGCATCGCCAAAATTTTTATGGGGTTCTAGCAATGCCACGAATTCAAAATCTTCGTAACTCTTAGCTTTATATTAGTTTAGGTCAATTATGTTAGAAGGAAATAGATTTATTTCAATATTTATTTTGTCCACGTTTCAAGGTAAACTAATATGTAAAAGTCCTCAAATTTTATACTAATTTCAAACATTAAATTAGTCATATATAAATTAAATCTATCAACATAAGACGAAGAGCAAGTCCTTGGTCAACAACGTAAGCTTCATGTTACGGTATACTCTTCCCATTTTAAAATAGTTATCATTTCAGATGTTTAATTAGTTTGTTTTAAATTATTATTATTTCATAAAACTTAATAATATTAACGAAATTTTGTATTTTATTCCTATCTTTGATATTTTAATTTGATTAAATTGAAACGGCGAATATAATAAAGGGAGAGGATTATTATTATTGTTATTTAAATACAAATTTTAGCTCAATGACTCAAATTCAACATACTTTAATTGAATAATTTTATTTGTAACGATATTGAGTTAACCTTGCTCATTCGGTGCCCAAAATTTTCAGCAACATACAAATGTTTCATGTTGTAAGTGTACCAATTTACTGGTACGATATAAACACGAAAGTTGAATTTAACATCTTGATGAACCCTAACCACTGGACAGGTGTGCAATCGTTTTCAGTCCACAACAGCTGCATTTCCCTTCTTGATATTAAGCTGAATATGCAGGAGCATGGTAGCAAGACATACACGTGGACCCACATGCTTCAATGATCATCATTCATCAATTTCTATATTCCACAGTCATTGTTAGTATGCTGTGCACAAAAATATTGTTGTTGATCCAGTGATCGAGTCTCCTTCATCCCATTTTTTTGGTTTAGAATGTTTCGTTTGGGTCATTTGGGTATTAAATTATCTGATCATACACTAAACGTGAGAGTTTTTATGCAAAAAATTAAAAGAAGTTATATATGTATATATCCTTCTTCAACTCATTGTAAAGAAAATGATTCTTTTCGTTATATAAAAAATTCCCAACAACAAAAAAACAAGCCTAAATCTTAACATTAAACATGTACATTACAATAAAACCTTAGTTAATGTCGTATAAGATCACCTCATTAATTAGATTTTTTTTTTTTAACGATATTTTGTCATTTGTTTTCCGCAGAACACGGTAACGGACAGCATGTGACACATAATGCTTCAAAGAATTATATCAACACAGCAGTTGTAATAATTTCCCCTTTCTAATTGACCGTATTGTTAATGCATACATAAGCATAAACGTGTGTATGTCCAGATAATGTTTCTTCCATTTTCGGTGGAAACCCATCCATCATCGTTGAATTTTGTCAGCAGATTCCTATAACAATTATTTAATAATCGATAGTTCACTCACAATAAAGGGTATTTCAAGAAGGATAAACATATGCATGATTTAAACAATTCATAGACTTCTTGTATGGCAAAATTTCAAGCTTAGGAAAGAACTAAAATGAAGGGGCAGATCGAGAATCCACACATCAAATAAATAAATTTGTATCAAACTTAGTAATATTTTTGTTCAATGTATGAAATTGATAATTAGCAAGAAAATATTCACACATTATATATTTAACGTGAGAACGTGATGGCCAGTTTCATTTTCGCTTAAGCAAAAGTAGACTCGCTTAAATGAAAATGTAAAAAATGACAAAAATAATTTATATAAAATTAGTTTAAGCGAATTTTGCAGATTTGTTTAAGCAAATTATGTTAGTTTAAACAAATTTTGAGCATTTGAAAATATAAAAGCTAGATGTGAGAAGAAGAGAAAACTGAGAATAAATAGAGATAAGGAGAGCGGTAGTATAGGGGTGATGGTAGAAGGAGAGGAGAGTGAAGAGTTGGGTACAGAATAAAAAGGGAGATATAGGTATGAGGTAAGGTGAGAGTGAGAAGAAGAAGAGAGAAGTTGGACATGAAGTGGAGAGAAGAGAGAATTGAGAGAAAAACAGAAGAGTTAGGTATAAGAAAAGAAAAAATGTTAAATATGAAAGTTAAAGAAGATTGAATATAGAAGTTAAAAAAAGAGTATTAGGCATAAAAAAAAGGAGAATAAAAAATTGAAAGAAAATACGCAAGATTCGTTTAAGCTAAAAAAATTTACTTAAGCTAAGAAACTGTTTATTAGTTTTTTTTGTGGTAAAAAATAGTGTATAGATTTTGCATTTAGGTCCAATTTGAATAAATTTATAAAAAAAAGTCTTCATAAAAAAATTTATATAAAAATAAATATTTTTTTAAGTTAAAAATTATTTTATCTTTTTAAAATTTTAAAAAGTTAAACATTTTTTAAAAAATGTAACGAAGCATAAGTTATTTTTAATTTATAAAAAAAAATTATATTAATATTTTTTTCTTGAAATTTTAAACTAGGCCTTAATTTTTTACTGTAAAACAATTAAAAATTATATAAAAAGTCACACGGTTAAAAAAATATACCTATATGACTCGTGTCTAGTGAAAATAAAATTTAAAACCTCAAAAGAAAAATTAGATTAAAATAGTTTAAACCTCAAAAAGATTAGGGCCTCTGCAAATAAGAGGAGGAATCTTAGTATTCGATGACTTGAAATGGAGCTAAGTCAAATATGTCATTAAATGTGACAAGTTATTTAAGATATGGTTAAGGTGAGAACAAAGAGAAGTTTTGGCAGAAAGGGATGAGCCTGTGGTACCACCCTTGACCCTCCAAAAAGTATAGGGACATCTCATAAAAAAGATTCACTAATTCAATTTCATATATTGAGTGAAAAAGAATGCCATAAAACTTTCCTTTCATCCATTTTCAGTTAGAGATACGTATCTTTCATGCTCTGCACAATATACACATTGGCTTCATGGATATACGAATTCACACTATACATTCTCTACAAATGAGAAACGAGAAATTAACAAGTCAAATATTCATAGCTTCTGTCCAATATGACTCTGCATTCAACCATGCTTCTACAGATAGATATACATTGTACACATTCAAATGCACGTTTGTTTTTTCAAAATTGAAACGTTTTGCATATTTTTAAGAGTTATATTATTTTTATACACATTTTTTATTATATCTCTTTATAATTTATCTTTTGTTAGAATGTTAATTATATAATTCCATGCTTTTCTCTTTTTCCAATCTCTCTTCTAGATGTAAAAACAACCATAGAAAAGAGTTACAAATGTAAAATTTCTCTATTTTTAAACATATTATGAGTTGTTTAATAATTCATAGGCTAAAGTATTAGCTTCGCTTATTATTTGTACATGAATATAGGAGTTTAAATAAAT